TTTTTTTTTTGGCTAAGTTATGCTTATGAATAAGGCACACAATTGACATAACGTAAAAGCAATACTAGACTTTAAACATACTATTTGCCCTTATCCTAACTGTTCTTTTTCTATTTACAATACAGTGAAATATCTATACATGATCTTTTCTGTTGTTGTCTTTCTTACTTTTTCTATATAAAGTGCACTAGAGGAAGCAATCTATTAAAAAAGCGAATCATAAATGATAAACCAAGGAAATAAAGTAACTAACAATCAAATCAAGAAAGAGAAAAGCATAACCATTATGGTTAGCTGCTTCCTGTTACATAAGTTCTATATGATTATCTATATAGGCCATGATATTAAGAGATGTTACGGTAAGGTCATCTGTCTGCTTGTCAGGCACAAGCCTATCATTAAGCCTACTTCATGCATAAATGATGCTAGGGAAAAATGAAGTGCACATAGGATGCAGATAGAAATTGATATAATTACGTAGTAATTGTATAGGAAATAGATTATATAAATTAAAAAGCACATGTATATCACTTTATTTAGCAAAGCAGTAGCAGTAAACAAATCGTTTTCTACTCTTGTATTCAGTTGTAACCCAGTCAAGTCTCGATTTTGTCATACTATGACTCTGAATATATTTAAATTTTTAGTGTAGACTGTACCTGTTACAATAGATACAGTTGCAAAATATTCAGTAGCTTTCCTCGAATGGCATAAAAGCTATACTGTATTTCCAAAAATTATTGACACTGATGTCAAGAGTAAAATTCGCACTTGTTAAATTCTAATGTTACCTTAACCATTGGTTGACTTCGCTTGCTAACAAATTAAATGTTGTATATGTATATCCGTGCCCCAGTCAAGACAGCTGTAGCCTGTTGTTTCTACAATCAAGGTTGGATTAGCAAACCTGTCCTTGACGAAGGTCTTCCTACTAAAGTCACCAACCCAACAGATGTCTCAACATTGATGAGAGCGTCGCTATGCTTCTTTCAGACCGCGAGGATACTACCTCCCAACTATAATGATCACTATTAGCATATCACTATTCAACGCCATTGGTCTACTAAAACAAACTATCTCGCCACTCCTTAAATTAGCTGAACCCTCTTTCGTTCTTTTAATTATCGAATCATGGCTTCTTTCACCTAACAAGTATCCTACATCCTGGCAGCAATTTCATACTTATGGTCAACCTATTCAATCAATCAAGAATCGAGGTAGGCTCGGTATTGCCCTGTTAGTCAATCCTTCCTGTCCTTTCTCAGTACAATATATTTCTTTCAGACATTCTCCACTAGCTAAGTATACCTTGTCTTTCGTTGTATCGAAACACCTTGTACATTGTCTCTATTTACCTCCATCTTTGCCACATACAGAAGTTTCCAATATCCTTGACTTACTACCCTTGGATCTACCTAATATTACATCCACAATCATTTGCGGCGACCTCAACGCACGACTAGGACATATCACTGGAGATACTCTTCACACTCACCGAGGACAAATATTATATGACTGGACCAAATCACATGATATGACTATATGGAATGAAAGACTGACCTATGGATCACCAACATATATGACCTTTAATGGCAGCAGCATTATCGATTACTTCATCAGCACGACAGAGCTACCTTACCCACAGCTACTAATCAGAGGCGACTTATCGCTTGACTCCTACTATAAGTTTATGACACTCTCCTTTCAAGTGGCAACACCACCCCCGAGATCCAATGCACCCAGATGAATCCATGGCACTTGAACAAGCTAAAAGATGACCAGTTCAGATCTCAATATATAGAGCACTTTTCTCATCTTACCAAGGACCTCATACTAACCAACGTCCCTTCCTTTGACAACAGATTCTCCACAGCGGCATATATTGAGCAATTCAGTCGAGCCATTTGCCAAGCGAGCTATCAGTCTCTGGATTTGGTTTGGGGACGTTGTTGATCATTGGAAATAAACAAATTATGAATAATTGCGGTACTCGCCCAGGTTGAAATAAGCATGAACCCTAACACCACCAAGCCTTAGCCTACCAATTATAATGATTAGTTTATCTCCCTCTACCCACCCGCTATTAGATTGTATGCTTTCCCTCTCCACTACCAGTACCTTCCCATCCTCACCACATTACACACCTCATCTTGTTGAACTTGCCCGGGCAATTTCAGTACAAAAAAAATACTACGTGCCCACTTGGGTTTAATAAAAAAAATTGTTTAACTGTATGTCTAAATTCCAAATTGGAATTCGTCCGAAAACCAAGTGTACTTTCAAAGGGTGGTTTTTATTTTCTCAAAGGACGCTTTTTCATAAAAATAAAACGAGTTCTCATTTTTATTACGAAGATGGGCAAGGAAAAATTATCGCTGAGCAGGGAGCTGATACCGTAGACTAAGAAGACAATGTAACTCAATTCCACTTGACCACCCTAACTCATATTAGGCAGTACTGTGAAATACAAGGAAGTGAGCAGGAGCCTGACTTGGAGTTAGATGCAAACATGGAGGTGATTGCAAATACAGTTAAACTGCAGAGAAAGGTTTAGAATAAATATTCAAACGAACAAGGGCTTTTGTTTGTATATATGAATAGAATTAAGCTTTTCAATACTGCCACTGGCCATTACTTTGTATTTCTTGAGAAAACTATGAATATGAACAGTCTCCCTGAGATGAAATGCCATTACATAGAGCTCAGCCCAGTCGAGCAGTTTTGGGCAATAGTTATGAACAAAGTCAAGCGGAGTAAGTTTGAGGACAGAGGACCTAGTTACACGAATTACTGAAGCTTGTAATTCTGTCCCTCCCAATCACCTCCATGCGTTTGTACAGCATTCTGTGAACGTTTTTGAAAAGTGCTTAAATGAGAAGCATATTCAAATCAACACTCAGTAAATAAAGATTGTTAAAGATATCGAACTTCAGGGAAAAGAAACCCGTCCTTTGAGAGACTAAAAACCGTCCTTTGAGAAAATATTAACCGCCCTTTGGCGTTGGAACTACTGCATACTTTTTCTTTTTTTTTTTTCTTGTACAATAGAAGGATGCTGAATTCACTCTTTGTAATCAATAAACAAGGGTAACAACAAAGTTTAATTACTGCTTTTCATTTGTTAACTGAAATACTTTAAGGAAAATTATAATAGAAAAGCACTGGAGAGGAATCATTTCTAGACAAATTGTTGACGTGTTTAATGATGAATGTGTCAAATTTATGAACTCACTACCAGGTTCACTCGACCAAGAGAATGGTGGTACGCCTGGTCTATCCTTTAAAGAATCGTTTTTCTCTCGAGAAGATGTGCCACCCGTGCTAGAGACAAATAAATATTGGTTACTGAATGTGTTGCGAGATGAACTGACGTGGCTGTGTCCTGTAGAAAGAGAAGGTAATGATGAGCATCAAGTAACGTAAATTGAGAAACTAACAAATTTCAATAGTGGACCCAATGCTTATATTTGAGTTTATCCATCGTATTATTGATATCTTGACTGACTATCTGGGTGATGTATCTGAATCATCGATTCGAGATAACTTTGTTACTGTATATCAAGTAAAGTATAGCATAGAATGATTATACTATTGAATTCCAACATCTTCCACTAGTTGTTAGAAGAAATGATGGATTATGGTTACCCTTTAACAACAGAACCAAACGCTTTGAAAGAGATTATTATGCCACCTACTATTATGAACAAAGTGATAACGACCGTAGGAGCTGCAGCAGGGTAACTATTCAAAAAAAGGGATAAAGGATTAAAACTTACACCTTTTATAGTGTGACTCCAAAGTTACCACAAAACATGTCATCTAATGTGCCCTGGAGAAAAGCTGGCGTGAAGTATACACAAAACGAAATTTACTTTGACATTGTAGAAGAAATTGATGCAACTATCGCAGCGTATGTATTATGTACATCAATATACAAAAGAAAAAGGACTAATAGAGTTCACATAGGAATGGTGTAGTCGTGTCCTGTGAGGCTCACGGAGCAGTACAAACAAATTGCAGATTATCTGGTATGCCTGATTTAACATTGAACTTTGTAAATGCAAGGGTGATAGACGATGTCAGCTTCCATCCCTGTGTGAGATATCGTAAATGGGAAAGCGAGCGAGTCTTGTCATTTGTGCCTCCTGATGGACATTTTAAGCTAATGTCATACAGGTAAGAAAAAAGAATAGAATCAGACGGTGGACAAGTATATTAATCTGGCACTAGAGCTTCACTCTCTCCTAATCAAGCATTGCCTTTGCATATTAAACCGCAAATTACATCAACCAAGAATGGAGGACGATTTGATATCATGATTCACCCTAGATCAACAGAAGGAAAGCCGATTGAAAAAGTTGCGCTGACGTTTCCTATGCCAAAGAGCACAACAAGCGTGAATGCAACATGCAACTCAGGGCAATACATGTATGATCCTGTGAACAAGTCGATTCGATGGGAAGTGGGTAAATTACAGTTAAAAGATAGAACACCTGCATTATCCGGAACGTTTCATACAAGGTACGCTACATAATATAGAAAGAGTAGCAGTATTAAAAGTATATATTAGTGAGGCAACTCCTGAACTGGGAATGAGCATTGGCTTAGAATTCCAAATTAATATGTACGCAGTATCAGGTCTGAAGGTCGACAGCCTTCGACTCTTCCACGAAGGGTATAAACCATATAAGGTAAATTATCAATGGGGTATGTGCGTGCGTACGTAAGTGTATGTGTATGTTTACGTGCGTGCGAATGTCAGGCGGTATTTTATTGACATGAGCTAACGTACAATAATTTTTAGGGGGTCAGAAGCATGACAAAGGCAGGAAAAATACATATAAGAACATAACCAATAAACTATGCATTAGCGGCAAAGTAACTGAATGCATTCATTAATAAGCTGATTGGGAACATTCACTTTTTTAAATTCGCTCAACAGCTTCTTGGTATTGTTTTGAGATAGTTTATGTGGGTTCAGCAAAAACTCAAAGAATGATGACCAAAGATCGGCATGCCAATACCGCTTGATCTTTTGTCTGATCACAAATTTTCCTTCTCTTTGAATCGTTCGCATCGGTTCACCAAAGAGCAATCTATGAGCACCGGCAGCAATTTCCCAGTAATCGGCGTAAATTGGATTATATTCTGTATTGAGAAAGGGGTATCCAGATTGAGGGCAAGCAGGTGGCCATGTTGCTTTGCACTTGGAGCCCTTGATGACGGTCATATCAACTGAATAGCCAAAGTCGATCAGAACAACAGCTGGCATGACACCTTCACTCCTTGTTATGAGCATGATATTATCCAGCTTAAGGTCATTATGAGCAATGTTGATATTGTGTAACAAGAAAACTTGCTGCATAAATTGGCCTGTGAACAAAAGGACAATGGGCTCGGGCATGACCTTTTGAACGGCAGTGTATTGGTTATAGGCCTCAAGTAAGGTACCATGACGAACATAAGGTATGAGTAAGAAGCTGGTATCGCTGTAGTAATAGTATTGAACAATTGGTAATAAACAAAGGCCAGATACACGCCTTTGACGCATCTGATGATGAATGTAATATTCCCAAGGACATGGAGGCTGCTGTACTTTAAGAGCATAAAATTTTTGATTGTGTTGTACCAAATACACTTGAGCCATACCACCTTCACCCAACTGACCTAGAACGAGGTAACGATCATTTCGGAGGGTAATATAACTCTCTTTCTCCTTTTTAGCACTAGGTCGCCATAGATTTTTTTTCTTATCATAAATAAACCAGCTGGAAAGCGCACGGTGTATGGGAAAGGCGGTATCTTTGATAACGTGGTAGTTGGAACATTGACGAGCGCTGGTCTTGTTGATCTGCTCTTGAACAAAGGCTGGACTGTGTGGTAACACCACCACCTTTATATCTGTCAGCGGTAATTCTTCTTCAAATGCTGTTGTTTGTGGTATTTCCTGCTCTAGAACTGGCGGTGTTTTACAAAGGGACTTTTGCTGTTGGCCAGAAGAGCTGGGTTTCTCATGGCTTGGCGAAGGCGGTTGAAGACGAAAGACATGTGCAAGTGAGGTTATTTGTTGTGCGGACTGCGTGATTGGATTTGATTGAGTCATTGGTTTTGGCTGAGTTGCTGGCTTTGGTTGATTAAGTAGCTTCTTATGTGTTAATATCAAAGGATGATGACGATAGGCTGGTTTTATTCTCATGGCGGGGTTATGTTTGACTCTTAGCTCTTCTACAGAAATTTCCCGTCCACTATAATCAATTTCACGTAGGATTGAAGCACGAGCATAATGTTCCAGCTGAGTACGTAACCAGTTCAACTGAGATAGTAAATTCTTGTTATCCATAAAGTAACTCTTTTGTGTAAAATAGTTAGATCAACACGAGGACGCAGGATCAACTTACGGTGGTATCATAAAGCAACAGATGCTCATCATCATTGTTGTCGTCATCATCATGTTGATCATTCAAGGCATGATTGTTATATTCATTAGAATAGTTAAGTAATGTGTACTCGGACTGGTCAAAATCAATCCAATTTAGTGATTTAAACTGTTCATATGCTCTTCTTAATCTTTTAGTGGGGATTGCGTTATTTTTTAAACCTAACAGGAGTGAATCGTGTGCGTCATTGAGTCTAACGTAATGTGAGAATAATTGAACTATAATTTTTGTCTTGCTAAAGTACCTGTTTTGTTGTATTTGTTCGTGTGCTACAGCTTCGTAAAGTAAAGCTAGCTTATGACTAATGCGATGATTTATCAACAATTCAAGCGTTGCAATACGTTTGTCCTGAGAAAGATCAAAGATGTAAATGAGCCAGAGCTTCAGGTATCTTGGATTGTTTTGATATCTGGGATCATGTTTATAAGTATGGATGGCCTTTTCTAATATGATTTTGGCTAAATTTGGATCATTTTTCTTGACTTGATTAGCAATCTTTTGCTCGAAATATCCAAGTGGATCATCCAATTCCTCGATCAAAGATCGAGAAAGAAACATGAAAAAGGATCACAAAAAGAAAGGTTCTTTTATTAAAATGCGTTATGGGTTATATGCATGTATGCGTGTTTGCTAGATGACAACAGTGGATGCCAAACGAAGAAAAAAAAGAAAAATGACGAATGGGTTTATAGAGAATGTCCATGATTGATGTCTTGGTAGCCAGTCATTGAGTCCCAATTACCCAAGGATAAGTTCTCTTCTTCTTCATTATCTGAACTTTGATTGCTACTAGTACTTGAGCTAGCAATACTTGTACTTGAAGATGTAGGATGTTTTAATAGCTTAGAGAATTCAGACCAAGGAAGATCCATAAAACTTGAGTTCTTGGGAGTAGTTATACTTGGGTCTTCGTTGATTAAATTTGGGACAGTCTTGATGTGTTGAAGAAGCTTGTAACCAGGATCCATTTTGTATGTTTTTTGTCTTGTAATAATAACAAAGAAAATAATAACAAAACTTAGCTCTATTTATATGTTTCGTAAACCCATCCCTCTCCTTTATTCTCCCGTGAGACAAATTTTTACAAATTTAGATTAGTGTGGCATGATGCTCGGCCTTAATGATTTAAAAATAGCTCAAATTCCCCGCGGAAATGAAGATTCCGTGGAACCAGTAGGATGCAGCTTTATTTACATTATTTCATCTCGTCGGAGGGTATTTTATCAACCAAATGAGTTAAAAGACTTATCAGCTCTTGATGCTGCTGTCTTTTTTGAACCTGGGATTGTCTTTGTAATTCAGTTTGCTCTCTAATGACGCTAATTAGTTCTTCTTGTTTCAGTAGCAGGTTCTCCAATAATTCCTCAGTGGTATTTGTACGTCTTTTCTTTATTATCGGTCTTCCTTCAACCATATCTGGTCTTGTAGAATCATCGTGGTTATAGATCACATTGGGTACAGCCTGCTGCTGTGTCAATCTTAAGGAAATAGGTTGGGCCGATTGCTCTGGTGGCAAACTGGTGTTATTGATAATACGACTAGCCTGCAAAGTCGTAGTTGGTATCTGTTGATGCTCCTGTTGCACAGGTGGAGCATTGGGTGGTTGTATTTGTCGATTTTGTTGTAAATGAGTTAGGGGGGCACCCTGAGGAGCCTGTTCCTGTTGCTGTTGATGTTGTTGCTGCTGTTGCTGCTGTTGTTGTTGATGTTGATGTTGTTGCAGTGGAGGCGGTGGTTGAGGTGTTTGAGATTGCTGTTGAGGTGGAAGTTGCTGAGGCGGTAGCTGCTGTGTAGGCGATTGTTGCAGTTGAGGAAGCAGCTGTTGGGTCTGAGGTGGCAGCTGGTGAGGTTGCGGTGATCGTTGCTGTAGCTCTTGAACTGGTTGAGGTGATTCTTGTTGCTGTTGCTGTTCTTGATGGCCAATAGAAAAAGAAGTAAACATAGGATTGACTGCAGGTGTTTCCCTTGATAGCACCCTATGCATTTCATCATAGTATAGAAAGCTACAAGACCCATCCCTAGCTCTCTGTTCATCTGCGTCCTTATACTGCTTTACAAGTTGGTGCCACTTGTCTTGACAAGCTCTTCGGCTACGTCGGAAAGGCTTTCCTAAGTTAAATTCGTACAACACGTCTTCCCAGACAGAACCCAGCATGTTATTCGTCCTAGCCTGCACCATACGACTATAGAACCTGGTTACTGCCTCAATGAGAGATTTAGTTTCTGAAACAGTCCAGTGAGGATGAGAAATCATGCCTTTACTGAGAGCAGTAGCGAATGTGACTTGACTGTCTCTACCATTTAACATTGTCTGCTTATATGCATCTGCTTCTGCACTGGTTGGAGTGCTCTGAGTAGAGCTACTAGCAAGGGGTGTTGTGTTTGTCTCTTCTCTATTCGTGTTGCCATTATTATTCGTTGGCGTAACAGAACGTTCATGGGTAGTTTGTTCGTCAATATCCAAGGATGAAACAGAAGCTGCAAACGTATTGCGAAAAACGAACGTACGTTGCGACTGAGACATGGTTTTATATAAAAAAAGTAAAAAAAGCTTTCAGCCTGGAAACCTACGAACACTATATCAGGTAAACCTGTGACGCTTTCCTGGTAATCGGAGTATGAAGTGTGGGATGACTCCTTTCTTCTTGTAAAGCTGTGGAGACAGCTGATAGTTTTGTTGTACGAAGCAATCTGTCTTTGCATATTTCGGGCTAATGCTTAACAATCTCCTTTTGTGGCAGTACGTAGTACAAATTACCCTTTTTGACGCAAATCGCGAAAAGGCTATGATTGGATAAAAATCCTCAAACTACTTTGAAAAAGGATACTGGAACCATTTTTCAAGCTTGACTTTGATTATTTTATAATGAAAAATAAACGCAAAAATACTTCTATATATATTTAAATTTTCTTATATTTCCTTGCATATTTTGATTATTTTGAAAATATAGTTTTGGGACTGTGATTGAAACCCTGTTAATTTCTAAAAGCTTATGTTGAAGCCATAGTAAGAACTACCAGGGGGAGACCCTTTTACAGAAAATGACTTTTAGAGTTAATCCTGTACTCATGCTTATTGGCTTTGAGGTGCCTGCAAACAGAAGGAGAATAGCGAAGTTGGAATAAGACGCACGCTCTAAAAATGACGTTAGCTACGTCACTTTCTTTTTGGTTGTTTCTCCACTTGCCAAATTAGTAGGCCTAATGAAAAGGCCGAATGACCTGCTTTAAAGGTCCTGCACAGCTCGTGTGTCTTTCTGAAGTGACTCTAGTTTTGACTGAATGTTAAAATCAGAAGAAATATAATTTGTCAATATTGAACGGATATTTCATGCTGCATTCACGTCTCGGTTCCAGATCTACTCGAGTATCATTAGTTTGGAGTCCTTGAACAGATAAAACTAATCTTACTCTGACTGCATCAACAACTGAACAGCAGTGACATACTTTCAATGGGTAGATGCTGATACTTCTTTCTATATTTACTGTTTGTTAATCTTTAATCACTCTAATCGTTCTTGTCAAGTACTTGAATTTCTGCGCTCAACGTATTCGTTGCTCTTGCATGCTTTTTTGTCGGATCCTAAACAGGTCAATCTAACTTTTCTTTCATTAGGCAGCTTTCTTTTTCCCTTTCTTTGTAGCGGTTTATATTAGTCATTCTTAAAGCACTAGATAAATGGAATAAAGCCATACATACGGTTACAGATCAAAGCATTTTCAGACTCATAGACATTTTGAAGCTCACCGCGGCAGCTACTGCACACTATGTTCGTTTTGTATTGATCTACTTTAATCATTAGACATTTCTACAAAAACGCCATTTGAATTCCATTGAAGATCATTAAGTCAGCTGCCCAAATTTAGTAATAACTACGTAACGTTCACAGGGATTGGAGCTCTAGACTTTATCGTCGCAGATATAAATGCGTCCCCGTATGCAACTACACATCGTCTATCTTCTTCAGCCACTGACAGATACTCTTTTCTTTTCTTTTCTTTTTCTTCCTTTTCTTCCTTTTCTTCTTGCAAAGCTTATGAGCTAGCATTGGTTTTCTTTTATCTAGCTTACCGACTATCACGTCGATAACATTGCACAGGACTATTCGCTTGTTCGAATACACATAACCTTGTTTTTCCCAGTACCTATAACTTTTGTTAAAATTGAATATTCTACAAAGATTAGCATATCAACATGTTTATAGTTAATGAGCAGCTAGTGCCATTTACTTTGTATGTATGGCTGCTAAAACGCCAGCATATTGTAAGAATAGAAACGGGCAGTGTACTTTAGGCGAAGGAATTAAGTCGTAATAGACTTATATTTCTGCCTGGGTTCTAGGTTTAAGTTCAACTTGGATATTGTTCTCTACATAAAGAAATTTGGCCAATGAAATCACTGTTATTTTGTTACTTTAAACAAAAGTGATTTCTTTTTTGACCCTATGCATATGATGAAGCTCAATCTTAGATAATTATTCACTGTCCACAAGCAATTGTAATAGAAAAAAGTCTTCCTTGTGTTATTTTGTAATAAATACCCCACTTTAAACTATTCATGTTTTGTATCATGTTATTTTTATTTTTCAGCCTTTTATTCTTTCACAATAGTGATTATAATAAGCACAGTAACAACATATAGGAAATTTAAAGATGAACAAAAAAAATCATATCACTTATGAATGACCACCAAGATTCTCCTTTTCTTTCAACCATTTTTACATAAACAGCTATTCAACCTCAGGTAATCCATTTGTTCTGCCCAACAGCCTAAAAACAAGATAATTATAAAATTTTAAAGATTGCCTCAAAAGAGTAAGCCAGAAATACATAAATTAAATTCTTATTTTATCGCACTTATTAGCGATCAACAAGGTTCTCCCAGATCAACGCCACACAAGACATCATTCCCATAACTCAGGTTGTTGATTTCATTAGCAATATATTCAATAATTCTTCTTCCCTGCTCGGCAAGTTCCCATTCATTGCTGTGGTTAGATTCATTTGAGGACACTGAGCCAGGAGAGTCTTCGCTGAAGAAAAAGTTGTTGTTTTCAGCACCAATATGTAGAGCAAGATACTTCACTGTGTTTTGTAAGCATGCAGTGAAAATTATCTCTAGTTTCGTAAGAGTCATGTCTATATTTCTCTATCATGAACAAGAAAGAGTCGGCTAATGTAATTGCAATGGTAGTGTATTAATCTTACTTGCAATGATATAGTGGTCAAAAGGATGTGAACAGCCTGCAATAGGTTATTTTGTGCAGAAATAGAGACCTCGCTGTACCTGCTTACTTTCTCACCAAGATCCTTTCAATAGTTGACCAATACATCAATTCCAAATCCTTTTCGAAGGTCAGTTTTGACACTTGTCGACGCCCGCGAAAGGAGGACAGTTTAGCGGTTCTGGATCCAGCTACCCAGCTTCATGCACTTCAGTTACTTTGGCTCTAACCACTCGTCCAGCCTGACACGGAATCAAATTATAGCTATTTCTTTGCCCTACAAGCGCCACAATACTGCTTATGTAGTTTCTCTGGTAGTCCCAGTCCTGTTCTACCTTTGGCCTTCGCAGAATTATGTTCGCCGGATGTAAAAGCAATGGGTTGCTGCAAACTCCTATTTCGGGCAATGGACATGCTGGATTTCTCTGTTAACTGGGAGGCGCTGAATATATCGTTGGTCTTAGAGATTCTAGTTTCGCGAATATACCTCGATTTTTCGACTTGGAACGGTAGTGGTCGCCGAACAAACTGGAGCCAACTGCGCATGAAGGATGTTTTCGAATTTAGCCCAATTCACAACTGCTTGCGACGAAGACTTCACTTATTGAACACGAGGTTTCACCATCGAGTACACCGAGTTCATTTCTTATTAGCAGATGACCATAGTCCAGTACATTCCTCCATTATAACCTTATTCACGTCGCATAACCTCAGGTCAGACAGCTAATTCCAGTATACGCTCCATCGAATGCCCCAGCCTAACTTTGAAGATCTACTGACAGTAGAACTACTGGGAGCCATGGGCTTTCACCATATAACACTAAAGCTATTCTGAACCTCACAGTTACTGCCCATTGATGTCTTACCGGCCCACTATTCGCGTGGCTCTGCCACGGCATAGCGCACCTTCTGGTCATCATCCTTCTCACATCAGGCAAATTGCCAACATGCCAGCGTCACCACCAACTTTATACGAATCAGCACTTGGATCCTTGCTGTCTTCTATGTGGAGGCATCGAAGGCGATGGGCACTTTTTGTGGCCTTGTATGCTCAAAAAAGAAACCTGGTCACGCATTGCAAATCGCTTTTTACAACCTGCTGCGAGGCTTACCTATGAATCCCTGGCCATAGGCTCGTCTACCCTTATGCAGGTGCTTTCAGAACTACGCGTTGATGGCCAAACAATCATTGCCTGTACGGTTTGGACTACCTGGCTATGCCATTAGCGTTGTGTATTTGATGGTCGTACCTTCTGGCCTGACGAAGCTGCTGCACGAGTAACATAAGCAATCAAACGAATGCATTGTAGTATTTATCTGTTAATAAGTACCTATGATATACCTGAGTTATAACAAGGAGAAAAAGGCTATATGTCGATGAGATTGTAGTATCCACTCTACTATTTAGTGCTTAAATACAATATCTAGAGTTGGGCCTAATGTTACCATAAGATCTGTTACACCTCAACAGAATGCGGTCAACGCGGTTTCAATGCCTCAGCTTCTTAATATATAACTATAGATTGTGCTATCATCTCTTTTCTCTTCACTTTATTCCGAATAAAGATACAGCACAGTCTCATCGTATTTTCTACTTTGTTTAAATCTATCCAAAACTCAAATACAACAGAAACTCTTGAACCTCTTTGTTGGTGAAAAAACAAGATGAGGAGCTCATTAACACAAAGTGAGGCTTAGTATATAAAATAATAATTTACAATCCGACATGCTACAAATTAAATTAATAGAGGTGCGTAATGCTAAATGTAGAACGACTATAAGCAGTGCAGTAATGGAGTAACCTCACATGAAGATTAGTTAGTAAAAGAAGGATAAATACGACATATATGGCGAAAACGCCTATAGAGCGCGCCTAAAATCATTTTGCTCAGGTTAATGCAGTCTTTTTGTTTTGTTTCATGCTTCTATGTTCTTTATTATTTTCTTTAATACGTACACGCCAACTGGCGGTACTTGAATAAAATACAGTTTTTTCTGCAAGGTCACATAAATCGAAAATTTATAGTACAGAATACACAAAATACGACATTTTTGAACGACGTTACTTTCTGGAAGTAGTGTAAGTAGTGCTGCATAATTCGAAAATTTATAATACAAAATATACAAAACACGACATCTTTGAACGACGTTACTTTCTAGAAATAGTGTACCATTTTACAGAAAAACAAAAAAAAAAACATATAAAAGCTCTCTTCTTTTTTTTCTCCTCTACTATAAAAGATTATAGTGAATATGTTGTCAAGATTAAATTGCCTTTTGGTGTTCACTTGCATATTTCTCATTAAACTTAGTTACGCCAAGAGAGTTTATATGAGTTATCAGACAACAAGCTTACCTCTGACAGTTGCAAACAGGTGTGGCGTTTGGCAAGATAACCAAGGTTTTGGAAGCAAAGGCTGTCCTGAAGTTGACATTGTTGGGAACTGGGCACAGATCAATTTGGATGAAGAAAAGTGCAAATCAGGATGTGGATGGACAGCATGTATGAAGGGTTCAGTTTGTACTATTAAGAATTCGTTTGGGGCACCTATTTATACTGTTAGTTGTTCTCCACAAGGCTCGTCGTCACCATCACCTGTAGGAGGATTTGTAACAACATACTCTTGTGCAAACCAGAAGAACATTTAATGAATTAAGTTCTTTATATTTTTTTTTAAAAAAAAAAGCAAATAAAAGCTGTGTTAAAGTCATAATTCCTAGTTGCTTAAAATTCACTTTATTTAGTTATATACATAAGAATAATGCATTATCGAACAAATCTTGGCTTAGGTGCATTATCTAAACATTCTCGACAATGAACCAAGCAAAGACCTGTAGTCTCATTCACTGTCATGTGAGCATCAGAGTCCATTTGCTTATTACATCCAGCACATCGTAAGCATTTCTTGTGCCATCGAGTTGCATGGGGCCCTGGATGAGTGTCTAAAAATGGCATGCTTTCATTACATCGTGCACATGTACGAACGCCACCAAGCCTAGGCAAACTCTTCTTTCTAGACTTGAATATATCCGATGGACTTGTAATACCATTTGTCTTCTTGATAACATCACTGTTTAGCATTACCTTCAAGTCTTTTGTAAATGTCTCCTTTTTCTTTTTCTGTGCTAAATTGCTCTTGAGGGCACAACTATCACAGTATATCTTGTCTTGATATTTCGAAAGTTGACGGTTAATAGGTACCGTCTTTTGGCAACCAGCACACAGCAGGCACTAGAAGAATAAAATAAGTTAGGGTTGACAGAGTAAAGCTTTTATAATCATGCATACCTCTTTATGGTAAAATGAGTTGGCCAGTTCTAAATAGGTATCCATTACAGGATTTGAACAGGCATTACAAATGATTTCTGTAGTTGTCGTGCTCTGGTCCTTCTTTACTTCCTGGTCTTCCCTCTCGGGCAATATGCTGACATTTGTAGGGGAAGAGGACAAGACATCAAAGTGAGCATCAGAAGAGGGCATAGTAGGCGTCTTGGGATATGATTCTTCTTCTTCACTTAGGGGACTTGTATTATTACTATCTCTAGCTATTGTCGCTTCAGGGCACTGTGTTGTTTTGTCATTACTCGGTCACACTTTTTCTATCTTGATTATTCTTTTGCTTACCTTGGTATGATAAAAGTATTTACCATCAGTGCAAAACTCGAGATCTGTGAAGCTCTGATGGCACTTGGCACAGAGCAAGCAGTAGGAGTGATAGCATAAAACTTCGCCTGTTATTGTCTTGAGACCACGATAGTCCTTTTTGGAAACATGTTGTCCGCATTCCTTGCATGGTTTCTTCACCACCATTTTCTTGCGTCGATGAGTTGTCTTTTTAGATTCCCCATCTGTCTTTGCATCACTAGAAACTTGGTTGTTTTGGGTATTTAGGGGTTTGAGACTTTCCTTGGGAGTAGCGGCTGCCTCTGGTTGGTTTGATACAGTAGTGTTGGTAGGCTGAGTGGGAACAGGATCAACAGAGGTTACATCGGGTCCCTTTTGGCTAGAAGTTTCTTCAAAAATCTTTCCAAGAGTAGCAGGATCGTCTTCAATAGCATGATTAACCAAGGCACTCAGAGGTCTTCTTCGTCTTGAAAAATAGGCAGAGGCAAGTGCAGACTTTGAAGTGGATAACAAGGGAGTAGAAGTACTTGCAGACTCAGGCGAGGGTTGCTTCTTGCTGATATAGCATGATCGACAGCATGGGTTACCTTCAGCGTCTTGAACAGATAGTGCTTGCTTAAGCGGGCTTGAGCAGTGATGGCACTGGAAGCAAGAGGCATGCCAAGTATGATTGTTAAAGTCAACTTGCGAGTCAGTAAGCTTTACTTGTACTTTGCATTTTGGACTATGGTAAAGCGTTACGATACAAGAATAGTTACACTATGCTGTCTCCTTACCAACTAAGTTTTTCAATTAGGCACGACTTGCAATAGTAAACAGACTTGTAGATGGTAAAATTGTTAAAGTCGGACCAAGAGTTTTGTCTCTTATTGCAGTAAGCGCAAGACTTGAGGTTGCTACTGTCTTTATTTTCTTGTTGGTTTTCTTCTTTAGTAAACTTGGGCATTGTCATACGTTGCTGTGTCGTTCTTTGTCTTGGTGTCGAAAAGGAAGGCGTCGGGTCATTACTAAAGATAGCCTTTTTGCTATATCTAAACATATGCCTGTAATTGAGTATATAGTTACAATGGCCAATGATATACTTTACGTGTCTTGCCATTTGTCAGTAGTACTTAATCTTCTTTGTGTATTGAATAAAGAGTTAATTCTTGAAGAATTATCTGAGGATAAACTTCGGTAACATTTTGGACAGGTTGTGTTGCTGTATACGTTTTGGTTACAGTAAGTACAGAATCCCATTGTTGTATAGATAATATTAAAGAGATAAGGAGAAAAAAGATAGAGAAAGAAGCAGAATGAATCCTTGTTGATTTATACTGTTTTCAAGCATCTTTATTTGGTTTGTTATTGTTTCTGTAGCTTACAATTTACTAAATCAGGATAAACATAAACAACCATTACCATTTCAAAAAAACACGAATTTCGGTGTTTTAAACCGTGCTGCGGTTCCTCAAATCTCAGTTGGCGAGCTTTGAAAACTTAAAGGGTGCTCTGCTTTTTAAAAAACCGTCAATAACACATTATCCTAAAGTGAATATTAATGTGTTACATGACAATATGTGTATGTGCTCTATCTTCAGTCATTACACGGCTTATTTTCTTTTTTTCTGTAACTTTGAGCATGGAAATAAGAAAGAACTATTTTATGTTTTTCAAGGTCAAAGCTCACAACTGTTGATGATTGGCTAATTGATCTATTGGTCAGTCTTGATTAATATGCCACTTTCAATATGGATAGCAGTTGATTTGGAATGCCATCTGTTTCTTCAGGCAAGGCTATTGGCATCATTCGGTTGATTCAAAGACGTATCTAGCTGATGAATCAGGCAGAATCATATGTTCATATAAAAGCACAGATAAGTCTCATATCCACCTTTTGTTATCAAGTCCTCTCAGCAGCGATCACTGATGTCAAGGATCAAAGAATACACTGAGCTAAAACCAAGTTATTGACATGCACCGTATTGTGTTATATTCAACACTAACTGTTCGTGATTACAAGGTATAGAGATCAGATGGACGATGCTGAGAGCGAAGGGCGAATGTTTGAACGATTAATCATCATGGGCCTGAGTCTACTCTGAACCCTGTCAGCCCATTCTTCAGCAAAGCAACCTTGTCTTGTCGAATAGTCAGTGCAAGCCCATGGATGATCAATTGAAAACGTATTTACTTCAATATTAAATACAAAAACTAAGCATACACGAGTTTATTTGTATGAGTGACTAAACTTCAAAAAACGTCTAAAGTACCTTATGAAATTTGAAAAACCGTCAGTTCAGCTTTGAAACCGCCTCGTAGTTTAAAGGGCGGTCATTCGAAGTTGGAGGTACTGTGGCAACAAATGGTTTTATCACTTTTCTTTTTTTTATTTCTTCAGTCAATTGTATCGCTTTAATATTAAGTTTTAATTGTATCGTTTGCTTTCTGAGGGTAAAAGAGAAAGGGGCAAGAGGATAATAGTAGTGTGCATTTTTATATGAAATGTCCTTGTGTGGTACAGAGTAGAATTAACTGTCATAGTCACAGGTATCTTGTCATCATTAATCGCGATGGTGCTGTATCGTGTATTTTGCTTCATTTTCTGCTTCTACCCCTTAGTTTCTTATCGTCAGCGATTCTGAACATTTTAAAAATGAAAAAACCCTTGGGCATTGCTGCGATTTTGTGCCTAATTTTTAATATTGAAAGTCCACCAGTTTTGAGCTCTTTTGTTCTTTCAATTTCCTGCTGTGAAAACTAGTCCTCGTTTCTTTTTTGTTTTCTTTTGTTGTTTTTTTTTTTGAATTTAATCACGAGACTAAATGTCGCTTGATCCACATTTGACACGCTGCGCTAAACAAATATATAATCACCTTGGTTTGACAGATCGTATTTCTCAATTGCAACAGCCCAATGTCGCGTATAACGAGATTCTGTTAATGAAGCAACTATTGTCGTTAAGCGACCATTCTCTGCTCGACAGTATCGTAACTTCCTTTATAAAATGGACCCCACCTCGTCAGAGAAAGAAGACTGTCAACGATTTTATCTCTCAGGTGAACCAAGAAATATCTGGTCTATGTATGTTTATGAAATATGGAGCAAATTTTTACATATAGTATTCACTCTCTTTTTATATTATTAAAGTGCCAGACGATATCTTTGAAGACATTGATGATGAGCTATTTATGAATGCACCTGATCAAGAAAAGAGTAACAAACGTACCTCTTCAGAAGTACTTGATAAAGTTACTCCATTGACTATGGTAAAAAAGCCAAAGATTGATAACACTTCACCTTCAACTTCGAGACTAAACACACCACCTCCATCGCCCCTGGACTACTTTCCTGCTGAAGCAGCTAAGTCAGAAGAATACAACATTATTTGGAGCCCTACAAAATCAACAAAACTTTTCCAAGGCGTTAGTTGGATTGTTATTTATGAAATCGCACGATTTATGCAGGCTTGCAAGATACCTTGGAATGAAATCCCATTTGATGCCTTTCACAGCTTTATCAGAATTGGAATGTCAGAGCCAAGGAAATTGTATGAAGTCATGCTGCGTTGGAATACAGAAACAAGGCTTGGCCAGAGACTCACTGGACTAGCTTACTCAAAGATGGAGCGTTGTCCAGACAATGTTTGGTCATATATTCAAACAGAAAAATCTTCTGTCACAACTCAGACGACTAAAGAAGCCATGCCGTTCAGCCCTGTGAGTGCATCGTCTTCACCTTCAACTACAAGCCCTCCAGCATCGATCTGTATTAATAACGAGAATAGCTTTAGTCAAGACAGTATCAAACGGAAGCTATTGAAAAACAGAATGGTGCGATACAGTGCAGTTATTCAATTCAAAACTACAGGAACCCTTCCAAAGATTAACTTGCGTGTACCCAAGATCACAGCTTCAAATCGTCTGTTTCGAAAGTTTGGACAAGATCGCTTTTTAGAAGTGGTCCTTAGTGAATCTTCACAACCATCAATGGTTCGAATGATGAAGGATTTCCTACTGAAGCCATTTTTATTAATGCAGCGTGTGTTTCGGTTTCTGTTTATCAAAGACAGTACGCTTGTCTTTTTTGCAACTGAAGGACCAGATTTGGAACCAATATCAATACAGCAAGTAATCGATTGGCACATGCCGATTATCGAAAATTGGGATATGTCAATGAGCAAATATGCTAGTCGTATGTCTCTAGGCTACAGCAGCAGTATCCCTACCATCCAGTTTGATCCGTCTGAGATTGAGTATATTGATGATATTTATTCAGAAACAGCTACAGTGAAAGACGACGCAGCATGCATGACAGATGGCTGTGGCATCATCTCTTGTGCAGCTATGAAGGAAATTATGGGTTGTCAGACAACGGATGAGCTACCTTGTGCTATCCAAGGACGTATTGGTGGTGCAAAAGGTATCTGGATACTTGCTCCCGACATGGACTTTAATTCAGGGAAATATATTAAGATACGCAAAAGCCAGCATAAGTTCAAGACTGGTTTACCTCAACCCAATTGTGCACTAGACCCTCATCATTACACATTCGATCTCGTCAAAAACTCAATATGCATATACCCTTCCAACCTCAACACACAATTTATTCAAGTATTGGCAGCAGGTGGTGTGCCTACAAGTGTGTTCGTTGAAATATTGAAAGAATACATCCATCGATTAGCTACTGTTGTCACAGAGAACCAAAACATAAAGATCTTGAGAGACTGGGTTACCAAGACAGGAAGCATCATGACACGACGTTGGGAGAATGAGGAACAGGCGGAGAAATGCGTTTGGAAAGACCTGAGTGCAGAAGACGATATAGAAAATGATATGTTCCATTTGGATTCAGATTCTGCTGATGACGATTCAAAATCGGATACCTCAGGATCCAACACGAACAAATCACACGCTAACTATCTATTGTCTACTAAATCATATGACTCTCTCAACAAGTACTCTGGGTATCCTGGCAATGCTTTTGAAGCTGTCGTCAGACTCTTGGACTCTGGATTTGACCTGACCAATGCGTTTGTAGCTACTCGAATCACAACCATTTTCAGACAAGTCATGAAGTCTGTCAATACAAAATACAGAATTGAAGTACCACAGTCTTGCACTGTTACTTGTGTGCCTGATCCAACTGGACTGTTGAGACCAGATGAAGTCTTTCTACAGTTATCCACTCGTAGGATAGATGAAAAAACGGGTATTCGGGCTGGTCTTGTTTTGGGCGACGTCGTCATTACTCGTAATCCCTGTGGTCTGAAGAGTGATATCCAAAAAGTGAAGGCTGTCGACTGTCCAGCATTGAGAATGTATACAGATATTATCGTCTTTCCTGTCACAGGAGATGCTTCATTAGCCAGTAAACTAGGTGGAGGTGACTATGATGGTGATTTGGTAAGTACAAAAGAGAAAAATAGGAACCATGAACCTAATTAATGTCTAGATATTCTGTTGCTGGGATCAACGAATTGTCGAGCCATTCCAAGCCTCGCCTGTCATTAAAGAACTTGATCGTGTAACTCAAGCGTTTCAAAAAGACAAGTCAACTTTGGGACAACAGGTTGGAGCATATCCAGATCCAGAAAAGGCACTGCAAGCCAATTTTATCAACGTGCAGATGCCCGATGGTACACTTGGTTTATATGAAAACTGGAGAACTGTACTGGCAGAGAAATCAGCGCTAGATGATCCTGATGTATCTTATTTGGCACAAATGTGTGCCCGACTGGTGGATGCTCCCAAACAAGGTCTACATCTTAAGCAATCAGTTTACAACCGAGACCGTGCCAATTTCTCCAAGATTCCTCATCCTATATGGTTTATGGACAAAAAGAATAAACAACGAGAAGGACATAAACGAGCTTACAAGGAGGCCAATGACTGTTATACTCTACTGGAACAGTCACCATGTGTGACAACCATGGATCATCTATACAAAACACTCATGACAGAAACAGCAGCCTTTACAAAGTATTCACAATGCATGTTCTCTGAAGTGGATATACCACTAAAAGACTATGATCTAACCGGACCTTGGAATCGAGCTACGGAACTTGCAACAGGAAAGAACGATTCTGCGCTTCAGCATGACTTGGAACTTATTCGACAGGCAGTTAACGCTAATATGGAATCGTATCAAAAAACAATGACCGAATTCCATATGTTGCGGCAACACATTATGGACAATATTTATGATCCAAACAAATATATTGAAAACGATGCCTTGGATTTTACTTCTCCATTTGCATCCTTTTTCGAACTTGAAGAATTTATTGCCAAGGAGTATCATAGTACACCTGATCCCAGTAAATTTATTTCACCTATTTTTCAATTTGACATGCAAGTCAATGGAGGCTACATGTTACAGAATATCAAGGCGAGCTATGCTTATATTATATGTGTTTCATCGAGAAAATATAGTAAATATTGCTATGTTGTCGCTTTTGACACACTAAGAAGAATCAAGGCGGATGCTCTGGCAAAGAACAGTAAAGAGAACGGATTATCAGAAACGGTGTCTATCTCAATATATCCATCACTCAACATGGATAGAAAATGGATTAGAAGAATTAAAGAATCTAACGTCAAGAGCTCTAATGAGCCTTCTTCGACCGATCAAATTACTTCTAAAATATAATCCTTTATAAAAACCATGTTTGCATAATGTACACTTTTTTTATTAGAACCTTTAGTGCATCTTCACAGAAGAAGGTTTACGCATATACAAATTAAAAATCATCTTTTTACTAAAAAAAATAAAGCTGGCTCCGTTGAAAATATACCTAAAGTATCTTATTGCTCTTTTTTTTTTTTCAGTTCTCTTTCATATGACTTTGAGATACCTAACGTCTGTTGCTATTATCTTTTTATTAAAGGTCAGCAAAGTCCAATAAAAAATAAAAGTATACAATTGATCTTCTTTAAGCGAAGGTAAGAGGTGGGAAAAGGAGGGTGGGAAATCGTATTTTGATTTTGTATTTTCATGTCTAACCAAGTAATTCAAGTGTTGAGACAAATTCTACTTGAATTTATGAAGGCACTCAAGTACAAAATACAAAATATGATTTGCTGATCCAGAGAAATAGTCTAAAAAATTATTTGGTCCAATCGCATGTCATATAGTCTTCAGCAAAGAGCTGGTCGCCATCTTCGTCAATAGCATCGTCAATATCAATCAGCGTGTTGGAGAAATCGAATTGAGAGAGATGTTCACGACGATAGTGATTTTCAAAGACAGCGGAGGATGGCCAGTTGCCCATAGTGACAATATCATCTTTAGGGATACCTGTTTTAAGAGCGAGAGATGAAGCGATGGGCCGGAGAGAAACACGCGGCTCTGTTATGGATATTCGAATTTTTTTTTGGCTTCATTACAATGTTTAAAGCTTCTATACTGTCCAAGAAGATCTAGGTTGATGTGTACTTGCATACATATTATAATGCAATACTTATTTTTTTTTATTACATTCTTTTTAGATTAGTTCCTTTACTTCTTCCTCTTCGCTGCGAACCAACACAATCGTGCAGGGAGAATGATTCTATCCAAATCACAATCTCTGTAACCGCTATTGTTATGCTGTAGGACTATGTAAGGCATAGGGGTAGCTCGGTTGTGAACAATCTCCGTAGGCTAGGTGGTTTTCCTAATACGCGACGCAACTAATGACATGTTCCAAGAGCTGGCTAACTTGCCAAGTATTATGAGCTCCATGCTTGTATTGCTTTTCAAGTTAGTTGCTTATCGAGATTGTTTTGCTTCATTACAATGCTTATAGTTTCGACAGGTGGTTCTATCTTGGTTGAAATGGCTTGCCTTTCCTTTTTGCCGTTGCTGCTTGGCGATTCTTTATCAACATGCATATATAAGTGATGGAGCATAAACTAGAATTTTCGAATATCCCACCACCACGTTAATAAAAACAGCTGTTGTTAGCTGCTAGTCGTTGTAACACTCCTTCATACAGCGATGTAGAATTATTATCCTGCATTTGTTTTTTTTAGCATTATACTTTGTTTTGTTATGGATAGCCCTGTATCAGTCTTTTCAGAAAGTAAAGGCGCATTTTTGCAATTTTTATAATACAATTTATACGAAAAAGCGACAAGTCAGCGCGACATCTTTTTCTGGAAATAGTGTAGTAGCTACCCTCTTAAAATACATGTATTAAAAACGATTTGTATTTCCTAATAAAGGGTATAGATTACTCTGAAACACAAAGCCCTTGGGCATTATTTGCTCTCTTCAGGTTCTTTCAAAAAGGGGGTCGAAATAAGTTGAAGTGACGCCGCACTACGGCCAACTAGCACCAGCCCTGTGCAATTTTTTTTTTCTTGAATAATCTTTTTATTATTTTGGTTCATCAACAAAGATTCCCTTTTTTACCTTTGGGAGCTTCTTTTTCTCCAAAGAGGGTATTACAATAATATAACTTCTCCTGCACTCCTAGACAACCATGCCGTGGCCGCAGCAGCAAAAGTACTTTTTCGTTTACATTATTTACATAATAATAAGGCCCTTCTGGACCTTCCAAAAATTGCTGCCGCGCTCCGGAGAGCACTGCAGACGGGCATTGGTAGTAGTTTTCAACCAGCAATAAACCAGAATCAGTATGAACCTCACTTTCGTGGTTTTGCCCTAGCACAAGAATATAGAAAAAAGAGGGTCAAGGGAATTGTCTCCTTTTATAGTTTTTTGGGGATCCAAAATTTTTAGTAAAACAGTCACAGTGACTGTCAACGGAGTTTTATTTAGATTACTTTTCCTTCTCATTCATTTCAGCCAGATGAGCTTCCTTCAATGTAAGAGATTTCTTGAGATTATTGATATCTGTTTCGAAACGATTCTTTTTTTCACACAATGAGTTAATATACAAGTGTTTCATATGTATTTATATAGTGCTTACCTTAAGCATAGCATTAGGTGCTGTTAATAGATCACGTGTCTTTCGTTGAATAGCTTGCTTAAGTTCAGCGATTTCTTGTCTCTTTTGTTTAATTTCGGCAATCTCTTGTCGTTTTTGTTCTTTGTATTCTTATTAGCTCATTATTCCTTCAATATTATCGGTTCATACCTGTATCTCCTGTTTGTCCATTTTCCTCCTCCTCTTCTTCATCTGATTCTTCTTCCTCTTCGTCTTCATCGTCGTCATCTTCCTCTTCCATTTCTTCCAAATCACGATCAATAGCTGCAGCCAGATCTTCATCGCTTTCACTCTCATCTCCACTATCATCAATGTCTATTTCTTGTGTTGCAGCATCAGATTCTTGTTCCATTTCGATTTCTCTGTCGTCCACCACCTCTGCATAAGTATAAAATAAGCATACACATACATATTTAGTCGTAGGCCCTTTTTACCATATTGTACATCCTCTGCTGTTGCATCAATCTCCAGTAACCGTTCTACTTCCCGCTCTACTTCCTCAATGGCTCGCTTAGATAACTTCTTTCTAAAACGACGTTTTCGAACGTGCTTTAATGGTGGTGTTAAACCATGAGGAAAGTTGTATGGATCTGTGTCATGTCTTCCATTTGCTTGTGGTATAAATGGCTCATTTGCTGTAGTAGGATCAACCAGGATCATCTGTAGGAACGTATGAGCATTATTGCAATCATACGCTTTTAAATGTATGTAATACCTGTGAAATATCAGCTACTTTATAAAATTGCTTTTTATCCAATGTCTTTTGTGCTTCAATAATAGTAGGCAAATCAACAAGTAATACGTCGTGTTCTTTACCATCAAATGTGAATGTTCCCTTTCTGTTATCTATATTAAAGTTAAATTTATAGAAAGAGATATCGCCAATGTCTAACCTTTAAAATGTAGTTTAACATCAGCTGGAATCTCTCGTTTCTTTACTAATTCATGAAGTTTTTCGCACATAGGCCCTTCTGGTACTCTGAATATAAGTTGTTCTTCAATAGCAGCTTCAGGCTCTTCTTCGTCGTCTGATGCCGTACTCTGCCGTCCTTCATGTTTGTTCTCTCGTGCTGTTAACTTTATTTTGATGGTTTTTTCTTTTTTATCCGTCGATTTAGGCTCCCGTGGCCTTCTTATTTTGATAATCTTGGGTTGTTGCTGTTGCGGTTGTGTTTCTTTAGAATCCATAATTAAATAAAAAGAAAGACAAACGGGAGAGAGAAAAAGGCAGCTGTGACAGCGGACTTGTTTTTTCTTTCTTTTTTTACACTTGTGTATTATGTCCTTTGTTAATCAACTTGAGACACTCATTTCAAAGGCAACAGATGAGTATGACAAGATTGCAAAGAGTGAGCCCAAAGTAAAAAGCAGTGAAGATGGTACATCAAGAGGCGATATTTTAGACGAGATCATTAAACAACAGCAAGCTGAGAAAAAAAAGCTTTGGAATAAACTATACAAGGTTGCTATTGTTATTGCTTTTAAGAATAGTCTGTCTCATCATTATTTAGCTAGAAAAAACACGCGTGAATAGAAAAAGACATGTTGTATTTCAAGGGCAACCTTCAGACGCTAATGAAAAGAAACTGATGACGTTAATATATGAAAGTAAAGAGCTAGAAAAGGAAGTCAGAAAACAAGATAGCAATTTACAAAATATACCTAATGTTGACGATAATATTCTGGAGATCCAATTCAGAGATCAACTCGATCGAGAGATTGAACAATACGATCAAGCCATACAGTTTCTAAAAGCAGAATCAGAAAAAGTTAAGATCAATTTAGCAGAGTATTGTATATTGATTCGCTCTTTAAAACGTGGATATGCTAACAATGTGTAAATAGAGAAAAAAAAGCTCTTGTAGAATGTCAAGAAGTATATAAAAGCTTAAAGGCTAGACGAGAGACGCTAATGGAGACAAATCCAGAAGTGATCGAAAGGTTTGTGTAAGATGATGTGATTATCATTTATGCTAACTTGTTCTTGCTAGTAAAATGCAAGAACATATGACCTTAGTCCAGTCCTTGTTGAAGAAGGATACAAGAGATTTAGTACAGTTCTTGGATGAATTTTATCCACCTCACCCCATCGATGAAAATAACCCATTAGGTGACGACTGCAACTTAAAAAAGATACTAGAACAGCTGATGAACCTCTCATACACAAATCCAGATGACCCATACGTCACCCTTGTACCTGGGACATACTGGAAGCCCTATATTGAAACCCTAGCAAAGGCAGGAATCATACGATATCATCCTGAAGATGCGAATCAAGTATGCCTGGAAGACTTTAAAATGTAAAATGTGTAAATAGTTTTATTTATTGTCCTTTAATAAAAAGACGTGTGTTTAATAATTTGATGTAGTAGACGATTTTCTAAGCTTTGCACGCTCTGCAACTAAGCCTGCACCAGGGAAAGATCCCATTTGGTTATCTATCCAGTCATTATTATTATTATTATTATTATCTTGGCCATTTTGATGGCTCATGAGATACTGTTGAATCTGAGATGAAGTTTCAGCGATACCAGCAACACCCACATAGTCTTCCTTTGTTAGCTGTTGTTCTTGCTTTTTCGTAGGCGCATGTCGAGCTAATGTGTCCAGCTCTTCCTTCAGAGTCTCATAACGGAACTTGACTCGGATATCAGGTACATTCGTCTTTTGCATATCGTTACCTTCGACACCAGACTTGTACCAGTTCTTTCCAATCCAGTGCTTCTTGATCTTGTTTTCCCAACCTGACTGGATGACCGAATTACGGGCCAATTCGCACATATCGGTGGACGAAAGCTTCCAAATCTGTGCCGCGACACTGTATTCTTCAATCAATGGCTCTTTTGTAAAATGGAACTGAAGTGGATCATCCGTCGACAAAGAAATGTTTAAGCCGCGTTGGAAGAAGTGAGGCAATGGGTTACGTTCGTAAGTCAAGAAAAGAGCATTATTCGAGAGTGGGGACATAGCAATGCCGATTTGAGCAAGATAGTAAAGGTACTGAAGAGCTGGCACCTTACGAAGTAAGATACCGTGGCTAATGCCATAGGACGTTAGGAAGGCTGCGGCCAGATGCGCAGTATCACCTGCCTCACCACAGTGAGGTCTAAGCACAAACGTGGTAAAACCACGGATTTGTCTCCACCTGTTCAAAGAGGCCATGTTTGCATACATATAGTAGAGGTAGTAGCTATAGTGAGGATTGTTATTCGAAGTCCATTGATCAGGCAGTGGACAATCCTTATAGACTGGCTTTTCTGGTTTAGACTCATCATCTACAGTATCAAAACCGATGACACGTTGAAGGAAAACGTGTAACTCGGGGTGCGATGCAGGATCCTTGGTCACTTCAAACAAGGGCTGAAATACGTTGATGATAATGTCATGAAAGCTCTTGATAGCGTTGGAGGATTTGTAAATGTTGTAAAGTCGCGGTATTTGAATTAGCCAGCGTACATTTGCTGAAAAAAGCTTATTGTTCACGACCCACTTGGCGAGTTTGTCCCATTCGTCCAAGGACCTTCCATAGATCGATACTCGATATTCCACCATTTGATACTTAGATGATTCGAGATCAGAGACAACTTCTTTTGTGATTTCTGCTAGATATCGGCCTTGAATATAATTGTCTGTCTTCATGAATATTTCTCTTAGTCGACTTTCACCTATAGGATTATACTTCAAGTTGAACTTGTCAAAACGGTGAAATGAATCTTTATGAGCGTGCATATCTAGAGTGTCGATGCTCAAGTCATAGGCAGTAAGACCCAAGCTTTCAAAGACACCTTTCAGTGTCAGTTCATGCCCATCTCTATAAATGACAACATCATCTGAGCATTTTTTCATCTTTGACTTTATAAAACGAAGCAAGTGCTTTTGATTCATACTGCTCGAGTGGTGAACGTGGGTATCAACCTTTCTGACATTATAAAAGTCACGATGAGGCACCCTCTTGGAGTCTGCGAGCTCTTGGAATTCATTCAAGAGGATATACATTTGCCATTTAGAATCCAGATAACGGAGTCTTCTGAATGCAAAGCTTTTGGCAGGTCCGTCGCTGATAACATTAAGGACATACTCCAAGTCCTCATAAAACTGTTTAGGTGAAGTCACGGAATGGATCGGCTGTTGGTCATTGTAGACGACAAAGAATCCATCTGGACCCATCCGATAATCATACTCGTGCTCTCCAGGAATCTTGCAGTGGTCAAAGTTAAAGTCGGAGCCGACCGCAGCAACCGGATCAGCTTCACGCGCCTTTTCTTTAGCCTTACGACGTTCAAGTTCTTCTGGAGAAGGCAGCGGCCAAGAAGGTGGAGGTGGAGGTGGATAGATCTCCCAGTCGTCTTGATTACGTGGATCGTCAAAGAGTCGTTGTCTTGATTCAGCAATATATCTTTCTCGCAACTCTAAACATTTTTGAAGTGCACCATAAAGTTCTCTCAGCTCAGCAGTGATCACATTATCTATAGAACAATTAAAAAGAGATAAGTATAAAATTTTTCTTGTCTTTGACAAGGCATTCTATTTTTATGTTATTTAGGTTACCATCTTTTTCTATTTTTGCTTGTGGATTCTGTGTGGCATCCGATGCCTTCAAGGCGTTCGGATCGTCATTTTCCAGATTCAACTCTGATAAATGGTGTTGAACCGGCGAAACTGATAGATTTTGACATAGATATTTACTGTCATGCTACAGAATAATAAGGAAAAAAAAAAAAATAAAGAGTTTATATAATATAGTTACACTTTCGATTGCTTTCAAGTGATGATAATCAAAGTAAGGCGTATGATCAAAATCGTTTATTTCTGTTGGACTGTCGAGGTCGCTGGAGTGAACCATTATTAAAAAGAGAGAAAAAAAAGGAAAGAAAAGGCTGGGAAAAGACTGAAAAAAATAAACAGAAAATGGTCACACAGCATTGTCCAAGTTCAAAAAAAGGGGGGGGGGAAGTAATTAAATGCGTAAAAAATGTTAGTGTCCTTGATTGTATAAATGAGTAGATAATTCAGCATAAAATTCAAGTCTATCAAATTCTTGTCGATCATTTGGCTTGAATGACCTAAAGCGATATCTATAACAAAAAAAAGATAAATAATCTATTTGCATATAAATGTAACAGATGCTTACGGTATACAACTATATATGATATGTGAGATAATGTATATAAAGCATAGGATGAAATGTTTACCTCTTGCCACTAAGATCCCAGTGGTCGGCTTCAATAGTCTTTACATAAGTACCCCACTTTGCACTCTTGACACTCACGATGCCATCATTCTCTCCTTCTTTTTCAAAGACCATACGCCCAGGCAAGTTGAGCAAAGAGGACCAAGCAGGAAATTGCGTAGATGCTCCATATGAATAATATTTTACAGTTGGATCATCGGGGGTATTTGGATTAAAATATTGGTTACAAAAATCGGTTGTCAAGTGAGCATAGGCGGGTGCATCAAACCAATCAACGATCAGTTTATCGAGCTTTCTCCATTTATCTGTCGCTGTCACGGCAACTGTTGCTTGATCCCGCATTGTAGGCTTCTGAAGTAACATTGTGCTCGAATCAGTGGGACACCAAGGAGCATGCACAGACCCTAAGCCTAAATGGTCTCTAAACCAATCCATGACTGGCGATCCACGATGAGGCGTGCAGATGGTTGTCAATGACTGCACATGATATTCTCGATCACGATAATTGGCTAATAGATGTCGACAATCGAGGCCACCCTAGATAGATGGGTTAAATGGTGAAAAGAAACTAGGTCATGATCGTTACCATGGAATGCGCAACAAAATTGACTTTTTTCCCCACGAGGATGGATTTTAAAATGTTGTGTAAAGCAAGTGATCTTTCCCAGATGCTGCCTGCCTGTGGTACCTTGGTAACGATCACCTTGGCACCTAGTTTCGCTAATGTATCCTCCACTCCATCCCAATAATGGACTTGTAATGCCGGGATACTTTCGGGTCCTCGAATATCGAAACCAAATAGGCCATGACATAAAACAATAGGCTCCCTTGGTGCAACATAACTGGGGCAGACGGGGACTGAATGGGAGTGTACTTTGATAGTTTCGGTTGATGCATAATTATCATTAATAATCTTTTTGGTTGTTATATTGCCTGATTGCTGTAGTATCTTGGTAGGATTTGAAAAGAAGGATTCAGCAGATAGTATTGTTGTTGATCTTGAGGGGTATAAGATAGTATGATGCTTCTTTCTTTGAAATGTATTAAACTTCTTTTGAGCTTCTGTTAATAAACTAGTGATAAATGAACTATTGATATGTAAAGACTTTTGTAAATATTGATAAAGAGTATATATTGTGATCGTATTCATATAGTTTAAAATGAGTAAAGGAAAAAAAAAAAAGTGGGTTGAAACAAAGAGCTCTTTTTATTATGCGTTCTTTAAATTCGCCCCAAAAGTCGATACATTTATTGGCAGAGAAATGGGGAAACATCACATCATTGACAGCATCATGCAACCGTGGAGTGATACACAGGAATCATGTGCTTTTCTTTACTTTTGCTCATATTTTCTTATTGGCTGATTCCATCTCTCTCAAACGTGGACAAATGATATTTTGCATAATTGTCCTTTTGGTACCTGATGCACTTGAGGGAGGTGTACCTGAAGTAATATGGAGATCTGATGCAGGTTACTGCATGTAGGATTTCCAGTTACTTTATTGTTTGTCCTCGTTGTCATGACAAAAGGAAAATAAGGCTGTCATAACGACGAACAACATATACATAAACCGAGATTCAAGTGCATTTACCGTAGGATAACAAGCTAATATGATTCGTGATACATTGAATTTATGGGAATCAATTTTCCATTTATGCATTTAATAATAAGCGCAACTATAATTATATAGGATAGCCTATCCAATTTAAGTTATTATTCTTAGAGAGATATTTTTATTAGTGTTGTCACCATTAATACCAAAAAAGGTAGATTCAATGATTTTTAATGTTACATTTTTATTTTACCGCCATTTGAAATAAAAAAGTTTATTAATTCTTTCTTCATCTTTCTTTCGCTCTTTCCTTCTCTCTTTTCCTTTCATTTTAAACAATGACTACAGAAGAGATTGTTATTCCTAACTGTCAAGGCTGTTCAAAGCCAATTGAAGAAGGCGCCGTTGTTGCGTTTGGTGAATCATTATTTCATGTTAAATGGTATATAATCAAATTGATTTTGCTGATCATCTCTTACTCATCATTCACTGTAGCTTTGTATGTGATAAGTGTAAAGAGTGCGTAGAGAGTAAAACAAATCTTTTACTATTGGATAATGGAAAACCAGTATGTGATAACTGTTCATACAATTGTACAGCATGTAATGGTATCATCCGTGATGAAGCCATCATGACTGGTAAATAGGAACAACGTGTTCAAAAATATTGTGTTGATCCCCTTTTCTTTAATCAGGAGACAAAGCCTATCATTCAGACTGCTTCAAGTGCGTGTCGTGTAAAAATAAAATTGAAGATCTCATCTTTACTCAGACCAAAAAGGTATTCATACCGCATTGTCTTACTCGATTAGTCACTAAATTACATTCAGGGTATTTATTGTACAACATGCTATGAAGCGCGTAAACAGTCAAGAAAGAACAAAGTAAAGGTAACTTATTATATCTGTACACATGTTGCATTTCATTTAATCTTCTTTTATTAGCCTGGTTCACTAACTGAATTGCCTCCTCGTCAGGAACCAACCGAGGATCCACCAACGCCAGCTAGATCGCGAAGCAATTCAAGTAATACGAATATACAGAATGAATCACTATTGTCCGTCTTGTCACCAGTGACTCTTTCCTTTTTTGATAACAATTCCTCTGACCTCTTGGATAATCTCACCAGCTCACTTGGAGCCAACCTCTGTCTGAACTTTAGTCCTCCAGCCGAAGATGCCACTCAAACTCGCATTAATCGAGCATCAGAAATCTTACAGTCATCATTAAGGACCTCTTCTTTAAAGTACGCCCCTGGACCATCTACAAACGACATCACCGATTTGGATGCTAGCAAGCTTAAAAAAGAATTATCAGAAACGAGATCAAACCTAAAAGAGTTAGAAGCAGAATATAAGTCGCTGCAGGTATGACAAAAAAGGAGAACACATTTTACGCCCATTTTTTTTTTACTAACTCGTGGTATCTATTGATAGCAAGCTAGTCAGCAGGCATTAGACGAATTCACAAAAGTAAAAGAAGAATATGCTAAAGAGGCAGCTATTAAGCATCAACAAGAATTCATCATTGCTGCACTCTTGACGAGGAATAATGCTGGCTTACTCTCAAGAAAAGATCTCGACAAATTGGCAATGTTAAGACTCCAACTTGAAAATGCATGTAATGAGCTCATTCAGTACCGTGACTTGCTCACTACCCAGATCGATCAGACAGTCGACAAGCAGACAATCAGTGGTTATTATTCAAACTATCAAAAGAGCTTAAAGGCTCAAGTCAGGTCCCTGAGTCAACAAAGAGATTTACTTTTGACAGAAACAAAGGAGCTCAAGACAACTCGAGAAGAGGTCTTGAAGGACTTGATCAACCTAAGTACACATAAGCAATCCGATTCAGCGGTACCACCAATCACAATCTCCCCATCAGAATCAACAAGCTCCACACGGCCCCGTAAGCTATCAGATGCAGGGTCAGTCATATGCAAAGTGTCATCTAGAAATAGCTTCCTTGGTGATCAAACTCCTACATTGTTCCGCATAAAGAAAAAGGGAAGCACCATGTTCAACATTTTCACAAATGGCAACAACGCTAATAATAGCCATAGCAACAACAATAACAATAATAATAATAATAGCAACATTAAATTAAAGCCCGAACCATCTGTATCCACCTCCTCTACATCCTCCACAGCAGCCTCTTCTATCTATGGCCTATCCACAAAATTCTCAGGCAGCTCACAAAACCTTTCAAAGAAAGCAGGTCTTTCAGAATTGAATGTATCTTACCAAGGAAACCACGCATTCATGCCTGCATCATTCATTCGCCCTGTCAAGTGCGGTGTCTGCAGTGATAAAATATGGGGGCGATCAGAGTTTAGATGTGAAGGATGTGGGTTCTTGGCACACTCAAGATGTCTCACTCAAGTTCCCTCTTCCTGTCTATCTTCCTATTCTCCCTTAAGTCGAAGTAGCTTTGACCTCCTGTCTGATGCAACTTCCTTTTCAGCAACTTCACCCATTAGCAACTATGAGAATAAGCCACTACCACAAATCACACAGTCAGGTAAGCTTATATATGCTTGTGCGTATATTTATATTAACTCATGATTTTATTGTTCAGGTGTTAAGCCTCTCTTTGGCACTCCGTTAACTGAACGTGTAGAGTTTGAAGGCCGACCAGTACCACTGTTTGTCACAGAGTGTATCAATGCAGTCGAACATCGAGGATTAGACTATGAAGGCATATACAGAAAGTCAGGAGGAGCAGCTCAGATACGGTCTATTCAATCTGCTTTTGAACAAGGAGAGAAAGTAGATCTTTATAATGAAGACGAGATTAACGATATATGTGCCATCACGAGCGTCTTGAAGCAGTACTTTAGAGAATTACCAAACCCTCTTTTAACATTTGAAACATACCAAGCATTTATTGAACTATCAACCATGAACAATGATCCTTCCAAATTACAAAAAATGACACATATTCTATCACAATTACCTCAAGCTCATCAAGACACATTACGTTCACTATTTAGACACTTGGAAAAGATATGCCAATCATGCTCAAAAAATAGAATGACCATAAAGAACCTGGCTATGGTATTTGCGCCTACATTAATGCGACATCAAGATCCTTCAAGGGACTTTTTGGATATCAGCTATAAAAATGCCGTAGTGGAATATTTATTGTTACATACATCTGAATTGTTCTAAATTCTTGTAAATTACACTATTAAATTTTTTTTTTACATGTCAGCGAAAAAGGCTGCAGTTTTTGTATTCTTCTTTTTAGGCTTTCTTGCTTCTTTCTTTTGTGTCTTTTTACGTTTCTTTTGTTTTGTGGTTTCTTCATCAGAATCTGTTCCCCAGCTGTCGTCATCGTCATCATTTCCGTCGTCCTTGACGTCAGTTTTTTCTAATGATGGGACGATTGGCTTAACTTGTTCATTATCATCTGTCGTATCATTATCTTCTTCTTTTCCGGGGTCTTCTTGAAATAGATGAGCAACATCCCAAAACTGCAACTTGTCATCATGGCCACTAGATACAAGGTATTTCTTATCGTGACTCAGCTTGAGGTTTTCTATAGGCATATTTTCGCCATGATCTCCCAGAATACCGTGGAATTGATTTGGTAAAATACCCACTAGACTAAAGTATTGAATAAGTATTTAATATGACGCTTTTGGAGTTGTCGTACCGAATAAGACCATCACTACTTCCTGTACAAATAGTATCTTCGTCTAATTTACATATAGCATCAATTGAGTTTGGATGACCGATAATTCGATCATTATAGTCACCCCAATCCCCCCATGACCACAGGGTGAGTACACCTTCTTGTGTGCCTACTACTGCTTTCTTATCATTCTTTGCGATGGAATTAATGGTTGCTATTCTCTCGACTTTCGACTTATTTACCTTCATTAAAGCAATCGATAACAACTCATCTTCCATTTGATCTGACATAGCTACTACATCGGGCTTTCTAATATCCCATGTTGACAAGTATCCATCACCTCTAATATTTATATCAATATATATCTAACTGATTTTAAGTTGTGATCTGTTCATTACCCTACTGCTATCAACGTTTTGTTTGAATAGCTGTATGTCATTTGTGAAATATAGTCTTCATGTTCTGTGTATATCATGACAGCTTCATCTTTGCGGCTATCCCAAATCTTTTTCTTACTTAGTCAAAGTAAACTACTATTTCATTTTTACCTTTATAACACCCTGATCGTCCCCAGTGGCAGACATGTTTTCGTTGATAATCAATAAAGAATTAATAGGTGACCTAGTAATATGAATAAACTCTTCTTTTATATATATCTATCTATCGTCTTACTCATGAGTGTTTTGTCGTGTGCGAATAGCTTGTCCTGTTTCTGTGTCCAAGATCTGGATCGATCTATCTCTAGAAATACCAAAAACATCTATTTCATTTTAGCAATGTCTTTCTTTAAAGTTTTTTTCCCCTACTCTTTCCGTCTAATGAAAATGAGACACCTCGACATGACTTTTTGAACGTCTTTGAGGTCCAAAGGTGTTTATGACCTTCTAAACCATATTGATAACTGCATAAATGTAAGCAAGAGTTGATTATTGAATAATTCACATTCACCATTTTATACGACCGTTGATCATGCCAGTAACAACAATGTCATTACTTGGATGAAGATCAAGATGAAATATATTATCCTCAAATAGCAAAGGCTCTGGTTTATTCTTTCCTGGTTCCATGAGTCTTTATGGAAAAGATAAAAGTATTTTTTTTTTTGACATGTTTAATCTGGCAAAGTCACAGGTTAGCATTAGCCAATAAAAGCATTGAAATGACGGGTATTCAGGAACTAGTTAAATCAAGGAAGTAGTGTTATTATTTACCTAGGCTGCCATGCTTGAAAGACGTCAATCTTGTAATGTACAATATATGTCACTTTTAACAAAGTATCAAGAATAACATCTCCTGTAATCTTTTTTTAAACGTAATCTCATCACAGTTCAAAACTTTCCCAATATGTTCCATCATCTCTTCCCTTTCTTTTTTATTTGGATTCCCTCCCTTTTCTTGTCTACATTATATGATTATTTCGTGTCTTTAGTTCTCAAAGGCTCTTTGGTATTGTACTACAACCCTGATTTATGCATTCGGAAACTTGTTGTTGTCAGGAGAAAGAAGAAGAGGAAAAGATGGATAGACTTGCATCATTACAAGGGGAAATTCTCTAGAGGGGAAAGGGGAATTATGTTTTTTTTGAAAGAGAGAAAGTTTGTTCTTCTTTTATTTTTCTTCTATACGCGCGCATTATGGGTCAAATGAATGTCACCTTGAGGACTGAACCAGACTCAATTCACTTTAACTCAGCCGCGGTGTTTTTATTTCTATTCAAAAAAGAATATGCCCCCTTACTTGCATTTTACTCTCATTATAAAAAAGGAGCAAGTGAACATCGAATGTCTACAAGTGAAGAGTCATCTATTCAAACAAATCGTACCTTAGAAGTTGACTCTGATAAAGACCTCGTCATACAATCCTTACAAGAGTCACTTCAAATTCATAAAGAAATTCTCGAGCGTATTCAAAACGAAAAAGATACATTTCGACAGCAAGCAGAGAAAGAAAAACAAGAACAGAAAGAAGCCTTTGATAGATGGAAATCAGATGCAGAACAAGCTTTAGAAGAAGAGGAAAGACATTGTATAGAGCTGGAAGAAAGTATTGCAGCTCTAAGAAAGGAGCTTGAAGCAAAGAAGGAAGCATATCAACAGTTGGAAATCAACTTTTATTCATATGTAAAGACAATTCGTGTTACAGACGATGACCTTTCGACAATCCAACCTGAAATATCTCATTTATTAAGCCAATTGAACAATACATGTATGGGCCTTAAATCCAAAATGGACCGTAAAGCAGGAACTGAGGCAGTTTACCGCTTGTTTCCTGACAAGAAAGACTTTATTCAGCGTTACATGACACCTGTTGATGGTGTAATGGACGCATCCTATATTACTTTATTTGTAGAAAAGTATCTCATCCAAATGTTACTATTACATGTTATGGATGTACCTATTCAACTGGGTGTTTCCATTAATGATGCTTTTCAAGAATTACATGACTGGATGGAGACAAGGAACAAGGAATGGTCGAACCGGTTGAGACAGCAAGTGTGTGCATTAGTAATACAACAGCCAGGAGCTGAAGAAGAAGAAAGGATCCAGAAAGCCAAACAAGAGCTATTAGAACGTATCATTACTGATTTGGGTGACGTGTATCCATCATTAAGACAGGACCCAAAAAAAATTGAAAATCTGATTACACGATCCTTAAAACTGAATTTGGCTGTCAAAGGACAAGAGATCAAAATAGAAAGGCTTCCAATTATAGAAGGTGAAACACAATTTGATCCTGCTTCAATGAAAGCAACAGCAAAGGGTAAATCAGATGGTGTTGTCGGATTGACAATAACACCGCCTTTTGTTGCAAGAGATGAAATTGACAATGAACATGGATTTACTGTACCTGGCAAAGTATTTTGTATTGAATCAAACAATGAAACCGTTCATAATGAATCTATTGAAGAACAAGATAATCATTCAGAAGATAAAAAAGAAGATAAAGTACAGTCTATGGATACCGAAGATGATGAATAAGGAGAATAGCATTTTGAATTCATTTTAAACATTTTATCGCATTAAATTCATTTTAAATAAACAAACACTACATTATGATTTTGTAGCTTCACCACGCAAAAGAAAACGAGTCACAGTGTTGCACAAGAAACTTTATTTTTTTTTGTTAGAAAGAATCTTTTTCCTCTCTTTCATTAAATAATAGAAAAAAAGGCACAAAAATGGCCCAAGCAGCTGTTCCTACAGAAATATTGATACAGCTTAATACTGTGCTCACTAGTCTCTTGTCTCATGACAATAACCAAAGGTATATGAACATGGAAAGATAATGGTTTACATGTACTTATAAAAAAAAAGAGCTGCAGCTGAAGCACAATTGAATGAACAATGGGTTACTTCACAACCTGATCTCCTTCTTCTCGGTCTTGCTCAATTTGTAGCCAACAACACTGAGGCCCATGTAACTACTTAATATAAAAGCATACAAGACTGAATATTGACTTTTTCTTGATAAGCTTCGTTCTTATTGTAGTGTTCTTCTTCGTCGCTTAGCCTATAGACAAATCACCATTGATAGCAGAGAAGAAAGCCTTTGGAACATTGTGAACGAAAATACTCAACAGGGTGTTAAAGAGCTCTTATTATTTGCTCTTGCTAATGAGACCGACCAAGGAGCTAGACATAAGGTCTCTGACACCATTGCAGAAATTGCTCGCTTTGACTTGAGCAAAGGAGGTACACACTATTCTTTTTATTAAAAAGAGTCATTTATTAATGTCAGTTATTATGTACAGATACTTGGAGTGCTTTATTAAAGGCATTGTTTGACTGCACCCAATCTCCTCATGCCGCTTATAGAGAATCAGCTTTCCGTATCTTTGCTACGATACCCGACCTTATTGCCAATCAGCACACAGAGACTATTCAACAAATATTTTTAGCCAGTTTGACCGATACAGAAAACCAGGCCGTAAGGGAATATGATTTGGAGCAGTGGGTAGAGTTAAATTTTATATTCTATAGGTTCGCTTAGAGGCCTTGAAAGCCGCATGTGCTTATATTGTTCAAGCTGATGATCAAACAAAGATGACCTTTGTCAACTTGATGCCTCATATGTTGGAGGTAGAGTATATTGTGGATAAAGCAACATCACATTAACTTGTTTTTTTTTTTTAGCCTTTGACACCACTTATTGTAGCTCATGACGACCAATCTTTGGTGGACTGCCTTGTAGTATTGATTGAATTAGCTGATTCTGCTCCCAAGCTTTTCCGTAATGTCCTTCCTCAGGTTCTTACTGGAATGATCTCGATTGCCAAGGATAAGTCTTTTGAAGATCGTACACGTCAAACCACTTTAGAATTATTGTTGTCTTTGGCTGAAGCTGCTCCTGCCATGATTCGTAAGCTTCCTAACTTTGCTCAAGAAGTTATTCCTGTTTCTATGGAAATGGTCACGGATATTGACGATGATGAGGACTGGTACACAGCTGATGATGTAAGTAAGCTTCATAAATGTAAATGAGGTGGAATTAACACTATTTCTAGATCGATGAAGATGATAATGAATCAAACTATGTTATGGGTGAAAGCGCATTGGACAGAGTTGCTCGTATTCTTGGTGGCAAGGCTGTTGTACCTATCTCATTCCAGTACATCCCTCAAATGCTTCAATCAACTGAATGGCAACAACGACGTGCTGCTCTCATGACTATTTCCTCTATTGGTGAAGGATGTATCAAGGTAATGCAGCCTGAACTTTCAAACATCATCACCATGATCTTGCCTTCCTTCAAGGATGTCCACCCTCGTGTACGCTATGCAGCATGTAATGCTATCGGTCAAATGTCTACGGATTTCGCTCCTGTCATTCAACAAAATTTCCACCAGATTGTCGTTTCTGCTCTTTTGCCTCTCATGGAAGACCCTCAACCTCGTGTTCAGGCACATGCTGCTGCTGCCATGGTCAACTTTTGTGAGGAAGCTGACAAGGAAGTTTTGGAACTTTATCTTGATGCCATTTTTGAACGTCTTTTGGTGCTCTTGAAGATGTCCAAGAGATATGTTCAGGAGCAGGCTGTCACTACCATTGCCACTGTTGCTGATAGCGCTGAGGAGAGATTTATCAAGTATCATGGTGCTATTATGCCTCTTTTAATTGATATTCTTCGTCAAGCTACTGATAAGGAATATCGCTTATTGCGTGCCAGAGCTCTTGAATGTGCATCTCTCATTGGTCTTGCTGTGGGCAAGGAGGTCTTTAGTCCATACACTGTTGATTTCCTCAACCTTCTTGCAGAGATCCAGCAAGGCGTCGTTGATGATGATGATACTATGACAACTTACCTTTTAGCCGCTTGGGCTCGTATGTGTAAGATGATGGGACAAGACTTCCTTCCTTACCTACCCAACATCATGCCACCACTCTTGGCTTCAGCTAAATTAACACCGGAATTCACTTTTGTCGATTTTGAAGAGGAGGATGTTGAATCCAAGTATCCTTCAGAAGAAGGTTGGGAATTCGTTGGTATTAATGGACAGCAGATTGGTATCAAGACATCTGTTTTGGAAGAAAAGAGCACTGCTGTTGAAATGCTTGTCAGTTACGCTCGTGACTTGGGTGCTGGTTTCTTACCCTATGTTCGTGAAGTACTTGAAATTGCCTTGCCTTTATTGAAATTTTACTTCCATGAAGGTGTTCGACATGCTGCTGCTGCCCTCCTTCCTCTTTTACTTCAAGATGCCAAGGAAGCCAATATTCCTCCTAATGAATTGGCCGCCATGTGGAACACTATTTTTGAAAAATTAATCAAGGTGATGAAGATTGAGGATGATCTTACATTCTTGGCACAGGCCTACTCCACTTTCTCAGACTGTCTCAAGGTCCTTGGCAGCAACTGCCTTTTACCTACGCAAGTTGAAGAATTTGTCAAGGCTACCGATGAACAATTGCACAAGTCACTTGAACGTTTGAAGCAGCGCGAAGAAGATAAGGATGACGAATATGATGCTGAAGAGTATGAAGACTTTGATGAAGACGAAGCAAGTGAAGAGGATGTGCTTGAAGAGATCAAGCGTTCTTTGAAGATTATCTTCAAGATGTTAGGTCCTGCTTTTATGCCCTACTTTGAAACACTCTCTCCTATATTCAATCAATTCCTGACTCTTCAAGATTCTTCTGCTCAAAAGTGGGCCATGAGTGTGTCTGAAGATGTGAGCAAATATACAGGAGCCAACTAAGATCCCTTTTTTTAAGAAGACTTCATTTAATGCATTCATCTAATTATTTTTATATATTTCTTTATTTCTCTTTCTTTTCTTCCTTTTTTGTTTAAATAAAAAAAAAAGAGTACACATTTCTATATCTATGTTTTTTTTGCTACACAATTTTTGAAGAACCTTGCTGAGTTTTTTTATGATCCTGTTTACTGTAAATCTGACTTTATGCAGAGAAATCCGATCTTTCCTCTTCTTCTTCTCATTTTAAATGAACAAGTCAAACAACAAATTGAGAAGTAATGGACACTATAGACTGTATATAACCACATCTCTATCATTTGGCTGTTTGGTAACCATAATGGCACTATATTCCTCACCTAATTCATGGTATGATTTTTTTAATTCCAAACCACAAAAGGGTGATATGGGATTTGGCAGATTCTTCATAAGAGGTTCGAGGTTCATTAACGGTAAACATGAAAAAGTAAAGAGAAGGGCAAAGGTAACTAACTGCGCAGTTCAAGGACAATACACCCCTTTTGCATACCCTTGGCGACTAGCTCAACCAATTGAAATTGGACAGTACATTGCTTGGTCAGCTTATTTGGTTCACCAGATAGGTCAATCACTCATTTTAGCCAAGGTTCAATTATCCAAAAAAGAAAAATTAATACGCTGGTCGGATGACTACCAATGGTGGAACTGGCAAATGGTTTATTTAAATACCTTCATGCTAGTCTTCAAATTAATTCATGGACATCTATTTTACGATGGTTTGGCTGCTACCATTCCTGAAGGAATTGCACAGGGCTCAGTTGTAGCAATCCTGGTCATTGCGATTGTTATAGCTATACCAAGGTAATATAAATGAAGATAGAGACATGGTAAGAACTCATTTATGTCAGACGCGGCATCATATTCGGTATAGGAAAGCACTCAGCAAGGGATGTAGTGCATTTTGTTAAAAAATATCATGGTTATCTGATGAGCTTTGGAACAGTGTTGAACTTTCACTATCATCCAGTGGTAAAAATACTAGAATATAAAAAGTATTAGAAAGTTTATTCATAAGATAGGAAGGAACCATGGGACATTTATTTGGTTTCGTTTACCAATGTTTGCTGATTTGGCAATCAACCAACTTTTTACACAAGGTATACAATCTATAAAATAAAGCATAAAGGTTTACTAACTGAATAAAAAGAGCCATCGAAATGCATCATGGACATTATTATTAGAAACATGGGTGTTTATTCACGGCACTTTGACAGCTATCATTCAACCTGGCATAGGCTGGCAAATATTTTCATACGGCTTTGCGATCATGTTCTTGCTAAACCAAGTTTACCAAACTCAAATATGTCAAAGCAAAATGATAATGACCGTAGCACATACTGTTTTTGCCTTCTCCATGTATCTAGGATTTAAAAATGACAAAGCATACTATCGCGCAACATTCATACCTGTGACTGAATACGCATGCGTATATTTCGTTTTAGGTGTAGGAAGCCTTGCGTTATATACCATTCAGTGTACGAATTCTTCTTTATTGAAACTATTTGTTACCCTTTCAGCTTCTGCTCTTGTGTCGATCGCATTAACGGCTGGACTAGCTTATGTCTTAGCCGGAAACCTTGTCGTGTATAATGATTATTAAAAAGGACACAGTTAGCGTAGAGTATTTAATACCTTGGTATAGTTAATAACAGTTTTATCAAAATTATACACATCAAATTTTATGGTTTTTTCTTTAAAAAATATGTTACTGTGAGCCTATTCTTTTTTAAATAAGCTCTTTCCGTGACAAAAAGACATTTACAGAAAATCATTTTTCTTCCTCACTTCTTTCCTTGTGAATAAGTGTGTGTGCTAAGGATTGTTGCAATTGTGGTTAAAGTACATCTCTTGGACACGAATACAGCATATATTGCATATGTATACTTCAGGAAAAGCTGGTGCGTTTGCTTCTATTCTTGCACGACTTTAGCTTGGTTCTTCCTTCTGTCTTTATTTAAAGCAAGCAATCTAGAGTACTTTTATAACAAAAAACAAAAATACAGCAAGATTCAAAAGCCTCTATATAAATGCTAAGCATTCCTTTATATTACAGAATATTCATTAATATATGTTTATATCGTAGATCTTATTATTACTTTATCCATTCATTTTAAACAATATATTTATCGCATATGCTTTGCTGAATAAAGTTGAATATGTGTGGTTATTATATTAAATAATGTATTTCTATTAAGAACTATATCGTTGTATCAAAAGACCCATTGACTGCTCATTTTGGCATTTATTCATGAAGTAGGTTTACTGGCAAGCATATATTTGAGAAACAGATGGATGATCTTGCCATATCATCTATTACTACTATGGCTTATGCTGATGCTAATGTGGTACCTATTTAATAAAGTACAGTTAACCATAATGACCATGCTTTTCTCTTTCTTGATTTGATTGTTAGTTCTTTTATTTTCTTGATTTATCACTTATTATTCGATTCTTTAATAGACTGTTTCCTTTAGTGAATTTTATGCAGACAAAAGTAAGAAAGACAACAACAGAAACGATCACGTACAGACATTTCACTGTGCTGTAAATAGAAAAAGGACAATTATGATAAGGATAAATGGCACGTCTAAAGTCTAGTGTTGCTTTTACGTTATGTCAATCGTGTGCCTTATTCATAAGCATAGCTTATACAAAAGCAACAGTGGCGTAACCATAGTAGCTAACGAATATAACTTACAATTAAATACATTCTGTTATTCAATAATAAATAATAGCTTAGCTTTACTGTATCTTTTGTAATATATAAGCAGAGTGTTTCTTTATAATGTCTATGAAACAGCTACAGCAAAGACATGACTTGGTTATTCTTTTCACATTATGATCAAGTCTTTTAGCTTGACTAAAGGTTAAAGTGAGATCCAAAGATTCGAGTTGCTATAGCGATGACATCGGAATACTTGCACAGAGTGACATTATTATTGACGTCTCAGCTAATGATTTATCTTTTGATATCTTTGCTCTGATAAAAGTGTACAGCCAATAGACATGAATGAGTTATGATTCAACCAAGTGCACCGTAGTAATTCTAAGTATCGTCTCGAAATTTTATCGATTAACTGCATTTGTAAATGGGTAATAGCTTTTATTTTTAATAAAGCGTGTGAGAACAACCGATAACATGTGATGATAGTAAAAGACGCTTCCCAGTCCTTAAAATGAAAGTAGAGTATAGTAGACTAGCTTAGACCAAGTATATTCTTCTTGTTCATTTATTCAACTCATTTCGATTTTGTCTCGTTTAATACTTTAAGTGTATCTAAGGCTCTTATCAAGAGTATTTATTAAATCCACAAAAGATCAAAATAATAAAATGTCTCAGTTTGGTTCCTACGCGTCAAATGCATCTTTCATACTTTTCGTGAAACTTTGAATGAGACTGCATATGACTGGCATCTATATGATCTAGAATCCAATAAGACAATGTTCCTACTCTGAAACGCATAACCTGTCTTTTTATTATCAATTAGTGTTTTTTTCCTTCTTCAAAATAACCTAAGAGTAAATAAGCAACAAGTGAAAAGATTGCTCTTGGTTGACGCAATAAAGAAGAACAATAAAAAAGGATGCACAGCTTAGTGTTCTTTTGTTATGTCAAAAAGAAAAGAAGCAATTGTTGATATCGTTGCCACGTTAAAAGTGATTGTCAAAGAGATGTGTACTACTTTAGTAAATAAAAAACTTACTCTTATCTCTGTTTTTCTATCATAAACAATATGCATTAGGTGTTGTCGTCCTCTATTATTGTTCTCCCTATTTTATTTTAATTCCCGCCAATCAAACACAAAGTAAGTTTATCATTATTTTCAATTCCTTCATTTTTTTTTTTTTCTTCCTTGTTTCATTTTCGTCTTTATTTTTCATCATTTTCTTCTTAGTCTTTACTCTCTACTTTAACACTTATTTCTGGCTTTTATCGAATATATTCTCGCTTATATTCTACAGATGTCAACAAACAGCAACAATGACAACAAATCAATGAGTGATCCTCGTTTGGATAATTCATCCATGTCCCAACGAAATGAGAAACATCTTCCAAACAAACGTGCGCCTTGGGCGAAGACAGAACCGCGCCAACCTCAAGCAAGTAGTAGCCGTAGCTACAATGATAATCAGCCTCATTCGGGACCTTCTCGTCCTCAGACGAGTACATCTACCTTTCGTGAACCTCTTCGTGAGAGGCGTACTGTCCCCCGCCAAGAACCTACACGCCCAGAAAAGGGTCGTCCTCTTACAAACAAATTCCATCCTCCATGGTTAACTTCTCAATTATCAAGCAGCAACGTTGAGGAAGGCACGCCTAACCTTACTGTTGACGAGATAAAAGGAACTGTCAAGAGACTGATGCGTGGTTTCCGTTGCAAAGTGCCATATGCATATCATCATAGGCTTATGCATGCCTCTCTTAGTCGCCCAACTGAGTTTGTTCGCCAAATCCCAGTACCATCGATCAAATATCTAAAGAAGGAAAGCTGGCCGGTGTTTAACAAGTACATTGGACACCCTCTGGACCGAACTGCGCTCAAGCGTCGCCTCCATATCGCGGCCGATCCAGATTATGTTGTGCCAGAAAGTGAACGACGGCCAATTGAAAGCACTTCCTCTCGTCAACACCTGGCCAGAGAGCCAGGAGAAATCATCTTTGAAGCACAACGCAAATACCCACCAAAAATTGCTAATCGCCACCAATACCCTCAAGCATCATCATCATCATTATCATTCGACGCTCTAGAAGCCCAATATCAAGCTGCCAAGCGTGTTGATAGTTTGGGAAATAATACTGTAGTGATGTCTTTCCTTGATGAAATTAAGGAGAATTCGAAGTTCCTGGCTCCTAACCCAAATACAGTACACCAACAAGACCAAGCTGGCCGCCCAGCGCCTGCTGTACAACCGTCACGCAAGCCTACCCCAAGCATTTCTAATACCTTGAGAATCCCCGATAGATCTGTTCGTCCTGCTTCTTCTTTGAAGCCTGCCGAAGAGCCAAGACTCCCTGATCGTCCAAAAAAGATTGAGCCATCTTCAAGTACTGCAACTCCTCGTACCACTATCACGTCTTCCGACAAGAAACCGCAAATCTCCACTGCACCCATTGCTTCATCCTCCAAGACCACTGGCCAGTCTCTGCTTCCTGAATCCAAATTGAAGTCAAGAGCTCCTTGGTCCAAGCCAACCGTCGACAACAACGTTCACCCATTAGCCACGTCTGGTGCTGTCACCAAAAGAAAGACTGAAACTGTTGCGCCCACTACGATTAGTCCCAGCAAGGTAAATACATATTCATATTTAGCTTGTTTTCTTTTTTACTAATCTTGTTCTTTATCAATAGAAGCTTAAAGCTGTTCATCAAGCACTGCAGCTTATGGCTGACTTTGATGAGCTCGCCTTGGAGCCTCTTGCAGTTGGGTAAGTCTGTTATCTTTGGTATGTCTGCTCTTATCAGCTAACGCATTCTCTTTAGTATTTCGTTTGAAACGGGTCCTTCCACTGCTGCTACAATGGATACCGTTTCCAATGCCCCCGATGACTCTCCTGATGATGCCACACAAACCAAACTGCCCTCCGCCCTTTCAACAGAAGAAATTCAAGACCATGTTCGTACAAAGATTTGTCCAATACTCTTCACTCAAGAGTCCCATCCTTTACGTAGGTTTAAGGAACTTGCCATGCGACGTAAGATCAAAGTACATTCTGAATGACACGTTGACTAACTTTTCTTTTCTTTTCAATCTAGATCCTCTGAAAGTAGTCAAGGTTGTAGTTAAACAGAAGAAAGCACTTTCTGTTTTAGAGGGCAAAGGCGTCATCAACTTTGTTCCTGGCCGTCCTCCTTCCGCTGCCCAAGAGCTTCCATCCACTAGCCAACACATTGTACAATTGGCATCAACATCAACCAGTTCTAAGGGCAAAGGCAAAGAAGTACCCAGCCATAGCCCTCCAAGTGCTGCTGGAAAGAAGCTTCCTTCAAGCAAGCCAGCCTCTGACGACACTGCTGTTCCTTTCACTACTCCCAACAAATCGGCTGCTGTTGCTACCGAGCTATCTGAGCATGAGGAAGAAGATATGGAGCTTGAGGAAGGCGAAACAATCAGTCCATCCCCCTCTCCACAGCATGTAAAACAAGCTAGCTTAAAAGACGATGACAAGCATTCAGGCTTCAAGCACAATGAGGCAGATGTTGATGAATCTGCTTCCCGTTCTCTGAACAAAGGCACCACTGCCAACCCCAAGCAAAGCACAAAGCGCACTATTTCTAGTGACAGTGGGCGTAGCACTAAAAGAAAACAAAGCGACGATAAGAGCAGCTCTGAAGAGAAGGACCAGGTTGCTACCAATGACAAAGGCAAGCAAAAGGTCACTGAGACGATCAAGGAAGAGCCCACTGATAATAACCCTGATACGACATCGCTGAAGAAAACTTTGTCAGCTACTGCGCCTAACGCAAACACCATGGAACAATATAAAGTATTCACATTCATGTGAGTATTGTTAAGTCTTTTATTACTTTTATTTATACTGATCTTCTCTAAAATAGGTTCCGAAATCTTGCACATACCTACAAGAAACGAGGTGATAGTGAAAAAGATAAACTGATTTCCGCCTTGAACCATTTTCATGCTTTTTGTAACTACATCATTAGTTACTACTACAACGAAAAACAAAAAACAGACGTGACACCATCTGAATCCGTTACAGCCTGGAAGTCCTTGTTTCCTTTTGCTGATATGCTCTTGGCTAAGCTCAAAGCCCAAGAGCAATATCTTCTGTATGGTGTCTGCCTCCGTCTGGTAGCCATGATGCGCTTTGGCATTTTCAGCAAAATGCAAGGCGAAATTCATGGCGTTCTCGCCAAGCATTTGAAAACTTCTTCAGCAAGTGACAGCCTCAAATATGTCAAAATGTCACACAACTTGCTGGAGGAGTACAATAAAGCAATGACCGCGAACGCCTCTTCAGAAAAATACTTTGGCTACCAAGTTCTGGCTAGCAAGTTACCATTGACCTTCAAGCAAGTATGTGTCGATGGTAACTTGCTCAGTGGTATAACTGTGGGTGGGGAGGCTGGCGTGGAGGTCTCACCAATGTTCCCATTTGAATTGAACGCCAGCCTCCTCCATGCTGCTATAGGTGCAAAGTGCATCCTGAGTGAGTTCGTGTCGTTGAAAAAGCTAGAATTTAAATTGATCAACGACACGGACGAATACATGTAAATATTTTGTAAATAGTCCTTTTTTTTTGTAAATAAATCTTGCTGTAAATAAGACTTTTTTCTTTCAGAATGTTTATTTTGAAATTGCAAGAGTAATTATATGATTTACAAAAACATGATGACATCAGCAAGTTCTTACTCACACGAAAAGCAGAGACTATTGTTCAACAAGTTCTTTTACCCAACTCAGTTCTTTTATCGCTACTTGCTAATTTGTTCCAACACTATACCGATGCTTATAAGATGTTTAAAAAGCAACTAGGATAAGTCATTAAATTTGGAAACACTGGTCGTTTCAATGAGCTGTCCCTAGACAATCGCTTCCGGCAATCTGGTTATCAATATTACATTCCAAAGGCTTCCCTACAGCTGATGCTAAGCAAAGAAACTTAGAGCTCACTTTAAGTTCACTTGAGCTTGTTATCCGTCACCAGTAAAGATACTGTTCTTACAGAATTGCTTTCCCATCTTGTCACTATGGGGAGAGTCTATCAGCTTAAAGAGTTTGCATGTCGAGGATGCCTTAGCATCAAACATGGATAAATTTGGTGAGAAATCTCTATTCAGCTTTTAAAGTATATGTTATATTTCGAAGCATGAGATATCCATGTTACTCCTTCTTCCTCCTCTTATAAGAGAGCATCTACTCTTATAGAAAGACTGGACACACTCGTCGATTTTGCAAATGAAATGAACGATCAGAAAGTGAGGAATTGGATGCCTATCTTGTTGCTACCCAACTTTCTTTCTCCGTAATCAAAACAAATGATATGTATGAGACAGACAAGTCTGAGAAGTTAGCAAGTGTGGAAAACAGGATTGCTGATGCCAGCACGAACATCTTATCCAACCTCATCAGTACATATTTAATGCAGACTGACAAGCTCATCGTGGAAGTCTACAAAGCCTCGTGCGCTTTTTACGATCCTTGCAATCCGAATAGCTAAATTACATCATCTTATGCTTTTATATCTATTCATTCCACTACCATTGAGGATAGATCTAACGATTCCTTTTTAGCTTGTGTAACTGTATCCGATAGCATCGGCTCATCATCCTCTGTTCGAGCAAACTTCAACTTTCTCATATCACTGACTCTGATATTTCCGTAACGAACTTCAACAGCATTTAGGGTGCTAACGGGTTATGAAGAGCAAACATATTCGGCATTGCTTCCTTAAATGTTCGCAGTACTTTAAGAAAACTGATAAATCTTTACAAAAACTACCTATATATGATGATTGTGAATGATCACTTTAGACAGCTTTAGGTTTGTTTAACAACTAGTGTAGCTTTTATCTCAGTCAGTACGCGTCTCCGCTCATTGCATTATCCAACATAGTGTAACCCCATTGACCTTGATTGTCTTTCATTACCGACTAATAAAGTCTATGCTCAGGCAACAAAAATCCATCCTATTTGTTTGTAGCCTCTGCTTCATCCTGTTCATGCAGATCTCAGTATAATGACAATAGATAAGTCAATTCGATTTTTCCAGTTTCAGATGCAGATTCAACAATAGACAGCTGTAATGGTACTTCATTCACAGAAAGCCATCAGTTTACATCTTAACAAGCCAGCTTGTTAAATACTTTTCTGATTTTTGCACAGATATATCATATGCTCGTCCATGAAGAGCAGGAACCCGGCTTCCTTTGTTAGGGTCTTCTCTGACGATGAAGCACAATCAAGATGCTATCAGAGCCATATATAGCAACTTGTGTTATTTCTGAAAAGCCTGCCCAAGTTTACTTGCTCTCTCCTGATAATGTACTTTGGCGTGTATAATGATGATTAAAAAAGACAGCTGGTGTAAAGTATTTAACGAGATACATATAATTATTATGTTATGTAAGGTATTTCTATTAAGGACTATATCGCTATATCAAAAGACCCATTGACTGTTCATTTTGGCATTTATGAATGTGACAAGATATTTTCTTACATGAAATACAAGTAGAAACGGCCCGAACTTCTAGTGTTTTTGTAATTTAAGTTGAAGTTGCTTATAGTAAAGAAAGACCCTTTTTTATTTAAATAGCAAATTATAATATGTATATTTCTTAGATCGAACACGTGTAACTATCTGTCAAGTACCTTTGATATGCCTGCTCTTATCAATTAACACCTTCTCTTTTTAGCACTTTATCGGAAGTTGCCCCTTGCACTACTGCTCCATAGGCGACTGCTATTGATGCTTTCGATGCCTCTGATACCACTGCTGCTAATAAAGAAGACACCAAAGATAATGCTTGTCCTGCACTCTTCGTCCAGGAACCCCATCCTTTGGGTAAATTTAAGGAACTTGCCATGAGACGTAAGATCAAATCAATCGCTGAATGCCGTGCTGACTAACATCTCTTTTCGCCCAAATCTAGAGGTCATGAAAGTCATGAAAGTGGCCGTCAAGCAAAGAAAGGTGCGGTCCTCCTTGAAAGGCAAAGAAGTTCTTGATTTTGTTCCTTATCGCCCACATTCTCCTTTCCATAGTGCGCCATCGATGTCTCAACTAGTTACACAATTTCCATTAGCCCCTTCTATCTCTAAGGTTAAGGGAAAAGAGGTGCCTCTTCATAGACCTTCAAGTGCCACCATAAATAAGCTTCCCGTAAGCAATTCAGTGTCTGAAGTCTTTGATGCTACCTCCGCTACCTCCAACAAGCTAACTGTCACTGATACCAAGCCATTTGTTCGCAAGGTAAAAGATGTCGAGCTTGAAGAAGGTGAAACGATCAACCCATGCCCACCGCTTCATCAAACCCAACAAGCATGCTCAAGAAATAACAACGAGCTTTCATGCTTCAAACATAATGAAGCACATGGTAATCAATCTGTCTCCCGTTCTGCAGTCAAAGACACTGCTATTAATTCCACAGCAGCATCAACCAAGAGGGCGTTGTCTGCCACTGCCCCAATGTAAACACACTGGAGAAGCTTAAAATATATACGATCATGAGAGTATTTTTAAGCCTTTTACTACTTTTATTCCATACTAATGTTCTCTAACTTAGGTTTCGCAACCTGGCCCATACATACAAGCAATGAGGCAATAGTGGAGAAGATCAGCTGGCCTCTACCCTGAGCCACCTCCACGTCTTTTGCAACTACATCGTCAGTAGTTACTACACCGACAAGCAACGAACCAGTGATAAGCCATCTGAATCGGTCACAGCTTGGAAGACTTTGCTTTCTCTTGGTGATATGCTCCTAGCTAGTCTCAACGCCCAGGAGCAATATCTTTTATATGGTATCTGCCTCCGTTTGGTTGCGATGGTGCGTTTCCGCATTCTTGACAGGATGCAAGGTGAAGTTCGGAGCGTTCTGGCCAGACACTTGCAAGCTCCTTCAGTAAGCGACGACCTCCAGTACACCAAGATGTCGCGCAACTTGCTGGAGGAGTACGAGCAATCTACGGTCATGAACGCCTCCTCGAAGGAGTACTTAACTACGAGGTAATGACCAGCAAGTTGCCATCGAATTTCAAGTAGGTGTGCGTTGATGGCAACTTACTATCTGGTATCATTATTGGTGGGGAGACTGGCGTGCAAGTATCGCCGATGTTTCCATTTGAATTGAATGCTAGCCTCCTACATGGTGCAATTTGTGCCAAGTACACCTTGAGTGAGTCCGTGTCGTCGATGAAGCTGGACTTCAAATTAATCAACGACACGGACGACTATGTGCAAATAGTCTTTTTTTTAAAATAAATCTTGTAAATAATAACAAAAAGTCTTTTCTTTTTTTTTTTCTAAAGATAAAAAGTACTCAGAGTATTCATTTATTTCATGTACGCATATGATGATGTCACATTTAGAGAAAGAGTTGATTATATTATATACATGTTTATAATTACATTTGTGAAAATTGAAAGGGTCTTGGTTTTTTCATCCTTTGTGAGTTGTCCTCATGAGAATCCATAGATACATCATCCGTTTCATCAAAGATGCTTCTCTTTCGTGTATCTTTTTCATCTTTTTCTAAAAGGGAAAGGCTGTTTTCTAATGATGGCACATTGGATCCATAAAGACTATAGGGTTATTAATAAATTGCACTAGTAAATATAATATGTATACATGCCTTGGTTGGCTTGCTAGTGACTCAGTTAAAGATGGAGGCAAAATGCGTGTATTAGCCATAAATTTAAGCTATTAAAAAATCAGGTCAGACCTTGTCCATAACAATTATGATTAACTTACCTCTTTAATCCTCATCATACTATTGGCTAAACTGGACAGATGGTGAAAAGAAGCAACACGGATAGCTTTATCCACTGATTCGGATAAACGAAGAGAGTTCACCAAGTCGAGAGCTCTAGAATGTCTCTCTGACTTACATGCAATATTAATTAATCTCAATATATCCTTATCCATTTCAATATCAGCGCTGTCAAAGGTGTCTTGGTATTCATACTGTTTTCCTGTAGCTTCTGCTTCATCTCGTTCATGTAGATCTCGGTATAATGATGATAGATAAGTCATTTCGATCTTTCCAGTTTCAGATTCAGGTTCAATAATAGGCAGCTGCAATGGCACTTCATTCACAGGAGGACGAGGGAAGTATGGATATTGATTGCTGCCTCGAAGAATGACACACATCAACCTATCTCTCAACAAGCCAACTGGCCAATACGTTTCTGATTTTTGCACAGATTTAGCATATGCTCGTCCATCAAAAACAGGAACCCAGCTCCCTTGGTTAGGTCTTCTCTGGTGATGAAGCACACGCAAGATGCCATCAGAATCATAAATAGCAGCCTGCGTTGTTTCTGAAAAGCCTGCCCAAGTTAGCTTGCTGCCTCCTGATATATGTATTTTGTCTTTTTGGAGCACTTCATTCGTTTCTGTATTCATCAATATGTAATTCAAGTTTTGCTGGTTGGTAAAAGAAGGACAAGGCGCGTATACAAAAAGAGTAATATCGTTCATGGCGGATAGAGTAACTATGTTGCTTAATGAAAATATATGCTTTTGAACACCAGACAGCGAAAATATGCGAATAAAGCCTGCTGAAGTGGCCGCAGTTACTGAAACATTGTTGATGGCTACAGCAACAACGTCTTCACCAGCTGGTAAATGATATGTCCAATCCTTTTCGCCACCTGCTCTCATACTTAAAGGCCGGAAATGCAAAATAGAAGCTTTGCTAGTGTCTTCATTTTCTTCTTCTTCTTCATAATCCGCTTCCTCTTCTCCATCATCGTTAGTCTTTGTCTTCTTTTCTTTTTTAGGGGCTTCTTCTCCTTCTACGCCAAACACAGCGCCTCCTTCACTTAGTGCGCCCATCGTAAAGTTGGAATAGTCAGTAAAGTGGAAGTTGCGATGCGTAGACTGATCATGAAATTCTACGTTAACAATGGAGTGATTATCTTGATGTATAGTGTACATTGCGCCCACAAGATTGTAGCATAAATATCGGCGTTCGCCCTCTGCTGCATTTTGTCTATTATTGCCAAGCTTATTGAATGGTGTCTCGCCAGGCTGAAACGTAGTCGGTGGCACGAAAACTACTGGCTTCTGGTGAACAACTCCATTTTTGTGTACATTAGACAAGTTGAGTCGTTGTTGATGTCTTTGTCGTTCTTCTGCTGTCTCAACATAGCCTGCTCCATCATCATCAATAATAAAGTCATCCTCAGTATCCATCATATCCACATCATCTCCTTCACTACCGAGGTCTTCTCCTTCATCGTCATCTTCGTCGACATTAGCCATTGTATCAAAAAAGCGGTTTCTTTCTTTTTTACGAGAATCATACGAGTGAGGTTCAATTGATCGAGGATCAAGCGAGCTTGGTTCTAATGAATAAGGTTCCTGGGACTGCAATTCTATGGACTCCTCTCTATTTTGAATTTGCTTTCGAGCCTTGGCTGGATGTGGATAATTACTATTTCCTTCTGGAATGACACTATCCCAATACGTGATTTCACCACTTTCGTTTGCCTATTAGGGTATTAGGCATAGTGTAGATAAACATGTACAGCTTCACTTACAAAAATGAGCTGATTTTCAGTAGGATGCCATGCAATATCTGTTATGGCTGTTACTACAATTGTCTTTCTCACCATCTTTTTATTTTTGACATCCCAAATAATCAATTGCTTATCATTTGCTGTAGTAGCCATATAATAACCATTAGGTGACCAGCTAAAGGTACTCACAGTCTATTATATGATAAGTATCATGCCTTTTTCAATGACGTCTTTTCTCGCTCTTACCTCTGTATGACCATTTTCTAAAATTGAGGTCGTAGTCCATGAACCATAAGAGCACAAACAAATATCATTATTCTTTCCTGGAAAAGCAAAACATGATTTATCTGGGCTCCATGATACTTTAGATGACAGAGTGTGATCTGGTTTGCTAGGTGGTGTCGCTTCTTTCAATGTCTTTATACAACGAGGCGCAGGCTCGCTTAGTCCAACATTCCAGATACGTACCTCACCATCACATGCAGAAGAAGCGATATAGTTGCCTGTTGGGTCGTAGTCGAGGGATTTGAGACTGGTTGTATGTCCTTGCAAGGTGACTATTTTTGAGTTATCAGCAACTAATACGATACGAATATCATTATCACTAGTAAACATGTAAATTGATAAAGTCTTTGATTCTATTCCCAGACATACTCTGCTGCAATGGCAAGTTTGGCGCCTTGAGGGTGAAAAACAATGCTTCGAACAGCGACTGTACTTCTGATAAGGATCTTTTCATATTCATTATTGTTGTAGATAATAACAAAACCGTCTGTGCCAGCTGAAGCGAACCGATTATCCTGTGACGAACAACAGTTATTACACTCTTTTTATAAATATTCAAGTGACTTACGTGAATAGCAATGCAGCTAACTTCATCAATGTGTCTTTCAATAGATGCTTCAGCTACTTTCCGAATATCTTTGTCTGTCTTAAAAATAGTGACACGGGCATCTGCAGTACCTGCGACTATTTCTCTACAACAGAGATTTAAGCTTGATTCATTATGTTTTCCTAGTCGTGAATATTACCTTCCTCCTAGTCTGTATGCAACATAAGTTTTTCCCGATTTAAGTATTAGTCTACTATTAAAGTCTATAAACTCGGTTTCCATGTTTTTTATAAAAGAAATAAAGGAAAAAAAAATAGGACCGAAGACTAATGTTAGTCGCGTTACAGTTAAAAAAAATTGTCGCGTTTACAGTCACGAAGACAGTAAGAAGTACTACTGCTACAATCAAATTTATTGTCAACTTCTTCCTTTCAAGGGAATAACGAATAAATCGCTCATAATGAATTACTCTCTTTTTTTTTTTTTTTTTTTCTTTTTTTCTCTCTCCTTGATAAATCAAATATTAATTATAGCATCAAATAATGAAAGTAACGCAAATGAACTCCTGATTGAAGTTTCAAGTCAGTAAAATTGAATGTGTTACATATGATGAAGGGTATCTCTGTCTCCTTTTGGAATTTTCTCCTGAAGTCGATGTCATTAATGCGTTAGATCCTGAAAAGGCAATTTTTATATTTATATACTTGCTTTCTTTTTCTTCTTTCTTCTTCTTTCTTCTTCTTTCTTCTCTTTTATATAATCAAAGATGCTTTCTACCATTTCTAAAAGAAACGAACTAGAAAATAAAAGTCAGTCTGACAACGAACGGCAAACTATGGCCAATACAGTCCAACCTATGCCATCAATCTCATGCAAAAGTGGATTTTCAATACAGTCATTTCATACTGCTATTGATCATCAAGATCCAATAGACGATACTATTCAACCTACCACATCCAAAATTACCGCATCTTATGACAAGGCTAGTAAGTCAAGTATCACAGGATCGGTGATACCAAAGATCAATCACGATTATTTTGAAGATCGTGATTACATAGCCAACATACATTCAGTACAGAGCCACCATACCCCCAGTAACATATTTTATTATGGATCACTCGACAGTGCCGCCATTTTAGGTTCTCCGGCTGGCTCATACTTTGACTATTTCAGTGAGGATTATGAAGTTGTATTAGACGATGGCACAAGACAGAAGAGATCAGTCTCATTATCCACTATACCGATATCCACGCCTTATGAATACGAAAGGAAATATAGAGGAAACTATAATTTTGCATACTACGGTGAAGATGACAATCTCAAGTCAATTAGTAGACGTCAGGAAGAAGAGTGAGTAAAAGGAGCCAGGAGGTATCTCATAACTCATTCTACTCTTAGCTTTTACCATCATTTGATCGAACAAGAGGAACGTTGCGCGCTTTTGAAATCATCCACGTCCACACCAGATATGATAATTCAAGACCTTCAGCCTCATGAGTTAAGTGATGAAGACACTGAATACAAGACAAAAAACAAAAAGCCGGATCAAAGTTTACTCTCCGCTTTTGGTGCCTGGATTCAACTAAAATTACAAAGGACAAAGCTGTCTTACAAACAAAAAATGGTCCTCAAATGCAGCTTTGCCTATCTTTTGGGTTCTTTATTCACGTTTATTCCAGCGCTCAATAACATGCTGGGTACTGCAAGACTTTCCAGTCACGTTATTGCTACAGTTACCGTCTTCTTTAATCCATCAAAGACAATAGGTGGCATTATTGAAGCTGCAGGCTATGGTATCCTTTACACAGTGTGTGCTATGCTTGTTTCTCTTACAAGTATGTGGGTTGCTATTTATTTAAGAAGTCATAATTATTACGTAACCTCTTGCATCGTCACAGTGGGCTTTTGGCTAGCTGGAAGCACGTTTATTCTCTCTTTTATCAAAGCTCGCTATAATAAACCTGCTATAGCAACAGGTAACTATGACAATTGCCCTGTCATACAGTTATGTTCACCATTTATTAGGTTGTGGACTCGGTTTCATGATCATATTCCCAGTACTCGTGAAGGAAGGATCTGAAGTACCAGCTCAGTTTGATGCGACGTTCATTGAGGACATGTTTGCTATTGTCACAATTGGCGCCGCTATATCAGTAGCTGTGTGCTGTCTTGTTTGGCCAATGACAGCCACTAGGAAACTAAAGTAAGAGATAACCTGTATGCCCAGCATAAATACCAATATGATACACTAGGTCTGATATCAATGATACCCTCATGGCTATCAAAATACTGCTCAAGCTTCTTACAAAGACTTTTTTGTTAGACACAGATCTTCCCGAATTCACAGCCAACGAAAGCTTGCAGAACGCCATCAACTCCCATCGCACCAGCTTCACTTCCTTAAAATCATCTCTCCACGATGCTAAAAGAGAATTCTATAATCTTGACATCTGGCTACATGCAGATGGATACGATACAATTGTATCTAGCCTACAGAGGCTCGCTCAGCACATCGGTGGCCTTCGTAGCAGTTGCGGCTTACAGTTTGAAGTAATGAGATCTACAGTCAACCACAAAACGTACGGCACGATTGAACGTCCAGAAGACGAAGTCAGCAAGCCATCACTGCTGCCTAAAAAGAAAATATACAATGTGAAGGCAGGTGATCAGCGTAAGAAGATGGAATGTGAACTGAGAAAGGAACAAACCTCTTCTGGCTACACAAGAAACAACAGTGCTTATAGCATAAAGGATGATGAAGAAGAGATAGAAATAGCCGAACAAATTACTGATAGAAATAAGCCTGACGAGGGCCCACTCGTCCAGTTCATCAAAACCGTTAGACCTCCTATGAAATCATTGGCTTACACATGCAAACAAACAATCATCCATCTTCAAAGTCGATTCACTGGACAGACTACTGCCGATACACCAAGTTTTTATCTTTTAAGACAGAATCTTGCCATGGCCATCTCTCTTTTTGAAGAGTCTCAACAATTGGCACTGACAAGGATGTATCGTCAAAAGATGCGAAAGGCTGCTTCAAAGCATGGAATGAATATCAAGCCACAAGATCTCCAGTCTCATTTGATGAACCAATTCGCAGCACAAGACGTGTTTTTGGTGTACTTTTTTGTATTTTGCTTACTAGAATTTGCAAAGGAACTCATGGTATTGGTGGAATGTGTTCAATCCGTTTATGGATACGATGAAGAGCAAGATAGAAATGGATCAAGTGCATGGATGTGGATCAAGAAGCATTTTATTTTTCCATGTAAGGAACAAATAATATGAAGGATAAAGGATATTCATTTGGCTCTACATAGTCTGGTTCTTGTGTTGTTGCTGTTACAAACCTATTAGCCATGAGAATAATACTCCTTACATGTCCAAGACACAAAAGCTATTTACTGACACCTTTGTTCCAAACAACCATAACACTCTAAACACGCTACACACTCCAAAGCCAAAGACAAAGATTCGCAAGTTTTTCTTGAGCCTCTGGGGATTCTTTTCTTTGTTTAAAAGCCATAATGTTCGATATGCTCTAAAGTCAACACTGATTGCTGTGGGTATTGCTTCCTTGGCGTTTATTCCTATAACCAGAGAATACTTTCAGACTTACAAAATGGACTGGACATTAATCACGGTAGATTTACATAAACTTGCGCTCCTAAAACACACCCTTATGCTTTTGCTTTAGGTAATAGCTGCTATGACACCAACTGTAGGTGGTACCAACCTTGTTGCAGTACTTCGAGTGCTTTCCACTATGCTAGGATCCATTGTGGCTGTCTTGTTCTATTTGTTTATACCTCATGACGGGCCCCTGCTGCTTCTTTTTACTTGGGCATTTTCTATTCCTTGTTTCTGGGTGAGCTTAAACCACAAGCATGGTAGATTTGGCACTTTCTCCTTACTCGCATACAATTTGATTGTTCCATTCATGTTTAATCACAAAGATGAGGAGACAGTAATTGGTGTCATCGAGCTTGCTACTATGAGATGCGCAACAGTATCAGTTGGTGTTGTCATTGGTACATAGATATATAGCATGACGACGACTGTTTCTAATAAATTTATCTAGGTCTTATTGTAACAACATATGTCTGGCCATATGAAGCAAGAAAAGAAATGAGAAAGGGGCTGTCTGATCTACTCATTCGATTGTCATGGCTTTATAAACAACTGGTGTCTGAATACTCTGAATACGATCTTGCTATGCCCAAGAGTGATCATGATAACCACATGGTTACATCTGTTGAAGAGATTGAAGCCTTAGCTAGACGGAACGAGATACGATCTATACAGCTACAGCACATCGAATTATCTCTCCAGGTTAGCCTGGTTGAGCTGCAAGACTTACTCGTTCATGCCCCTAATGAACCACGACTGAAAGGGCCATTCCCTGTCAAGACATACGAAACCATATTGGCTTCTTGTCAAAGTATCTTGGATAAGTTTTTATCCATTCGTATTGTCATTTTGAAAGATATTTGGGCCACTCAAGTACGAAAAGACTTGATGCTTCCTGCAAGCAAAGAGCTTATGGAAATGGCTGGCTGTGTCCTATTATACTTTTACTTACTGGCCTCTGCTTTACAATTAAAGACACCTCTGCCACCTTATCTACCTCCCGCTGAAAAGGCTCGAGAAATGTTGATGCTGAAGTTACAGCGGTTACCTAAAATAACTGCTGATTTGAAAAAGAACAAGGACTGTAGTGATAGTGAAGCGGTCAAAGACGAATGCTATATGGTTTACTATGCTTTTGTTGTTAATATGGAAAGTATTATTATTGAATTGGATAAGGTAATTATAGATAATACAACCTCTTAATCACTTGTTATGGGTTTTAATTGGGCTTCTTTTTTACTTAGCTTGGTCAACAAATGAAAGAACTCTTTGGATCCTTGGTTCCTGACGATCAATGGGCAAGATCGTTTGGTTTAACAGATCTTGAGCAAAATAGAGTCTTGTATTAAAGCTATATTGTCATTAAAAATAACCATTATTTATTTGAAATACGGTAAAAAACAAGCTGTATTTCAACAGACTGATAATTACAATGATTTAATAAAAACAAGTACACTCAGATATTATTTGAGAGAAATCAAGTATTCCTTGATATTTGGGCGTTCTTCAAAGGCTTTAGCAAATGCCTTTAGGTTAGGATACTCATCTAGTCTTTGCAGACACTGGTCATCGTCAAGAAGATGATACACCAAAAAATCAGGGTAGGTAATCTAAATGGCAAAAATTAGGCTGCTTTCCTTAATTACCCAAAGGCTCTACTTGCCTTATTTCCTAAGAGATATGGCCCATCTTTATAGCACGAGTAGTAGTTGTCAAACTTTTTCAGCCAATTTGGGGTAATGACTTCTACATGACGCTTTTTCTCTTCCTACAGCCCATTCTTGTCAGTACTTTTTCTTTACAACTTACACAACCCCTACCTCACTTCCAAGATAAAGCTTTTTTATGCTTTCAAACCAGTCATTCGTTACGTCAGATACTACGTCCAACAGGTAACTCTCTTCATCGGTTGAGCCGTGGTATTTATTGCCCAATTTGGTCGAGATGTAACGCATGGTTGGTACTGTTCTACCAATTATCTTATTTCCCATCTTGATATAAGGAGCGCTACCTGCATAATAACCATCCTTTATTATCTCTTCCCTCATTTCAGGCCATTCCGTTTCTCGGTTAAAACGGATATAGTCATGCTCCAAACCAGCGTCGACAAAAAATAACTTGAGGTTTTCACCACGACCGAGTGTTGGTTTGCCAAGGTTAAAATAATAAAGGCTGATTTTCTCCATGACGAATATCCAGAAAAGATGAATAAATCTGCTGTATTTATAGCTTTGACCAGCTACTGCGGACAAGCGTCGCAGTAAGTTGTGAAACTACGAATCTTCCTCATAAAAAGCCTTGCTTGATCCTTTTTTAAACTTTGCTTGTTATCAATTTGCGCTGGGTAAAAAAAACCAAAAACCAAATTGCGCTTCAAAGGTTCTCAATTCACGGCAAAAGAATAATCTTTGGGTTGGCGATCTAGACAGGCTAATGAGTAATCGAAAGGAAGTGCCAACATCCGAGACCATTTTTTTTTCTTTCTTTATATACCGCCAACCTGGTTCCGTTGCTTAACTTAACCACATTATCTCGCTAAAGTAAAGGTATTAGAGAGTGCTTTGAAGTCATTGAGCTCCATAAGGTCCTTGGGTATATAAGGAGTTCCAGCAAAACGAGATACCGTAATGCCTTTAAACTGAAAAACCTATGTCAAGTAACCCTCCCTTCCTCTCCAATCCATGTATAAAATATTCCTTGGTTTCTTGCTGACGTTGTTCATTATGCATATGTTTGTTCTAACATTTTTCGATTGCTGCTGCTTAAAGATATTATTGTTTGCACCCTGTGTTTTAAACTCGATGGAATACAACTCAATTGTTACATCATCATACTTCGTTTTCATTAGCAAGTCAACCTTTCGTCCATTGCCTTCTTCTTCATTCAAGATTTGCATTTGTTGAGTGGCTTTCGAAACAGTTTCACCATCTCAAGGCTGGCTGGAGAAACTTTATTTAAGCATACGCTTGTAGAATTTCATTGTCGGTTGATGCTGGGATGAATTGAATGTACGAAACTACGTGTTCAGGATTCAATAAATTAGCTGTCTGTGAGAGACAAAGTTTTAACAGCTCAGTTTCGTTCACACCCAATTTCTTTTAACAACTAAGTTAGCAGCTTCAGGAAAGCATTACTTGCACTAGAAGTTAGACTAATACTACGGGCGCTATCTCCACCTATTACCTATGATGTCGCCCAACAAAGCTTTTCAGCGCATGACGCCACGCTAAACATAACTTTATGAAGAAGTAAAAATAAATGTTGATATTTATTTATTCTAGCTTTATGTTGTCAGTTTGATCAACAAAGGTCACTAGCTCAACTGTAATTATGATAAATTTACATTTATGTCAGAGTGAACTGAGCAGACTTAGGTTAGGCAGAGACTTTGGTAGTGTGAAGTTGTATAGTGACTTCACATGTAACGCCCCAAGGAAGTGTCTGTAGTATTAGCCTATTTTTTGGTGCATTGTCTGGTGTATGTACAGTATTTGCCGTAAATAAAGAGAGAAAAAGAAGAAAACATGGTCATTATGAGGTTGCTTTTTATTGTCTGTCATAGGCTGCATGAACATGCGTATCTCTTTCCAGTCTTGTAAAAGTAGCAATCTTTTCTTTACAAGCGGGACAGCTATGGACAACATCCTTTGTCCAAGGAAAAAGGTAAGGTATCAAACACCCTCCACTATGGCATCCCAGCATGTATAACCCAACCATCGATAATCCAGTCAGTAGACCCACATCATAATCAACCACAGTCAAAACGAGTTGGTGACAGTGGGGACATTCAACCACAGCGGACTTGGTCGTTAACGAGTCTACACTTTGAATAGTTATATCCGAAGGAACTGCGGGCTGCGGCAGTCGTTCGATTGGAGGCTGTAGTGCACCATAGTAAGGTGCCTGTGGCATAACAGGTTGAGGAAGAGGCATAGCCATAAGTGGTGGCGAGTAATTAGGAACAGTGCTCTGAGGCATAGAAGCATATGTATCCTGTGGTATATAATGTGGCTTTGGGTAAAGCGTTGGGTTGATTGGTGATTGCGGTGGCTGCTCAAAGTGAGGATTGTTTATACGGTGAGGTGGAATCTGTGACATTGCTTGTATAAAAAAAAGAAAAGAAAAGAAAAGAGAAAAGTTACACCACTCTGAAGCATAAATCATCTGACAAGTTATCATTTTGGAGTGGTATACGCCCTTTAGCCAATTATAAAGATTCATGACCAAGCCTTTGTCGTTCTTTTAGATATGATGTTGCCTTGTTTCATTTGTTTCTTGAAATAGCTCTAACGGTAGCCAATTTATAGATACTGAATCCTTTTCATCTTTCTTTTTGTCTTAACACATATTCCCTCTTCATTATGCATGAACACTGTCCAGCTTCATTGCCTCTATTCACTAAAGGGATTTATTTATCTACTTTGCAAAAAAAAAAAAAAAAAATAATTGTATTCGATAATATCAAGAAATGTGATCTCATTATCTATCTTGCTTAATCTGGTTTTCTTCCCCCTTATGTGTTCTTTCTGCATTAATATAATATAATATCAGTAGACAACTCTCTTTTCTTTTACTAGTGATACCCATCTTGAATAATGTAGAATGTATAAAATATTTTCATAAATTTATTCTGTGACAATCAACGTCTATTTGATGCACCTCAGGACTGAGAGTAACATATAAGATTTATTACTGCTATTTTTGCAGCATATTTTTCAATGCACGGACAGCGAATATTGTGAGGCCAAGATTGGACCAGTCCTCATCTATAAGCTCTCGTAAGTCACCTACTGTTAAAATATCTTGTTCTTTTAATTTTTCAGTCCATTCAATTGCTTTTGAGCGTGTCCTCTTAGTTGCTTTACATGTATCCTCAACAAAAATATCTATTATCACATTGTCATCATATTCTAGTCATACAAGTCACGTTATTCACTGCATATAGGCCAATATAGTCCTAAACAAACCTTTTGCCACAATATTGTTCAAAAGTGTTTCTGGAGATGATGGTTCTCCGTCTGACAGTAAAGCTTCCTCTTGAAGGGCTTTGGCTACTATGACTTTTTCTAATTCAAGAACAGCTAATTGCTCTTTCTCTTCAGCTATAATCGCCTGCTGCAATAAATGAACGCACCTCTTTTCTGCTTCTAGAAACTTTTTTTGCGCCACAAGTAACTCTTGTTTCAATCTTTCTAGTTCTTTCCTAATATCGCACTCTCTTCGCCAGACTGTTGTCTCTTGGCTCTCTCCGCTGCTTTTATTTGAGTGTTCTGCCATTTCTCCTACAATGCGATTAATTTCGCTTACGATCCACTCTTGATGTCTTGCGGGTATTACATTTTCTTCAATCTTTTTTTTGTATGTGTGAGTTACGAAATAAGAGTATAATAGGATAATTTACCATCTCTGATACTACTTCGTCTGCTTTATCTTCATTCTATATATATGCACATATTAACAATTTTAGCCATATATTATTCTATTCATATAAATGATCCTTACATAATTAAAATCAAACTTTACGGCTCGTCTATCTGATCCTTTAAAGACAACCTGTAGTATGATGACTCCTTCTTCGCATGTAACATCATTGGCTAACAGTATTACATCAGGTTCAATTGCTAAAAAGGGGCTTTCTAGTAATTCCTGAGCAGATAGTCTGTAATAATAATAATAGTAATAATAGTAATTAGCAAAACCAGCAGGAATTCACGTTTGGATATTACCTCTCATTCTCATTTGCGCACAGACAACTTTCAATTATATCCAAGACTTGCTGATTTTGAATCTTGGCAATGGATTCTGGCTTAATACTCTATCAACAAAAATAAGTCTCAGATTATCTGGTGTAGCAAGGATGTGTGATCTGGTACCTGACACACTTTTTTATAGACTTGCGCGGTATTCATGCATTCTGCGTAAGGATAATCACCTGTCATCATTTCAATTAGGCACATACCAAACGCATAGAGATCCACCTTTTCATTATAACCATCCTCTTCATACATTTCTGGTGCCATAAACTCGGGTGTTCCAACCATAGTGTATCTTTTATCACCAGTCCAGATAGTTCCAGCTGTACCTAGATCGCCTATCTTGATTTCACCATGTGCACCATTTACAAAGATATTATCACATTTGATATCTCGATGTACAATAGGCGGATTATGGCTGTGTAAGTAAGCTAGCCCTTTGAGAATTTGACGAGACCATTTCTTGACAATTTTAATATTAGGTAAACCGAGTTTTTGTATATATTGGCGTAGAGTGCCGGATGTCATCAACTCGGTAACAAAAATGAATTCTATGTTATTATCACTGAGCCATGCGTCGTGGAATGCAATAATATTTGGATGTCGAATAGATTTTAATAATTCAACTTCCTGTGCAACATCTTGTTGGCTGTCATTCTATACATAAAACATTAATAAGGGAATCAACTTCTTGTAGCATACTTGACTTACATGAATCACATTCCATGCTACTTCGTATCCTTCTTCTCTATCGATTGCTTTGTATACTGTCTTGAATGTACCACGGCCTAACAATAAGTTCAATCTACAGTATCTCTGGTTAGGAGACATCTCCAGTGGATATTCAACTGGATTAGGACTACTAAGGGGTCTGTTTTCATCAAATAAGCAGTTGGTGTCTATGGGCGAAAGATGAACATCTGTGCTTATAAACGTAGTCTGTGCTTGTGTCATTGTTAAAAATGTAAAAAGAAAAGAAAGAAAGAAATGGGATTGAGTCAATAAAAATATGCTGTTTTTTGTAGAATTTTAACTTTATTTTCCACGTGAGGCTATTCGCTTCCCTTCTTACACACCCACAAATAAACAAAACATAATCATGGGCTTCTAAGCTGTAATGACTTGATCGAATTCACCACTCTCGATCTATGATTTAATGTATAAGTTCACTGTTCATTTCTCTTCCTTCTTATGTTTTCTGTTTACCATTTCCTTGATGATATCTAATCCACCCAACAATTCACCTTTATAGAAGAGCATAGGGAATGTTGGCCAGTTAACATGTGTCTTCAATCCTTGTCTAACTTCATCATCTGTTAATATATCAAAATAGCCGTACTTGACATGTCTATCATTTAGCAAAGCGACCATTTGTCTTGAAAATCCACAACGAGGTTCTTCGGGTGTTCCTTTTATGAACACCATGACAGGTTGCTTTTCAATGAGCTCTTGAAGCCGAGTACTTAGGTCTTTTTCTTTAGGTAACATTTCTTGAAACTCTCCAGATGCAACCATCTCCTTTACAATGTCTAGTCCACCTATTAACTCTCCATTTACATATACTTGTGGGTAAGTTGGCCAGTCTGAGTAAGCCTTTAATCCTATATAATCGAGCAGAGTCAGAAATACAATCATATCGATTGTTTAACGTCTTACCTTGACGTACATCTTCGTCAGCAAGGATGTTGAATGAGCTGTATTTTACTTTTTGTTCTGCCAACAATTCTACAAGTTGACGAGAAAATCCACAACGAGGCTATCGTATATCAGTCGGTACATTCATATGATCTATATCTTTTTTTTCTCTTTACCTGTTGAGGTGTTCCCTTTATAAAGATCATGACAGGAGCACTGTTAATAAGTGCCTTCAAACGAGAATTGAGATCCTTCACAGGCTTTGCTTCGCTATCTGCTGAAGCAGCAGGTGTGGTAACAAACTTATTCAAGACGCCTTTAGCATGCTTGGCTACTGCATTACTTAACTCTGCTGCCTTTGCTCCTTCAACTTGCTCAACTACTTTTCCACCCTAGATATAATCTAAATCTTGTTGCCACAATAAGATAAAATGACTTACCTTCAAAATGATAAAGGTAGGTACAGCAGAAATTTCAAAGCTCTCAGATATATCAGGATTCTCTTCAGCTTCAATCTATTACAAGTTAATTTTTGCTTTCTTTATCTCTCTCTTTACGTAGTCGTTATCTATACCTTTAAAAATTGAAGAGCAGGAAACTTGCCAGAAAGTTCGGCAAAGACGTCGTTCATTTGCTGGCAAGGCTCTGCCCAAGGAGCCCAAAAGTTTAATATAAATACAAGATCTTTCTTTTGAACAAGTTCCTGGAACTGGGCTTCAGATCGAATCTCAATCAAGTTTGACATTCTTTTTTGATTTGTAAGAAAAAAGATATCAAATCTAATCAAACTACTTTTTTTTTGAACGCTTTTTTAGATACCGCTATACACGTGACTTTTGATTACGTAGCGAGTATAGCGTTGTTTGCGCGTACTTTTTCTTTTCCTTACTTTCTAGTTTCTTTCAAATAAAAGGAAAAACCATGTCACTGCAACAATTACAAACTCTTCGCGATCAGTTAAGAAATGAAATGAACACTCCTTCACCTAATCTCCAGTTGGTGGGTCAACTTCTTACTCAAGCCAAGGTAAAGAATGGATGACAAAGGCACGATTCGTTATTTACCTAGACTAGGTTTTATTAATCCCTCTTGGAGCTTTCACACCAACTATTGGCAAGATAAATGCTGATTCAATGACAACTGCACGTAAAGTATACATGCTTTTTTCTTTTTTTAAAAAAATGCTCATTTGCTGTTAGGTGACATTCTCGAAATTGGAGCTTATTATAGTGTTCGTGTCAAGGATATTGCTTCCTTTGAAAGATACATTGCACAATTGAACACTTACTATCATGATCTTTCGTAATATCTGAATATAATATGCACAACTTTTTTTTAACTTGTATATTTCCTGTATAGTTCCCAACTTCCTCCTTCTCAGCAGATGTACCCTCTCATTGGCTTGAATCTACTTCGACTATTATCACAAAACAAATTATCTGAATTTCACACAACCCTTGAAAGCATTGACCTTGATCAATTACATTCAAATCCATTTATTAAACAAGCTGTTGACTTGGGTATGAAAGGGCACGCTTGATATAGCTGATATGACTAATATCTACTTTATTAGAACAATATTTAATGGAAGGCAGCTATAATAAAGTTTGGAGTGCTAGAGGTTCTGTGAAAGGAGAAGAGTTTACGTTTTTCTACGATATCTTGATGAACACCACTAGGTAAAAGACAAACAAACGATTTTAATAGAAGACTTATTTTTGCCTCCCTTTTTTAGACATGAAATTGCCAACTGCAGCGAAAAAGCGTATGAATATCTTCCCTTAAATGATGCCTGTACCTTATTATTCCTAAAGAATACCGAAGAGTTGCTTAGCTTTGCTTCCGAACGTGGATGGAAATTGAATCCAGCCGAACAAAAGGTCTACTTTACTACAGAAGATGACAGTATTGTAGAGATTCCTCAAGAGCAGACGATCACGCGTACCTTAGGTTATGCTAAAGAACTCGAACGTATTGTATAAATCATAATAAACAATTGATTTCTATGGCAACTGTGGTAGTACAAAAAAGAAAATCATGAGTCCTTTTTTTCTTCTTTTTTTTTCTTTTTATTTTTTAATCATAACATAACATGATGCCTGGTGAAGCTATGCTTTTTTTGTTTGCCATTATTATGGATGCTCTGCTCCTGTTTATGATGGTCTTTTTTGTAAGTTTATTCTCGAATCAAGCCTCAAGTGTTTAATGAACGTCATTAGGTCATCATGTTTTCAGATTTAGAATGTGACTATATTAATCCTATTGATCTCTGTAACAAACTGAACCAGGTAAGTAATACACTTTAACAGAGAGAGAGAGAGAGGAAAGAAAGAAAAGTAACCACGTATCAATCCAAGTTTGTCTTGCCCGAAATGGGTGCACATGCCTTTTTGTTTTTCATGTTCCTTGTCAATGGAAGTTGGATAGCTACTCTCTTGAACTTGCCTTTGGTTGCCTATAATGTTAGAAAGTAAGTAATAGCAGAAAGAGGGGGAAAGCGAGAAAAGAGTGATAAATATTGAACGCGTCACATTTCATGATAGAGTGGTGAATGGACGTCATATGTATGATGCCACAGAGATATTCCGTACCTTGCCTCAGCATAAAAAGGAAAGCTTTATTAAGTTGGGCTTTTACTTGATTGTAAGTACCAGTCGCTTATAACAAAAGAAGGGATTACTGATAGTATTCTTTAGTGCTTCTTTTACTTCTTGTACCGAATGATTTGTGCATTAATTGCTGCAGATGCATAAGATAGAAAAAAGAAAACAACGAAGGGAGAGAGGACAATTGTTTATATATGTTGTAATGTCTATTTCTTGCTTTATTTTACGCGTGTTCATATAAAGATCAATATACTATGGTACATACTTTGCTTTTTGTTTACAGGCTTTTTAAAGTGAATTATTATAAATTTTGTTAGAGACAAGTATCGATAGTAAAATCAAAAGACGCTATAGTCATTATCTGTAGACACTTAATAATTAAAGTATTATATTCCTTGAAGTTAAAAAGTACGGTTTAGGAAATACTTTCAACCGAGGACTAACTGCGACAAAAGCAGTTGAAAAAACAGAATGAACTAGACTGTCCAACTGTGACGAAATTGAGCTCGAAATATGACAGACAAACTTTGTATTCATTATCTCAGTTGCTTACAAATAACAGAAGAAGTTGTGTTCCAAAAAAGGACGTAAGACCTCGCTTATCTCAGTGCTTAAACAAGGTGGCTGTGTAAGAGTACACAGTAGAAAAATCATAAAAAATAGGACGATGATAAAGATATTCCTCAAGTTTAGCTTTTTTATAGACTCTCGTTAACAGACTATGAACAGTTAGCGTGTATTAAAGGAAAGCTATGTGTTAATATTATTTTATATTTATTATATACAGGTTTTATAAAAAGAAAATACAATCTACTGTGGCACCCAGGCCTTATGTAACTCCTCGATATATTTGGAAAATGTCGATCTTGGTGTTGTTAGTATACCTCTACCATGAGCAGCTACCATGGCATCCACTAGAGGTATTAGAAACCGTTTTAGAGATTTAGATGGAGATACCATATCCCTTAAATCATCTAAAGGGGAAAGAAGATGGCCTGGCAAATCGCCCAAGGTGACTGTACAAGGAAACTCGCGAAACCACGGTAGGAGGTCACTACCTTTACCTTTTGGGTTCTTATGATCTGTTGCTATATACACCTTTACTTTTTTGCCTACGGTCATCTGATCTGAATCGAGAGGAATATCTACACAATTGTCTGTTTCATGACTGCCGACAATCTCTGTCATATTTTTCACAAAGTTCTGTAGATTGGTCGGTAGTTCCTTCTTGAAGGGTTTATCTCCAGTACGAAAGTGAACCGACATAAAAGAGCCTTTACCACCTAAATGGTCTACGATCGATTGGACTGTCATCCCCAAAGGTGTATCTAGTCTGTAATGAAGCGCGTGTGTAATCTTTTGATGTACTGTTTTTAGTTCAGGATCTACTATATTTAACCGAGTGGAGCCGAAGACACCGCCTAAAAATAGTAACTTCTCCTCTCTATAAAGGTGCTGTGGCAGTAATACTTTGTAATACCGTCTTCCGCCAAATGAGTCAACATAATTTGAGTGCTCGTCAAGTATCTCTGTTGCTTGCGTCATATTCTCATAAAGTCTCCAGTCGTAGAGCTGTGCATCTTCATACAAGTATATATCATCTCTAGATAAATTGAATTGTTTCTGGATAGTCTCAAGAGACATCACATCTTGGAATCTATATTGGATGTAGGGTGTCAATGGTGAAAGGTCGTGCAGGTCCGACCATGATAGAACACCGAAATTCCTATATTCTTCACATCTAGAGCGCTGTACATAGGTAGCTATTTTGCCTGGTGTTGGTCGTTGACAGAGTTTCGTAAATGGTTTTGGGGTTGTTAACCACTGTAGATGGTCCATAAGCTGTTCCCGTGGCATCCAACCAAATACATTTCCCAAGAAAGCTGGAGGTATAAGTAAAGTACGTTTTAGCATGTAAGCAAGTAGCAGAGCATTGGCTAGTTCAATGCGTTGATTCGATAGACCGGAGTGAGGCAAGTATGCCAAATATCGATCTTGTTGAGACTGATTTGTTGTGATGGTTGTGCCAATGACTGTGGCAGTAGCAGATGAATAATGTAGTTTCAGTCTAAAGTGAATAATGATGTGTGATAATAGAAAAAAAGATGCCAGGATGAAGAGGATGAATGCTTTTGACTTGGTGAATCGTATGAGACCATGAACGGACTGTGGTTTATTGACTATTCTCGTTAAAAGCATTGTGTGTAACAGAATGCATGTACACACAAAAATGAAAGAAAAGAAAAGGAATAGCAAGGTTTAATAAGGGAAAGGGAAGAAAAAAGGGAGAAGGGAACAGAAGTTATTTAATTTTATTAATTTCTAAAATTGTATTTTTTAATACTTGAAATAAACGGAAAAGCAGAAAGATAAACTATGTGTTTGTGTAGCTTGACTGAAAATCTTTTTTGTATAAATTGGATTATTTTGGGATTATTTATATATTCTTGGCATAGTAACACGAGTTTAACAATCTTTATGTTCCTAGTGCAAACATAATTTAACTATTGGTTTATGTTTTGATTGTCATGTCAACAGATTGCCTCGCATGCGGTGCAAATTCATTGTGCATTTAAAAATTGTTTGTTTAGATTGATTGTTTAATAAATTGGAGTGATCTACAGTAGGTAACACTGAAAGTTTGCAGCCACAAAAGCTAGGCGTATCTTTCAAGTAATACGCGTTTCCATGGTAATGCCCAGGTAACCGCGCAGTTTTCTTAATCTTGCAGTACCAAAAGAAAAAATTGAAAAAAAAATCATCTGGTTTTCCTTTTATGTATTTTTATATCCATCTTGATTTACTTGTAGATGATGGATTCGTTCTTGCCGTTTTTACAATCTCTCTAGATGTGGTTATTCATCTTTCTTTGATCTATTTCTCAAATGATAATAATTCGTATGTAACAAGAACTAACTAGAAATGAAGAAAAAAGCATTTTCCTATATGGATCTGATACCATTACTGCAACTTATAAGCAAAAAAAAAAAAAAAAGAAAGAAAGCCATCTTTTCTGATTTTGGTCAATAGGGACTTTCCTTTTCTCAACTCACTAACAAATTATCATTATTAAAATGAACCGTATAATGGCATACTATAGTTCAATGATCAAGTTTTAATAGTATAAGTGTGTGAAAGATACTAAAAATCCTTTGGGAACAAAAGGTAAAAAAAGTAAAGGCAAAAGTCTGGGAACTTTAATATGCAAATGAGAAGAGACTAAAGGGATTCACGAAGAAGAAGAAAATCAATTAACTAAGAGGGATTCAAGGTTCGAGAGAGGTGAGGGAGAGAAGAGTGAGCAAGGTAGTACATTTCTTGCAAAATGGCACATATGGTTGGCCAGACGCAAGCCTTTTGTTTAGATGAGGGTTTTTGGGTCGATAGTCTGTTAAGTAAGAAGGAAAAAGGGTCATTAAGTGTTTGGGGCAGCTGCAATCTGTTGTGAATATTAAGGCACCGAAAGGAGTGTGCTTTGCACTGTGGAATCTCAATTAAATTTTTTACTGGCCTGCAAGCAGTTAAAAATCTGTTGGCCATAATTAAGGATGCTCATTATGGTCTACGAATTTTTACGTGCCTGTAGGCCAGTAAATGTGCAGTGGTTGGCCAGTAAAACAGTAAATGAATCTGTTGCGTTCATTCGTCCAATTCATTCTATTCTTTATATTCTATTGGCTAAAACATATGTTCACTCTGCCACACCATTCGTTCATATTCATAGCTTTAGTAGTATTAAAAACATGCTTCTTTTAAATAATTCATTGCAGCTTTGGTTTTATAGTATATTTATTAAATAAAGGATAAAACAAAAAACAAAAAAAAAGGAAAGAGAAAGAAGGCATAAACAAGGCCAAATTATTCATATTCTTATTGATCTCCGTAATCTTCGCCTTCTTCTTCCACAGTAGTAGTTTTTCGCTGCTTTCTTGAAGCGCTTGACGTACCTAAATATACGAGTTTAGTTGGCTTTTTTTTTTTCAATAGAAAATATAGTAAAATCATCTTAATCATCATCGAGTCTTTTTCCGAGCAGATGCCTCTGAGGACCATCAACAGTAAACTGAAAGCTTGAATTGAAGTCAAACGTGGACTTTTCGTCTACAACTGATATGCTATATGAAAGCATGTTAGTGAATATGTATTATATATAACGTCAAAAGTCTATAATATATACCTCATCGGTTCAGAAATCAACAGTCGTGATTCATTTGATGAGCCTTGGACTACTTCAGCCACAGCATCATCTAAGAAAGATTAATGTTAGTAAAATAAGTCAAGGGCGAAAATTTGTCTTCGACTATACCTTTGCCATTACCGCTGGTAGCTTGCTTCTTGTTTCGTCGACGGATCGATTTACTTATAGATTTGATAATCGTCTGCAACACGGAGTAAGGGACTACTTGTACGTTGTGAGTTTTGTTCTTAAATTATACTCCCAAGGCTTTCATTTGAATCTTGTCAGTTGTGGGCTTAATACCGTCTTATGATTGTAATACGCTTGTATCATTTATGGTGTTTATGTGAGAGATATACCACGCGCTGGCTATTTGGATTTTCTTTTTTTTGCTTCAGTCCGGTAAATATTGTAGTTAAAACATCGATTACTTCATGGATTATTGCTGTGCAGTGTTCATGAAGCAGCATATTCGGCTACTTCTTGTTTCGTAGGTTGATGTCTAACATATTTCAAGAAGCCTTGAGGAAAAAAAATAATTTATTTTGAAGAATTAGTATTTACCAGGAGCCACTTGCGAAGATACGTACAAGGTCATGCGACATGATAGCCATAGGTGCTGTAGTTAGTCTACAAAGATGACCTTTGTAATGCTCACAGCTCTATTAAAAATTGCATCAGTATAAAAGCAGAAAGGAGTAAATAGAAAATACTTAACTTCAGAGGTTTATTTGTAAGCGTGTTAAATCAGCAAACAAACCCAATCTCTCCAGACCACGCTTTAGCAATGTTAAAGGGTTATTGTCACCTCTAGGAAGGCGTCGAGTCTTAGAAGAAATGTCAGACCAGAGACGTTTTCTTCCAATGTCCTTCGCTAACGTTACACCTATTGTTGAGTAAGCAAAGCGCTTAGACCAAGTCCGTTCGTTAAAGTGCTATAAAAAAAGGGGAAAAAAAGAGGTAGGTCAGAAATACTTTAAAGCCCTGACGATGAGTTATCCAATTAACGAGTTTCTATTGGCTAACACTGCGTCTTTGTTTATGCACATGTAATTGTTAGCAAAGACGAACCTTCATAGTTGGTAATAAGCCATTGACTTTAGTAAAGGTGTTGGCTGATGCTTTATATTAAATATACAATATATAAAAGAGCCTATCGTGCGTTTATTATCACTAGACCCATTTGTGATATGTGTTTAAACAACAAAAGGAAATAGTCATTAGTAGCTCGTTGTGTAAACAGCGGAAGTGGAGACGCTCTTATGAAAGCATTTCTAGATTTCCTTTAGTCAAGGAATGAGTCAACAACTAATCTCACTTTAAGGTCAATTCTGTTTAAGATGTCAAAATATGTTTTATATAAATACACGCACATTAAGAGGCCAAAATCAAGCAGAGCAAAAGACCAAATGACGAAAGTTACAAGATACCTAGTAGTCGCTTACGCGTTTATTTGCTTTGATAGATTCTGGCATTCTCATTTGATAATCTAATATCATACATTAGTAAAGAAACTCTAGTAAAAAAGAGAATGTGTATTACCTCCGTTTTGTGTAATATATCTCACCCAAGGCAATGCTTGATATCCACTCTTTTCTACAATCTTTAAGTATCTAACCTGAATGCCTGAAACTGTAAAGTAAGGAATTTCAAATTTGATATTGATGGGTGGCTTCTTTTCTGATTCATCGGCTGCTTGAACAGATGGCAGACCAAAGTGAGCACGCATAATGAACTCTTTTCCTCCCTGGAACTGTTTAATTTTCCACACAAGGCATGACCTTTCTGGTTTGTATGAAACAGATCCACTGCTCGACTATATTTTTTTGTCTTGTAAATGGATAAAGTAGAGATGTAGTGAGATTCTCTTACCTTGAACTTGGGGGTATCGGCATCGTCAGGCACAGGCACTTCAATTTCTACATTATTAGCTGTACTCTTACGTTTAAACTGCGCCTTTGCCTTGACAAGATATTCAACACGAGAGCCAGAGTATGTCTCCACAACAGCCTCCACCCAAATTAATGGTTTCACTGTCGTCTGCAAACGGTAGCTCATCAGCTCAAAGTCTCCGTCAGGAGGGATAAAACTGATCGTACGATCATTTTCAAACCTAGACAAACGAACACACTGATGGAATTTGACATCTTCCATTTCAATGGCTTTTGTAGCTGAACCTCCTCTCCCCGTTGCTTCAAACATGACCTTGTCATTTAAACCCAAACGAAGTTCAGGCATACCGGACAAATAACATCTCATCTTGACTGAACCAAGCACCTCGCTTCTCAATACGTTGCCATTTGCATTTACCTAGTGAAGAAAAGTCAACTTTGACCGTCTTTTCTCTTTCACTAGCTTCTTTCTCTTCTTTTTCTTACCAACAAGTTTACACTTTCAATAACATCCAAAAATACTTCATTCTTTTTGTATTTGATACCTTCTGAACGCCAAGAGACTGCATTTGTTACAGCCATGGGAGGACGGACTTGGACCTCAAGCTTATGGGCATCTTGGGTTATATATCTAAAGAAGATGAAAGGTGAGCCACCGTGGATTTTTTGTTGTAGATCTCTTTTTACTCTTGTAAAATCTTAGTTTCTGTCGTCTGAGGATAACCAAAATCCATCATTTCATCCAATAATTCATACACAATCACAAAGTTATCTCGAATCGATTCTTCTTCCAGTTCTTTAAAGTATTCCGTAAATACTTCAGTCAGTTTGTGAAGGTAAAGCATGATAGAGGCAGCATTGGTGTTTTTCCGTGTCAAGGCAAGCACTGCATTATATTAGAATATACATTTATATAATGAACTAATGAAAAGCGTAACCTACAATAAAGATTGCTGTGTTTCAAGTATAGATAGTTGATGCCTTCATGAGTGAAGCAGGGTAAAGGAACTTGTTCATCTTCTGCTTCTGAGACCTATAAAATAAAGTATTAGCTTAAAGATAAGAGAGACCTGGGGAGGAATTACCAAAGGCATAAATTTCTCTACTGCACTCATTGGAATGTCACCTCTGTAGTTACGAGAAATGAGAACCTTTCCCTTAAGATCCAAAATGAAAACTACCAATCCGTTAAAGCCCTGACATAAAGGGAATATGTTTTATCTTATTTACTTGCAGATGCCATCTAACCGTTCCTTTAAAAATATAAAACAAGAGGGAAAAAAAAGACACCTTAGAATTCAGCGGTAGTTGAAATGAACGAGTGCGCTTTATTACAAAAGTGCAAGTGATATTAAATTAGATTCAACTTTCCATCTTGGATAAATAAAGGTGGCAGTCGATGCTCAATTCTATACATCTTCCAAGACTCTAAAATCATCTCCTTGAAGACAGAATTGATGCCACATCCTGTGATATCAATCCATACAAGCTCACGGTTATTCTTTACGAGTTGTCCTAGACTAGTTTCGTTCGTACTACTCAAAAAGGCCGCAGATAGATATTGTAGTTTGGTGCAATGCACGAGTAGTTCCAGACCTCTGTTATCAATCCTCCAGCATCGCGTTAGATAAAGAAGTTTTAGATTTGGGCAATGCTTTACAATGGTTTCAATCGTTGCATTTGTCAAACTATAGGCCGAGTTCAGTCTTAGGTGAGTAAGGGATGACCCTAGGTTAGAGAGGATCAGATCCAGATGCATATCTTTCAAGTCAACCACGAACTCCAGATCCAAATGTCTTAACTGATTAGGCCCCTCAAGGGATATGTCAGTGTAGACAAAATTGGCTAAAGATTCAATAGTTAACTTTCTCAAAAGATTCAGCCATAGACCCTTTAATCGAGCAGGTCTTTTGTTCTTGTAAGCCTTTTTCTGATAAAAGATTGGAAACAAAGCTTTATCACCAAGGCGTTCACAGCCTGAAAGATCCAAGTACTCTAGGTTGTAGCAATAATTCAGTACGTTGCAGACTTGATCGTCCGTAACAGATAATAGCCACTCTGCTTCCTTGGACGATGTGTCTATGCCTCGATAATTCTCATTATCTTCTTGATTCTCTACAGACCATGGTGCCTCTATATGCTCCAAGCCAGTCAAGTCATAATTGACTCGCTCTAATCGAACGTATCCTCGCGTTGATGGCTGTAGTTCATCGTTGTTTTCAATGGCCCGCACGTTCAGTGCACTTGTGAGTTGAGACGATATCAGACGTGGTGAAGGTTTTAGCACAAGAGAAGAGACACAAGGTCCAAATTGCTTGGCAAATTCTGTATCTTCAAATGTTCTCTGAAGTAGCATCCAATGTGGAAATGTTCTAATGTACAAATGACGATAAAGGACTGGCATGACGACTGTATACCACAGATGACTAACACCAGCCGCAGCGGGTAAGCTAGATCTAGGCAAATAGTCAACAATCCTTTTGACAATTTCAGCTGGAAAGTTGAGTGGTCGTGTCGGTGTTGATAATGTTTGATAGAGAAGGGACAAAGATTCCCCTTCTTTACCACTGTGCCAAAAGATACGCATGATACTAAAAGAAACAAGAGGAAAAAAAAATGTGTCAAGCGGATCTTTAAATTACGGCAACTGTACACGACTGCATAAATCCTCTGTCGAGGCAGGAACATTTTAAATATACATTGTACGCACTGATCAGAATAAAAAGATGCTAATGCTACTAAATAGGCATTGAAAGCTGCTGATTTTGGTACAACATGAAAACAATCTACCGCACACATGCACATGTTTTGCTTACACTCCCCTTTTCATAGATATACTTTAATGATGCTCAAAGTATTGTTTATTTCTTTGCGTCTTGGTATAAACGCAAAAGATAAAGCAAAAGTAAACAAAGGAAGGATAGGGGATAAAGGGGGGAAGAGGCCGATATAGTTAAAAAAGAAGGGGGGTATTTGGTATGGGACTTTTTAAATTTTCTAGAATTAGCATGCACAAGAGCTCGAGTTTCCTTGAGTAGCAGGCTGCATCAAGTTGACACCATTGTTGAGGTTACCTCTAGCACTGACTGCGTTTCTGCTGTTGGGTGAATAGGTGGTATCTAGAGGAATTTTTTCAGCTATGGAATTAAAGACACTATCAACATTCTGAGCAGACTTTGCGCTTGTCTCAAAAAACAGTAGACCAGCTTCATCTGCATAAGCATGGGCATCTTCCTTTGATACTTGTCTTTCATGCTCTTCGTCATTAATGGGTTCACCATTTTCATTCTCAACAAGGTCAAGTTTATTACCAACGAGGGCAATCACGATGTCAGTGTTGGCCTGTCTCTGCAGCTCTTTAACCCATGATTTTGCTTTATCAAGAGTAGACTAATAATAAATATGAGCAAAACGATTAAAACAAGCCGCAATATACACTTACTGACTTGGTGATATCATAAACTACAATAGCAGCTTGAGCATTACGATAATACATGGGAGCAAGTGAATGAAAGCGTTCTTGACCGGCAGTATCCCATATTTCGAATTTTATAGTTCTGTCTTTCACCAAACACTTTTGGGTCAAAAAGGCAGCTAAAGTACAATACATTAGACTTCTTTCTTTTATGAAATGTACAATTTACCCCCAATCGTAGGCTCTCTATTCTCAATATAGTTTCTGCTTACAAAACGGAGGACGATACTTGATTTTCCTACAGCTGATTCACCTAGGATAGACTGTCAAAATACACAAAGATAAATATTTTGCTCATCCTTTTGTTACCCAAGAGAACAAGCTTGACATTTTTTATCTTTCCAGGACTGGCGGAAGTCGTTGTCATGTCAACAGTACTATTTTCTGCAGTGGAATCCATTTTATTTAAGAAAAAGAAGAAAAAGAGAGAGAAAAAGGAGAAAATAAAAGGAAAAGGGAAACTATAGAATTTTATGGCAAACAAATGCACGTGGTTGTTTACCTTGATGACACAGTACACCAAACTTGGATTAACTGTATTCCCCATTATGTCACCTGTGGTCTCCGCTTCAGGATGTTGCGATCTTATTCCGCATTAAATATAGACAAGGTTTTATAAATATATTTATTGAAAAAGAGAGAGAGAGAAAAAGAGGAGGAAAGGAGAAAAAGAGAGAGAGGAGTAAGAGAAGAACACATATCAACAGTTTTAGGTTAATACATATTCTTTAAAGCCGTCGTTCGTCCATTGATGCTGGTTTTTTTAGATCATTAAGGCTGTTATCTTCACATCTTGTTCTTGACACAGTTTTTAGAACTTTTTTTTTTAGATGACCTGAGATTGAAAAATAAACCTAGAGTACTATTTGTAGTGAAAGATGGCTTTGATGATAATCGTCAAAGGCGAGAAGAGTTTCATTAGTTATATACTTTTTTGTTTGTAACCTTTATTCCCATGTCGAGTTGGGAAATATGGAATGCCAAAAGCTTTGCTCTGTAGTTATTTTCAGAGAACTTGATGCACAACTTGACTGTTCATGTTTACGGTGAACTTATACTCAAAGTCTAGTCGCAAAACAGACTTCAAATGCACTTTTCGTGCAAAATATTTGACGTTTCCTTCAGCTTTTTATTACAGGGATCACAAAGTGTCTTTTAATGCAATGGACAACTGGTGACATTAGGCTATTATGACCTGGTGTGCCACAAACGCACAGAGCAGTGGAAGCTTCGCTTGTAACAGAGACACTTGCTTCAGGAGCTAAGCGTATAGTTTTCCTATTCTATCTGCCCTGCTTTGTTTTATAAACACCCTTTGTATGACCTTTCCATTTTCTTTTTCTTTTTACCATATTGTATGGAATTAGTTTTATTCCATATAAACTTGATATATATATATATATATATATAGATATATATGCATATGTGCCTGAAACAAACAGACGACACTTGGAGCTTGTTTTTGTCGTATGACCTCTCTCATTGCAGTCATTACAGACATTAATTTCTATTACAAGATACATAATAGAATTGTAAACTATGTCTGTTGTATACGCAGAAAATATAGCACATTTTACCATTTTTATTAAAGAACGCTTGCTTTCAATTTTATCTTTGAGGTACTGTCTGTTTTCTTTTGAATGAATTATGGTTAAAGGCAGTGAAGGAAAAGTTCAAGAAGGGAGAAAAGGATAAATCAATATTGCTACAAGCTGAGCAATAATATCAAACTGACAACGCTCTTGACCATGACTATACAAGTAGTATAATCCATTTTTTAAATCATTAGCCGTAAACCTGTTATGGATTGGCTTTTATTCCAAGATGCCTTATACACTCTATCAGTCTCAAATCATATTATCTCGGCTTTCATCATTTTTGTTTCGAAATCAATATTAAACACAGCATCTTCCCCTTTTGGGTAGTAACCATGGATGTTTCTATATAAACCATCTTTGATCTAATGTTTGTGTAAAATCAAACTTCCACAACAAATAATCCTTTTGTCTATTCTGCATTTTACATCCAAAGAAATGCTCAACCTCTATTTGTCAATCTCAGATTATCTTGACTGTCTAATTACTTTAGTCTCATCTTTCCTTGATAGTACTTCAAGGAGGTCGTTGAGCTTTTACAAAAAAAAATCTGCGGCCCCGACATGCTTTTCTTTGTCCTTTTTTTTTGTATCAACTTAAAATGTCTCAACCACCACAAATATACAAAGCAACCTATTCAGGAGTGCCTGTTTATGAAATGATATGTAAAGACATTGCTGTCATGAAAAGAAGATCTGATGGGTTTCTTAATGCAACACAAATACTAAAAGTGGCCGAATTTGACAAACCACAGAGAACTCGCATATTAGAAAGAGAAGTCCAGACTGGTCCTCATGAAAAAGTACAAGGTGGTTATGGAAAATATCAAGGTAAGGAATTACCCCCTATTTATGAATAAATAGTTGTTCATTTTCTTTTAGGCACATGGGTACCCTTTGAGCGTGGTGTGGCATTAGCCGAACAATACCAAGTAGATATTCTTTTAAGGCCAATTCTTGACTATGTGCAGGGTGATGTGAGCCCACCGTTAGCACCAAAACATATGAACAACCTTAATCCAAAACCAAAAAAGATGAAATCTATACCAAAGAAAAAAAAGATTACAAAAAAGATTAGATTAGATCATGATCTTGATGAAGCTACAGCTATGGAAGAAGGGATGGCTGACCAGCTCAGCCTATTAGATGACAATAGAGGTCAAAAAAGAAAACGCCCTTTGTTTGAAGATGAACAACACTTGATGTTTAGCAATGATCGACCAACTTATGCACAACAATTGCTTCAGTACTTTATATCGGATGATTCAGGTATACCAACCATTCTGTTAGAACGACCTCCTGATCTAGATGTCAACGTGATTATCGATGACGAAGGGCATACAAGTTTACATTGGGCAGCAGCTATGGGTAGATTGAAACTGGTTAAGCTCTTGATTGAGCAAGGGGCAGACATTTATAGAGTGAACTATAAGGGACAGACAGCTCTGATGCGAAGTGTGCTGTTTACAAATAATTTTGATTCGAAATCATTTGTATTCTTGATAAATATGTTGATGGAGACAGTATTCAATATTGATAAGAAGGATCAAACTGTATTTCATCATGTGGCGTCTACAGCAAGTTGGAAAGGGAAGGTGCATGCATCCAGGTATTATATGGAATGCTTGATTGAGACAGTTGGTCAACATAATGTACCCCAACTTATTTCTATTCTAAACGTACAAGACATCTATGGAGATACTGCGCTCAATATTGCGGCAAGAATAGGAAATAAAAAGATTGTCCGTCTTTTGATGGAGGCAGGAGCAAGTGCAGAGATCGCCAATGAAGAAGGTATGACAGCAAAGGACTATTTGGCTGAAGCAGAAAGAACGGGTCAAAGTAGAACCTTGATGGAACCTTATCGAACAGAAACAAAGCAACGAACGGTGTTGAGGCAAAGAATTGAAGAATTATTCAAGACGATCATCGTGAATGACAAACCGCCTATTCTGTCTCAGTTATTCGATGGATTTGCAGGCAATTATGAAAGGGATTTAATACAAAAGGACCATCTCATCAAGGAGAAAAAGAATGATTTGGTATTAGCTAAAAAGCGTCTGGCTGGAACACAACATACCCTCGAACAAATTCAATTTGATCCAGCAAGGCTAGTTGAGGTAGAAGAAGAGTCAGTGAGGCTATCTACTCTATTATTAAAGCAAACACAAAAGCTACAAAAAGAGACATTAGAACAAATGATTGAACAACAACAACAAAAAGAGCAAAAGGATGAACCATCAGTAATAAAGGAAGAATTAGAGAGTTTACAGAATGAACTAGAACGATTACAAGAACTACGAAAGAAGCGTGTTCAAGAACTACATAAGCTTAAACTTCAAACGCCAAGCGAGAAGCATCAAAAGTATAAAAGGCTTATTTCAATGTGTTGTAATGTTTCCTATGAAAATGTTGATTTAATGCTACTCCCTCTTTTATCTTCTTTTGATGAATTACTGTTTATGAATAAAGAGTGATTTTGTCGGAGCATGTTTGTCGGAGCACATCAATGACAAGTCCCTCCCCTTTTTTTTTTCCTTTCCTTTCTTTTCTTTTACTTTCTAAATAAAAAAAAGAGCAAGAGAATGGTAAGCAATTAGGTTAATCTTGTTCTTTATTACTAACTCTTTTAGTCCTTGGCTCCTGTTAATATTTTCCAAGATCAAGCTACTGAAGAAAGAGCTGAAAATGCGCGTTTGGTATATAAACAAACATTTTTTATATAATATATAAAAAATTAAAATTTTATATATTTGATCTTGTAGTCATCTTTCATCGGTGCTATTGCAGTAGGTGATTTAGTCAAGAGTACTCTTGGTCCTAAAGGCATGGTAAGAAAAAAAAAGCAATCTTTTTTTTATTAAAAAGAGAAACTTAATGGTAAGCCAAAAAAAAACAATCAATATAGGACAAGATTCTTCAATCTGCTACAAATGGTGAAATTCTCGTGACGAATGATGGTGCTACTATCTTGAAATCAATTGCTCTCGACAATGCAGCTGCTAAAGTACTTGTAAATATTTCCAAAGTTCAAGATGATGAAGTAGGTGATGGCACAACATCTGTCTGTGTTTTGGCAGCTGAGCTTTTACGTCAAGCAGAATTCTTGGTGAATCAACATATTCATCCACAAACAATTATTGAAGGCTATAGACTTGCTTCTGCTGCTGCTTATAAGGCCTTGGAGGCAAGCGCATTGGATAACAGCAAAAACAAAGATTTATTCCGTCAAGATTTAATTAATATTGCCAAAACAACACTTAGCTCCAAAGTTTTATCTCAAGACAAGGAGTATTTTGCCGAATTGGCTGTTGACGCTGTCTTACGTCTGAAAGGATCCACCAATTTGGAAAATATTCAGATTATTAAGAAGCCAGGAGGAAAGTTAAGTGACTCTTATCTGGATGAAGGTTTCATTCTCGATAAATCCATTGGCGTCAACTGTCCTAAGCGAATTGAAAATGCAAAGATCCTTATTGCTAATACATGTAAGTTATATATAAGCAATATCACTTTATAACCTAACTTTTTTTTTTATTACAGCCATGGATACCGATAAAATCAAAATTTTCGGCGCTCGTGTCAAGGTCGATGCCACAGGTAAATTAGCCGAATTAGAGCGTGCAGAACGTGACAAGATGAAGGAAAAGGTTGAAAAAATCAAAGCTCACGGCATCAACTGCTTTGTGAACCGTCAATTGATCTATAACTGGCCCGAACAGCTTTTGGCTGATGCAGGCATTGCTAGCATTGAACACGCCGACTTTGAAGGTGTCGAAAGATTAGCCTTGGTCACTGGTGGTGAAATTGCCTCTACCTTTGATCACCCAGAATTAGTCAAGCTTGGACACTGTGATTTGATTGAAGAAGTTATTATTGGTGAAGACAAATTGATCAAGTTCTCTGGTGTAGCTGCTGGTGAAGCATGTACTGTCGTCTTGCGTGGTGCTACTCAACAGCTGTTGGATGAAGCAGAAAGATCTCTTCATGATGCTCTCTGTGTCTTGTCACAAACAGTAAAGGAACCAAGAACCGTCTTGGGTGGTGGTTGTGCTGAAATGCTCATGTCTAAGGCTGCTGATGAAGTTGCTGCAAAGACAGCTGGTAAGCGTGCCATCGCTGCTGAATCTTTCGCAAAGGCTTTACGTCAAATGCCCACTATTTTGGCAGACAATGCCGGTTTTGATTCTTCCGAGCTGGTTTCCCAATTAAGAGCTGCTCATTACGATGGCAAGAACACATATGGTTTGGACATGGTCCGTGGTGATGTGGCTGATGTTAGAGAGTTGGGTATTACCGAATCATTCAAGCTCAAGAAACAAGTGCTTTTATCTGCCTCTGAGGCAGCTGAAATGATCTTGCGTGTAGATAATATTATCCGTTCTGCTCCTCGTCAACGAACTGCATAAATAAAATAAAATAGTCTAAACATGTTTGTTTGTAAATGTAGCAATGATTTATTCTCTAAATAGACAGAAATAAACATTGTATATATATATGTATATCTAAGCAGTTAATCAAAGATATTCTAGACATATTTTCACTAGACGTAAATTATACACTTTCTGTATTATCATCTACAAATTGATACGGGAACAGTAGGGTAATGACATTCTCTGTTGTATTCACCCGTTCTTTTACCGAATACTTATCCTCTTCTAGTTTTGCAGCATACACAAAGCGAAAGGTAGCTAAAGGTTCAAGGCCTGGCAGAGTAATCGCTCTTTGACCACGACGAGTATTTCTTCTTTTTAATCTATATATTAGATTAAAAAGATTCATAAAATTACTTTTATACGTCTGAAGCTTACCTTGATTCACGTACTGTCTCTTTCTCCATGTATACAAGTTCACTATCCAATACCTGTGCTACACTTGGAGTGAATCTCTTGATCTTATTGCTGTTTCTCATTGCCTTTTTTACAATTGGTAAAAAAGACTTTTTGAATCCACGGTCCATTATGGATTTATTCCAATCATGATATTGAGATAAGTGCAGACTCTTCACATAAGTATAGATTTGCTCTCGTATAGAATGAGCAATCGCTGATCTAGAAATTCATTAAGGTTTCCTGTATTGACAATTGTACAAGGCAACTTACTTAAATTCACCTGATAATCCTAATTCAGATACCAGCACCTTTGCAAATGCTTCAGGAGAGTTTTCTTTGCAAGTAATATCCCATTCAAACCTATCATTTAGTTCCATATTACCAATAGTAATATCAAGCTAATCATATTATGTTATATGTGGTCATCTTTCTCTGTGTGTCTCTTACTTTGATAAAAATCCTTAGTTCAGTCTTGCCTGTAAACAAATCCGTTTTCAAATCAAGCATCCCATCTTTAAGTTTTGTATTTCTTATTGCAAGTGGATGGTGTAATGATGTTGATTCTACATTTTCTTCATCCGCACCATATATACTTGAATAATAATCCTCAATCTGGTCCACTATGCTTGCTGCAATGAGTCGTACGAAATATAAAGGTAAGCCCAAGTCATCACAAGTAATTCTTGCAAATTGGATAGGAGATACTGATGGATCTGTTGTCAGTTATTAACTTGAATCAAATTGAAATCCTTGAGGTTAATTTACCATTGACATTCCAGACAAACGTATCGCATATTCTATATCCATCATTCTGTATGTCCAATCGAATGGGTATCAGTACCTCTTCAACATCAGCTTCATCATATCCATCAAAAGGACTAATTGGGGACAAAACTTTAGAGCGGTTCGAGGTAGTTGATATTATTACCTTTGGAGTATATGTTGATAGCGACTGCGTGCCTTGCTCTTTAAGAGTATGATACCACTTGTCTCGACGTTTGTTACTTTTCCATCTTCTTGATGATCATGCCCTAAAGAGAAACTCTTCTTTTTCTGTATTAATTGACGCATTTTAGTGCTCATATTAAGCTCATGCTTCTTTTCTTGAATGAGCTCTATAGTTCTCTTTTGCTGTATGTCGACTGAGTTCTGGTGCTGTTGTTCTTTATGCAAGTACATGTCTAGTTTTGTCTGGTTTAAATTCACTTGATCCTGGATTGGCTGGAGTGTTAAGGTTGTCGCTAATAGCTTTTTTGACTTTTGTTTGGCACCAGAAGGGCCTGGTTGCTGTAAAGCAGAAAAGCTTGCTTGATTTGATCTGTTTGCTCCAGACTGTCTACCCTTTTTTGATTGACGCTTGACGCGCTGTTTTATAGGCGCAAGACTAGAGCTCATTAAATAAGGAAGAAAGACAACAGAATATCAATTGGTAAAAAGAATTGACGACAATTGAAATAGATTTGTTTCTTTGCTAAAATGATGCAAGTTTATATTTTATTATAGGCCCTTCACTGTTGTCATTTCATCAAATGAAAGCCCTTACGCCCTCCCACTTTTAAGATTACCCTCTTCTTCCTTCTCTTATAAATATACCCATTGATATAATACAGATCTGTTTCATTCTCGATATTCTTAATAACACAAGCTTACGCTTAGTGGATCAAGTGAAATATTGAAAACATATCATGTAGTCAACTGATGGTGTAGATCCTCCTCTTTTTTGCACTTTTTTTTTCATTTATTGTTATTACTATCATGTACAGCATCTAATCTAAAGAGAAGGCTCTTCTTTTTCAAACTTTGCACCAGGAACGTTGGAAGGGTGGAAGATACGCTAAGGATAGGTATATGAGTAAAGAACTAGAGTCATAAAAGTTATATAATACCTGAGCGTCAGCATAGGCGACACCAAAACCCCAGCCAGTAGAGATAGCAATAGGCCAAGTACGCTCTAATAAGAATTGATGAGTTCATTATGTATCTAATTGACCTTTTTTCCCTTACTCTTGAATAATAATGCAGATGCAACAATACCAACACTTAAACCGAGACCAGTCTTTACAACAAAATTAGAAATGGCGCGATCCCACTATTAAAAATAGAGTTAAATTTGAGCATTGACTGGTTTGCGTCTACTTATTACTTTTTGTGATAAAATTTCTTCACTTGGAGTCCTTTGTTCTGTTGACATGATCAAATGCTGTTTGAAAGTTTCTAAAGAAATTGCCCCCTTCAATGTTTTTATCATTGAATTAGAATTCCGCATCAAGTAGTGTGACGTACACTATAATTTTTATTTTTGAAGGAATTCTTTTTGCCCAAGTTTCCTTTTAAGTATCAAAAAGGGATTCTATGATCATCTTGCAAAGGGTTTACAAATTATCTTTTTACTGACCCTAGTTTACACTTTCCTGAGATAACACTTCTATCGCTTCCCTGTATTTCTTCGAAGACGATACAACAGAACCTATAGTAATTGAGGATATTGAATATAAATCTGTTTTTTTCTTTTGAGTATATTTGATCCTATCTTGTTGAATTAAGCCTTATAAGCAAAGCAGAGAAAAAATTTCGGAGACCTAAAATATCCACTCTCTCTTTCTTTGACATATCCCATTTCTTTCCAATGAAAAAACAGTCAAAAAGACAATTAGAAAAGAGTAAGATACGAAGCATAATTGCCATACATATAAGTTATTTATTAAAAAGCAATTGCTAGTATTCAACAGATGTGATATTGAAGAAACAGGCTATTTAAATAGTGAAGCACTTTATCAAGCACTATTGATATTAAAGTTGCCAGTACAGCCTACTGATATAGAGGATATTTTTGATTCAGTTGGCAGAAAAAAGGAAGGAACGATAGGCATAGATGACTTTATCAGTATAGTGCATGAGCTTCAGGTGTGTATGACTATAAGTCCAATTATGAATTTATTGTAGAGTATGATTATGTATAGGTTGAAGATACAGAACTTGATAAAGACGATGAATTTATACCAGAAGAGCAAGAATCCAAAGCGCAGATAGTCTTTGGTATGCTAGCAGATACAAATGTAGATGGTATTACGCTAGAGAGCCTAATGAAAGTGTGTGCTGCGGAAGAGCCCTCATGGACTCAGCAACAAGTTATGGAAATGCTAAATGAAGCAGATATGAATCATGATGGTATCATTGATTTAAATGAATTTGAGATGCTTTGTAAACGAATGGGAATATCATGAAAGCTTTTTTAATTTCGCATATTTAATTACAAGTTTAATTGCATAAACAGTTTGTTACTTCTTATGTATCTACAACAGCTGGGCCAGGAACAGGCGTATCATTTTTAATATAAAAGCTGATTTCTCTTTCAGACATGTCTTGGTTATTTACGATGGGGTTATCGAGATCGTCTGGATTCTGTATAAAATCATGCTGCTCTTTAAAAGTTATTGAATGAAAGATATTTCGTATCATTGATTCATGACAGTCCTTTAGTTCATCTACAGTATAGCCTTCGCTCAGTAATTTGTATAGCTGATATTCAAGTATACTGTTGGTTTCAGGGCGAAGGTTTGCCTTAAAGTGCAATTCAGCTTCACTCAAAGCCTTTTCGAATTCTGCTCGTCCTTCTTCAGCTCTGCGAATTACTGGACGTTGATATTTGATATGTGTTTCAGCTTGTGATATATTGAGCATCTTAAATATATCATCCAATAAATAAACAGCATACTGACCAGAGACAACGGATGTCAGCCATGGTACTTTTTCATAACATTCTTTCAAAAGCTTAATTAACTCAAAGTATCGAGTTTTCATTGCATAATGGCCACGTTCTAACACATCACTAAATTCATCAAACTGCCAGAATCTTAAGGGTGATTTCGCATTAGATATCTTCTTTTGTCCTTTTTGTTGCACATACAAGGCTGCTATCAATATTGCAGCACCAACAGTGGGTCGGTTTCCTCTGCCTTCTCTGATAAGAAAATGATCCGAAAGGTCAATCAGCTTCTGTGCGGTTTCCTTTATGCCCCTTCTTTGCAGATGTAAGGAATTTTTTTTGAATTTCTTCTTCATTTGCTTTGTAACGATTGGAAATATTTTGTCCAGCATAAATTCCAGTTGTGTTGGAATGTTGTGGTCCGCTGCTGTAAGAGAACTAAATAATAAAGTGATAGTAAGCTGCATTTTTCGAAGACCTTTTGTTTCTACAGGTTGAGGAAAGGCACGAATGTAATCATGAGTTTGCCAGCCAGGTTGTTTTGCACAGCCGATTAATGATGCTAAAATAAGCGCAGTTTCAACAGATCTGTGATGGTTTAGCATCTTGCTATGTTTATGGCAGAATTCAACGGTTTGCTGAATAGAATCTGCTGGAAAGCCAAAGTAGTGAAACACTTTCCTTACCCAATAGGTTAGAACGTTGTCTTTTTTTGGCTAATAATGGGGTTAGTATTATGCATTGAGCATTTTTCCATGCGTTTACCTTGTGATGTACCATGAACGTCCTTCCAGCAGAATCTCCTGCATGTACTTGTTCCTCCACATTAATAAAATTTTCTTCCAGCACAGTTCCACAATCATTGCAAACGGATACACGATCCTCATCCGTAATTGCCGTACTGCTGCAATTAGGGCAAATCATGATCAGACTGTGAAAAGAACAAGAAAGAAAATGACTGAAAAAGGGATGTTGTATTTATTATCAATTGGTTGGCGCGGTAATTGAAATGCTACAGTAAAAGAGTTTGAAGGTTTTCTTGTAAAATGCTATCTGAAACAGATTCCATGACAACAGCCAATAGTTGGGTATCTGTAGCAACGGTAAAGTGCACATATATCTGTTTTTCATGGTTTGTATTAAGGGTTAAAAACCTATTTTTAAAATATTCTTTAGCTTGATTATAGTCTGTTGGAGAACCTATGCATAAAGTCAGCCATGATCTACAATGCAAATTAAAAACTAAAACCTCTGTAGTCAGGAAAATAGTTGGTGATTCTTGATTTTAATAGTTTCTTCTTGAATAAATCATTCTTGTTTAGGAACAAGATGATGGAGGTGTTTATGAACCATTTTGAATTGCATATTGATTCAAATAGCATAAATGCCTCATACATCTAATATGTAAACTGTCAACGTTTTAAGCTCATAAAGATAATTAATAAGTCTTACTTGATTCTATTTATATGGTTAGCATGTTATCTGTGTAATGATGTGTACAACTTACGGAATATTTATCTTCAACCAAACAGCAATCATATCCACTAAGGGCAACTACAAACAAGATAGCAGCTACATTATCAAAGCAGTGAATCCTAGTGGGGAGATATTAGCTCATGATGACTAAGGGATACTATATAATACTCTACCATTTTTTACGCTCACTTCTTTGTCCGCCAACATCCAGCATTCTGTATGTGACAGATCCATTTCTAAATTTGGTTTCCACGATTCCTAGAAATGGGATCGTATTACTCGTTTTAAATACAGACACATATGCAAAAAAGAAAAATACCTGTTGTCTTTATTCTACAATGTATAATATCAGCATCTGTTGGCATAAAATCTGGTCTAAACATTCTATCTAATTGATCAAAAAAGCTATTGAATGTAAGCAAGCAAAGTCATAGAAATTCATTATTATGCTTACTAATGGATATCTTCGTTAAAAGCAAATGTATTGCTCTTTTCAAAGGTCGCTTGTATTCCTTTATCCCTCCAAAGTGATTTTAGCGGTTCAAGATATTCTATAGGGTAAGGCTCATGCATGGATAGAGAAGTAGGCCTTCTTTCGAATAATGCAATGTATTTCTAATAATCATAAGTAGTTGAACATCATTAAACAGCCACTACTTACCCAATTAGCCTCGTTTTCAAATGTAAATTTATGGTGGTGCATACCTTCTAATAAGGCTTGCATGGATCCTAATATGTTGGTGAAGATCATCAAACGGAAGCTTTCTCTTTCATATTTTGTAAATCCAGAAGCATGGATCAATCTCATTTGCTTAATGATGGTTGATTTTCCTGAGTCACCAGCACCTTTTTTTTCACATCATTAATACTGTCATATACCCTTCTATGAACAATACTAACCTAATAATAAAATTTTGATCTCTTTTTCAGCCTTTTTCTTTTCTAATTTAAGTTGTTTGTCTATAGCTCTTGATTTTGCGCTTATATTGTTTCCCATGTCTATGCTTAAAAGGAAAAAAAAAAAAAAGAATAAAAAATTTTGCATTAGCGTTATTAAATTTTGTCAGCTTTAATGTTTGACAAGTTTATCTCTGGTACAAAAATTCGGAAAAACAATAGGGAACTGAGGAAACCTGCCTTTTACTTCCCTTTTTATTTATTTCTTTACTTTTACTGTCCATCCAGGCTCTTCTACTTTATTATACTTTTCTTTCCATATCCAAGAATTGCCGATAATACCTTGACCTTGCTTCTCTGCTAAGCGATAATATTTGGCTGCAGCATATAAATCCTTCTTGACTCCAATGCCATGTGTATAGCAAAATCCTAAATCATTTTGTGCATCTGGATCACCCAAATTAGAAGCTATTTGAAAGTAGTAGGCTGCTGTTTCTAAATTCTTTGGCACCTAATTCATGTATGTAAATCATTTAAATTTACAACTGTGATCCATTACTTACGCCCCACCCGTGACGGAAACAGATGCCTAATTCATAAATGGCAAGTACCAATTCTGATTTAGCCACAATGGCTGACTGTGAAATATTTGTTTGTAGTTCATAAACTGCTGACTCTGCTGCGTTTTGTAGATACTTGACTGCCTTTATCGGGTCCTTTTTACATCCCTATTATTATAAGTTGTATGTGAGAATTATTATCATGAAACATAATTTCATCTTCTTACCCATCCATGCCTTAGCGCAATTCCATAAAAAAATGAGCCTAACGATGAGCCATGTTCTGCTGACAGTCTCCAGTAATGTGTTGCTTTTTCAAGCTCGCCTCTTTCATGACATTTTAAACCTAGTTGAAGGTATTCTTCCTTATCATCATCTGCAGGTAACGATATATTCTCTTTTTGTATTGATTTCTTTAATGGTGCTATATGTGTTCCCGTCACATCATGATCTATATGAAGTGATCTAGGTCTTGTTGCTGCTGATGATGAAGATGAAGGATTGTTTAGTGATATATCTGTAGCTGATTTCTTATGTTGAACGGTGGGCATATGATGATCATGTCGAATAGAGAATGCTTTTCTGAGACGATTCATTGTTTAAATAAATAATTAAAGGAAAGAAAGAACGAAAAAAAAAAAGATAAACAATTAAATGAATTCCTTTTTATAGTCTGTACCTTATTTGGGAATGATGAAACCTTACGAATAGGAGATGCTTATTGTCCATGATTTTCCTCTTGAGCTAGAAACTCAGGTATAGAAAATTTTCCATTTTAGTTCATTCGTGTAACAAACCACGGGCCAAAATAGATTTGTATTTTTAGGCAAATGAACAAAAATAAACAGGGCTTTTGACGATTTTCTTGGTGGCGTTCAAAGATTGCTTTAGCTATACAGATTTATGTGTGGCGTTAATTTCCATGAAAATAAATTGGGTTGTCAAGTGCTTTATGATTAAATCTTTAATATACTAGCTCTTCTTGCAAGAGACTCTAATTTGCAAAATTGCTGTCATTTCTTGTTGAATTAATGATCGTCACTTTGGTCAGCCAGTGTGACGTGCTCTCCTATGTTGAAGCACAGCTTTATTACTGCTTCTGCTAATCTGCCTTCAAGGAAAGAAAGTAGAATCAAATACGTGATGCATATACTCATGCTTCGAAGCATAGACTACAGTAGTCTTAAATAGCTACAAAATTATGTTGTGCCATTTTTCGAGCTTACTATCTTCCAATTACTCCTCCGAATTCATTGTTTCCCAGGGTAATAAGTCTGAGTACATCTCGCTACGCCAAGTGCCACCATTAACCCATTGTGTACCTCTTACTGTGTAAGATCCATTTTGTATGAATATAAATAATAGCAACATAGAGCTGTTAGCATGCACTCCAGCAAACACGCTTAATTCAAGCGTTCTCTTTACTATGCAAAAGAGCATCTAACTATATCTTCTTTTATACAATATTTATTGAGAAAATGTAAAATTAAACAAAGCTTTATTTGGTAGCTTACGCTAATTGACAACATATTCAATTTATACCACAAAACAGACTCGCTTCCCGCTAGGAGACTCGGTCATTCTGCATCTGAATGACCAAATTCATGGCAATGTTTACAGTATGTCGGCACATCTTTCCAATATACGTGAACAAAATATTGAGTAATACTAGAAGCACCGCAAAAATGCAAAAAGGTAATGTTCACCGAACTGCAAAATGCTCTTTTGAAAGACGGCTGGAAATTGTTCAAAAAACATAGTTTATATGTTCTTCCGAGAGCTATGCCAAGTATGTTTTATTTCTATTGATGACAGCATAATTTATATGTACAAGATGTTGTTATTTTTCTTTATTTATACTAATCTAAGCCGTTTGTGAGTATTGGTATCTTGTTCTTCATCGTCACTAATTAAATCAATCACATCTACATTTTGTTCTGCTTTTTGTATATTACTTCGAATAATAGCCTTATTGTCCATAGGACCATCTTCGTCTTCACTATTGCTATTGCTATTATCATCATCCAAATCATCCTCCTTAGTTACTGTAATCGTGCTGTGGTTATCTTTAAATTCTATCTCGGACACATTTTTAGGTAATGTCTTTAGCAATCCTTCAAAGAACAAATCATATCCAAGTTGTTCACTTGTTACTACATCATTGCAATGAGGACATGTCCACATAGGACGTTCCATTTTGTTGAGTAACAAATAATCATGTAAATCAAAGCACTACATACACGTACTTTTAGTATGCTGCCCTAAGTTTGTTTATATACAATATGACTTACGTCAATATGCTTGCACTTTATGCCTTTCGCTGGTATCTTAATCCTAGTCAATGTAATCGGGCACTTCAAACTCACTCTAAGTGTCTTTTGTTCTATCGCAATCTCATCGTCATCACTTTCATCTTTCTTCCCCAACAGTTTATCTATTGTCTCCTTCCCTTTCTGTATACTCAATGGTGTCTTTCGCACTTTTTCTACAATATAGTTTTCGCTTTCTCGTACATATAATCTAATACAAAAATTGAAAGACTGTCTATTATTAGCCATACATTTACATCTGCTATTACTAAAGTTACTTACACAAGCACAATCATCCTGATAGATTCTCAATACATTCGTTCCTTCTTGTAGTACGTTATTTAAGTCATACGCCTTGTCTTTTCCAGTCTGTATAGGTATGCGACCATCAACTCGCATTTTCTGTAACAAAAAAACATTAGATATTAGATCCTGTATTGTATGTGTATATATAGTTTGCTACCCTTTCTAAGTAAAGTTGCTTCCCATTCATTTCTGCTCTCATGTGCTCAGGCCACTCTACCTTCCTTTCTTGTGACTTCACATGCCATGCAGTAAAAAGAAATGTCAATGGTAACTTCTCTGGACTCTTTACTCGGTTATTTGTTTCATTAAATAAACTGGTAAAGTAGTTCTTTCCAATAAAGAATTGCTTTTCAGTCACTCGTTGACTATGTACTAGTCTAAAGGGTCCAAGGATAGCACTACTAGGGCGAAGGAAATCCGCAAGATCTTTTGAGTCTGAATCATTTGCCAATGCCGGTATAAGCCCTGTGGTCTTGTTTGGTAGAACCAATTGATCAAATGAAGGCTGAGATATGTTTGGTAAATATAAAGCATTTTGCTGACCAAAGCTACTGGTTGATGCTTGAGCTGTTCTAGGCTGTGTAGGTGACGTACTGCTACTACCACTATGTGTGGAAGAAATGCATAAGGGTATATTGTTACCATTGGTCAGGCGTACGGGTATAGACAAATCAGCAGTTGTTGGCAGCATAGCAGCTGTGCTTACAGCTTGAATTTCTGCTAAAGATATAGACGATGGTTGCTGCTGTGATTGTTGAGCCTGTTTTTGTAGGGCATTGCTATTGCCTACATTATTGGATGGTTGAGACTGAGCTTGTGTAGGCTGTATGTAAACAGGTGCTGACAGTTGCTGTTGTTGATTACTGATATTGTTATTGTTATTGAATTGCTGCTGCTGTGGTGATTGATAGCCTGGACTTATCTGCTGAGGAATAAATGAATTTTGTACTCTTTGCTGCATGCCTCTCTGCGGCATTTGTACAGCAGCAGCTAGCAGTTGTTGATTATAATACTTCCTTAATCGCTGCTCCTGCTCCTGTTGCTGCTGCAATAATTGCTGTTGCTTCTGATTTTGCTGCTGCTGCTGCTGTTGTTGTTGTTGCATTAATTGCTGCCATGCTACTATTTGACTTGAGTTGTAGGCATATTGCGTAGCTTGGGCATTTTGAGCTGTCGTTTGTTGTTGAACAATAGTAGGTGATGATATGGATCGCGGAAGGCCGCTAAAAGAAGCCCCTGGTTGAGTAGTAGGAGACTGTACAGTTTGTCCATGTTCATTTGCTCTCTGTAACTGCGGCGATCCTTGTTGCTGCTGTGGATCAAATCGCGATTTCGTGGGAGAAGCAGGCACCATATATTGTTTTATCGAATTAATTTTATTTAACCCTGGAGCCTGTTGCTGCAATTGCTGTGCTTTTTGTTGCAATCGTTGCTGAAACTGCTGCTGTGTTAGTTGTTGCGCTTGCTGTTGAGCCTGCTGTTGAGCCTGCTGCTGGGCTTTCTGTTGAGCCTGCTGTTGAGCCTGCTGCTGCAACAGCATCTGCTGGTACTGAAGCCAAGCCATCTGCTGTTGCTGTAAGATTGACGCTGAAAAGGTCGGATAATGTGACGTAAGTGGCGCTATCATCGGCTGCCCTTGGTTTATAAATATGGCCGGATGTGATCTCGTTGCAAATGAGGCCTGAACTGGAGATTGTGATAACACTCTTTGTTGGCTACGAACTGTCGCGGCTACAGTCGTTGCTGTTGGTGAAGGAGCATTTTGGATAGAAGTGCTCTGATTAGGTTGGTTTGCACATGTGTCCTTTTGGACCGTTCCAGTTGCAGGTTCACACACGCCAGCGAGAATTTCTCTTACGAGGTCATCATAATTTTTTGAAGTAGACAACCCTAACTGCTGAGGTTGTGCTAATGCAGGTGTTGTTGGCGTTGAGGGCCCTGAAGAAGTTGAGTTTAGAGGTGCAGCAGTAGGTGAATTAGCGGTTGATGTAGTAGTAGTGGCCATCGATGTGTTCTCTTTCTTCTTGTTCAAGACTTTAACTTTTAGTCCTTCGTATAATTCTTCGATTAACTTTTGAGAAATAAGGCTCAAGTTGGCTCGATTCTCGCTTGCCTTTTTCAAGATCTGTAAACCAGACCATGCTCCAAATGACTCTGCTGTTTCATAAATAGCTCTAAAGCACTTTAATAAAGCAGCTTCATAATGTGAATTATAAGCACGATTATCATTGATCCAAACAAGTAATTCATCGCAAGCACTGCCATATGAGCTGATTTTACGTAGTTCTTGTTCTATTTGCGCTAATCTAATCGTGTTTCTATCCTGATAAACAGTCTCTATATGTCTCACTGATAAAATATTGTTACTGCTATTGTTGTTGGTATGATCAGATTGATTGTGTGATCCTGTCAATGAATTATTTATAGATTGATGTGCTGATGTTGTCAGATCATTGTTCATTATGCTGAATACTACTTATGCAACACAAAATGAAAGTGCCAAAATCAGATATATTCTTATACTAAAGTTAATTATCTAATATTCTTACCTATGTTTGCGTGTTTATATATGTGTGTGTATTTGTATTTGAATAATATTCAGAAATAGAATAAAATAAAGAAAAATGGTTTAGATCTAAAAAACTTTCAACCACAAAATAAAAGAAATGTTTTACCTCAGTTTGAAAAGGGTATATGCTTTCAATTTACAATAACCAAAAGAAGAGGACAAAGAAATATATATCTCCCTTACTTGAAGGTAAAGAAGGACTAATGTTGGACAGCTCTTGGCGCACCACCACGCGCACCACCATTGTTCAACATATGACATCACGTTTTTTGTTCGGACAGTGAGTTTGCAAAATAGTGACGTTGCAAACCACTTAAGTGGTGCGCCAATGGTGCGCGAGCTGCTGACTTCACACTATCGTGTGTTAGTCGATAACAATTGTTAGTAGACAAATGCATTCTATTTGTTTTTTTTATAAATTATTTTTAATACATAATGGAGAAATCTATAGGGCATATTGCTGCGAATTTTTTTGTAACTGCTTTGTGATAAGGATTGATAAGTGGAAGTGGAAGTTTTGTTTGCCTTCCAGCCTTGGTTGTTACAGCTTGTATAAGGTAGAAATGGCTGTGGCAAAGGAAAATACTTATAACTGTCATGCTCGTGGGCTCTGTGGCAAATAGTACGAATAAACTACTTTGTATTTGTGGTGTGCCATCGACTGATATTTTCGAAAAGACTGCAATAGCATGACCAAAGGCATCCACTGCAATCTGCGGATGATCAATTGTGTTGAACCAATAATCTACAAGACATGGAGAAAGATTACATGATAAACCTTTTTTAAAGCTGTCACTATTATCCACTCTGTTTGCATATAAAGTATTTTTGTATTTTCAATAAGTTTTCATCATCTGTGCTTTTACTTCTTGCCATCTGCTTTGGTTATTGAAAATGGCCATGCTGATTGCTCCGAAGCCACAGTTTCCAACTTTATCAGGGTTGTAAACACACGCCATTGTTTCTTGCCGCATGTTGAATTCTTGACAAAAGCTTTTTACTATGTTGTTACTATTACTGCTTTGATATTTTGTCCTAGGTATGTAGGAAGTCGTTAGTAAGCTTATACACAAGATACATGCGTTTAACGTAGTACTTAGGCCCCCGTTAGATTTCTAGAATCGCTTGAATTATTATCAATCTCTAAGGTACTGTTTATAACAACTTCAATTAGTTTACTAATATTTCAGTCATACATTTTTTTCTTTGGTTGCTGTTTTCGGTTTTCTATAAGAAAATTACTATCAGACACTTGTTCTATAAACATTAATACTAACATTATCAATTACTTATCTGCCAATAACTTTTTTCTAGTTCTAATTTCGATTTTTTGTATTCAAGTTTTTCTCTCTTTTCTCTTCTTTTTTCTTTAGCTTTCTCTAATTTCGTTTTTTCTGCTTCTCTTTTTTTCTTATTTTCTTCATATAATTCTAACGCAATTGCCAATCGTTTTGTACTATGCTTTCTTCCTTTTGTACTAAGACTGGTTGGTGGTGGTAGTACATTCTCTAGTTTATATTCTGGGCCAAGTAGTTTTCTTTTACATCTGTCAGCTCCTTAAGAGCATTGACAAGACGTTGCTGACAGGTCATATTTGCGGTGATAGCTTGTATATCAGTGAGCATATTAGTGATATATACGTGCAAATCAAGAATTACTGGCTCTAAACGACACGCAGAACGACTTAGTACACAATTAGAACATTTGTTTTAATTTTAAGAATAAAAATCATGGCCTGTTACAAACGTTTCTGTGCTTCTTCTTTTTACTTAGTCTTTACGGTTTCTTCATCATTGCCGCTGTCTATTAAGATTTTTTTCTGTTCGTTTTGTATTTTATAGTTTTTTGTGTTGCTTTTTCATCATTTTTTTTTTTTTTTTTTCATTTTTATCTGTAATTTCTATATCTTCTGAATTTTATACAACTAGAAACTGAAACTTTGTTGTGCTTTTAATAGACAGCATTTATTTTTATTAGTATATTGTCTTTGTTAAAAATAGGATAATACATACATAAAGATTGATATTTAATGAACATGTTTTTTTTTTGTCAGCTAACTATAGCGAAAACTGATGGAGAAAAAGAGGAGGAAAAAGCTTATATTCTTGTTAAATAGTCTTTTGCTACTGTTTCTTGGAAGCACTAAAATTTTCTTGTACTACGCTTTCTAACTTTTTGCATTTTCAAACCACTTGTTTTCGTATTATCATGAGCATTTTCTAGCGTAGTATCTTTTGTAATGATGAATTTAGCTATGTTATTTATATAAGTGTAGTATATGTATGCCTTACCGTAATCTATCCACCATCAACGATCAACAATATTTAAGAGTATGATATCATATTGTGCCAGAATAGATAACATGGAATCTTATAATTAACGACATATGAGCAGGAACGACATTCAGAATTTTGACTATCACCTATTTTTGTTTTACTATACGCTATTTCTTTGTATATGCGATCCATAGCAAAACTTGTCACTTTGAATTCAAATTCTCTAAACCTGCACTCTGTATCTTTATTATACAGGCTTGCCTGTTTACCAAGCATCTCCACTTGTGCCTGCCCCTTTCTCCTCTCCCTTTTTTTGAAAAACAAAAATTAATCGTTTTTATAAACTTTCTATGTTGTAACTATACCTACCATGGCAAAATACCAATGATCAGTCTTTGATGTCACAGTGGATATCTTGCCAGATGATATTCTTCCAAGGGCAGTCTTGATTGCAGCATGTGCACTTTTAACCCGGTTGGTTGTTTTATTGCCAAAGTGTGCATATCTATTGACATAGATTCCAGCCCAGCGCTCACGTTCTTAGAGCATACTTAAATGAAAGAACAGAAAATCATGTTAATACTGTTACCTAGGATATGCTAATAGCTGTGACTTATCTACTTACGCTTTCAAGTACTCTACTCCCTTACTGCCAGCATCTTTATAGTGACCAGGGGCTTTGAGAAATTTCTCAAACTCTTCGATACTCTTGTTCATCTCCTCGTTAGTCTTGCAAAAAGCAATTTTCTTGAGCGCTTCTTCTAATTGTAGTTCCAAAACGTTTCTGTGAGCAGGAAGACTCAGGAGTAAACGTTTCTCCGATGTTAGTGATAAAGTTCCTCTGCAAATGAATAAAGCAGAGGAGACGACCAGAAAGAGGAAACACTGCCTTAATAACGTTGTTCACGGATTTGCCGTTATCCGTAACAAAAACTTCTGGATATCTATGCTGTGTTGTGGGCCAAATGGATTCTTTCAATTGTTGAAATATCCAGGTATACGTTGTTTCCAGTTCATTGTTCATCCAAGCACTATCAACAGGAAACGTTTGCAAGTTCCCTCTGCCGGACGAAGTACTTGTCACATTTGATGTGCCAGCAATATTGATGAATGTCAACTTGTGCGTATTTGTTTTATACGTGGCATCGACAGCAATTGAATCGGGCATGGCTCTTGCTTTCTTGATAACTTCTTCGTGAGTGAAAAACACAGAACAAATTCAGTTTCCTGAGTCCAAGGTGAACCTGATGAAGTAGCCTTTCTCTTGAAAGTAAAGGATAAAGACATACATTTCCTTTGACGTTTCGTTTTTGAAAAAAAAAAGAAGCTCTTGGTATTGTATATATCCTTTTTAAGAACGTTTGTAATTCCATTGACCTGCAAAGCCTATTTTTTTTAAATTGTTAAGTACTGATATTTTGCATAGGAAAATGGATATAGAATTTATTATTAATAAAAGAAACTTACTTGCATTACGGTTTCAACGCGGTTTGCCGTGGTTAATGAAAACGTTTGTATGATAAGGGTCATTATTTCTGCTGATTGCTTTCCGTGAACAGAGTATGTAGTACGACAAGATGGGATAGGATGATTGTGTTTGCCACACATATCAGAAACCTTTAAACCGCCGAAAGGGGAAGTATTGGACTTGATGAAACAAGAACAACCATTTCTCTGCGTATTCTTCTTTACAAGCTTCTTGCCAGTGTCCTCCTCTTATCTTCTTCTTCATTAACAAACTCAATTTCTTTTTCCTGAGAGCTTTTCTTTTCTGCCTTGTACTCTCCATGATGCTTGCAGGCAAGGGCAAGGTGCGATTCCTTGGGATTAGAACGGACAGTGACCAAAACAACGTTCCACTTCTTGTCAAAATCAGCAGCAGCATTGCGAATTTCAGCAATACCGGCAAACTGACTACCGATTTCAAATTTCTGACAAAACCCAGCTTTCATTTTTGCATATTAGCTTGAACCAAGTTTATAAGGTCTTTGTTAATGTTGTTGCTCATAGTAAAACTTTTTGTAAAAATGAGGTGAAAAAAAGGTGTAAGGACGGCTGTATTTTGCTTTATTAAAGATAATAAATCTACATTCAGCCTCGTTGTGTCTCAGCAAGTGATAACTTCATGTAGTCTTATTGTTTGAAGGATATACAACAAGAAAGCATAGCATTGTGAGTTAAAGCTCCGAATCAGGAACGAGTTAAGCTCTGTCACCAAGCATACCACTCGCGCACCACTAAAGTGGTATGTAACGTCAATATTTCGCAAACTCACTGTCCGAACAAAAAACGTAACATCATATTTTGAACAATAGTGGTGCGCGTGGTGGCGCGCCAAGAACTGTCCTATTTTAATACAAGATGAACTCAACGGCAAGTTTAGCTGCCCAAACTGCTTCGCAGCTATTACACGATATTGCGCAAAGCGTCATGGTTATTAAGGGAAACCCTGTGTTGCAAGTGAATGCCGTTGAATCTTTGGTAGGTCGGTGCCCCAAAGGAAAAATAAGAACGATCATGCAAGAAATTTTGCAATTACTTTGTCAGTATAATCGCATTTTCCACAGCAAATTTCTTGGTTTAAAGTTACAAATACTTCCCTCCGCTATGTCGCCGGATATTGCAATCGCGAACAAATCTGTGGCGGAGACCATCCAATGCAACTTTCAGCAAAAACATTGATGCCATCAACCTTTTCAAATTGTCACTAATTCTCCAAGCACCTTTGCTACAAGTGAAGCTTCCACTGTTCTGTATGTTTACGGCATACCGGGCCGTAGTAGCCCAAAGTCACCAGTTTGTCCATAACGTCACAATCTCACTGCTTCCCTCTCTCGATTACTGCCAAGGAAATAATCCCTGGGCACAGTTAAGCTTAATTTAACTATAGAACATACTTGCACTGTAGACAATTACGAGTATAACTGAAAAAGACCAATAAAAGAACATTCTTTGCTATTATATATTCACTTTGACAGTTTATTTATAAAGCCTTCTTCTTTTCTGTTAGTCCTTTTCTACGATTCTCTGCAAGTGATCATCGATTTCCTCTGTTGATAGTGTACGGAAATCTGTATTGTCTTTGGTAACGATACCAATTTCAAGTTCTGCTGCCTTGAAATCAACTGCCAATACATTGGATAAAGTAGTAATGGCAAGCTATTCATAGCCCAATTGTAGTTAGCAATCTTTTCATTCATTTTACAATAGTCATACTCTAATTTACCTCGATGGTATCTTCCATATTTAATTCTGGGTTCTTTTTCAGTTTCTTTTCCAGGTAATTCAGTGCTTCCTGTTGTTTAGCTCCTGCAGCAGTTGCTTTATAACCAACAAAATATCCAGCTGGATCACACTTGTATAATTGAGGTCCAAGCTCATCATCGTATCCAATTAAAATCATTGCTAATAAAGAAATAAGACTTCTTATCGATGCATACATGCAGCAGTAACTTACAAACACCATAAGGTCTCATGGCTGCTTGTTGTGTATAAACTTGATTAATGTTGGCAACTCTCTTTGCAAGCATGTCAGTTGGGATCTCGTATCCATATTTATAACGAAATTCAGCGGCTTCTTGACGAGCTCTTGTTACTTGAGAACGTGCATCAGCTAAAAGGAGTTGATATAAGTATCTTTATATGAATATATATATATATATATTATATTGATAATTACCAATCATGCCAGTCATAACACAACCAATCTTGGGTGTCAATTTGAATACATGAGTAATAGTAGAGGGGTCTAATAATTTATCCTATAATTCCAATCAATCACCATCGTCATCTCTTAGTTACTCTTCACTTACAGGAATCTTCTTTTGAGTGACAATAACACAACCATCACGCCCACGAACACCAACTGAAGTAATGCCACTGTTTGAAATGGCCTTGAAGGCATACTCTGTTTATAAGGTCAGAAATGAACAGTGTTATAGAACGGTGTTGTAAGTTTGATATGTTACCAACTTGGTATAAACGTCCTTCAGGTGAGAAAATTGTAATATGACGATCGTAACCAGCACCAGAACCACGACTCATTTTATATTATTTGAATATAAAGAAAGAGAAATACACTTTCTAAAAAAAAAAAAAGCACTCAAAAACGTTCAACACGCGTTCCTATTGACACGCAATCCAAAGGCGATGACGTAGACGTAGTGGCGGGTAATTTTGGGCCACTGTATTTAAGGATGTGCGGGCGCGCAATTATTTTTTCTCAACCTGATCACTTATAACTTACAGTGTAGTTTATTAATTGACAAATTGAAGGGTTTATCTACGTGAGTATCTTCTACTGCTATTATTACTTCTGGATCTGTTGCTATATGAACTAAGGCTTATATCTCTTTTATAACTTCTTTCTGGGCTAGTACTAGAGCTTCTTGATCGCTTTGATCTGCCCCTTTTACTTAAGCTTCTTTCGTATGAGCGCCTTCTAGGGCTTCTACTAACGCTTCTATCCATATTGCGCCCTCTTATGCCTGTATCTCTTACAAGACTCCTTTCACTACTGATGCTTCTGCTATAACTACGGCCTCTGCTTTTATCATCTCTACTGAGACTTCGATTGCGACTATGGCTACGGAGCCTGCGACGATCAACACTTCTACCACGATCAACACTGCGGCCACGACTGTCACTACTTCTACTTCTGCTACTATTTCTAGACGCACTACTTGAGCTTCTGCTTACACTTCTTCTTCGTCGTTGAGGATATGGACTCGAGCTTCTTCTCCTTCTTCTCCTTCTTCTGTTTCTTGAAGGGCTTCTACTGGCACTACTCGATGAGCTGAGGCTACTTCGGCTCTCAGAACTTGAGCTTCTACTACGACTTCTGCTGCTGCTGCTACTACTGCTGCTACTACTTGAATAAGATGATGAAGTGCTTACTGTACTGCTTCCACTGTCACTCTCACTACCAGAATCGCTCTCACTACTGCTATCGCTGCTACTTTCTGACGAACTAGAATACGATCTATACATTCAAATGTTCAATTATGGTTCAATCACTAAATAGAGTCCTTTCATTACCCTCTTCTCTTTCGCTCCTTCTTCTTTTTCTTAAGTATTTTGTCTGCTAATCCTTTTTTGTCTTGAAGTTCTTTTGGAAGCTCAGGCTGGTATAACTTGAGTGGTTTCTTTAATTGCTGGGTACGACTTGGCCTACTTCTGTAGCTTCTGTCCTTTTTACATTGATATGTCTAGGTCATGAATGTATTAACAAAATGGATCAGATGATCAGTCTAGTTTTACCCAATGACCACGTTCCAAACATTTCTGACATTGTACTGATGCTGACGAAGGCTGACTGCCTAATCCTTGATATCTAAAAATGGATCAGTCCTTTTTCTCGACTTTTGATACGTCACAAAAGGATATACCTTGGACCCGTTCGCCACATGCGATTTAAAAAAGGATGCAGACAAGAAAAATTGTTGCTTTGATGGAAGATATCACGTGAGTTATGAATGACGTACTTTTTAATTCTTTTTCAACGTCCGATAACCTTTACATATCAGGCCCGCCTTTTTTTTAGCCTTTTATTTCATTTCATATACAAATACTATGGTAAGAGGCTACTTTAAACTGTCCCTCAGTCACGTTCCCCCTTCGTCTCTCTGTATTGAAATGTTTTCTTTTCTTTTCTGGAAAACTTTTTCTCTTAAGTGAAAGCTGAAAGAGAATTAATAGAAAAGGGGAACGTGATGAAATGGCTGTTGCGTGTCAGATGAAGGAATGGGAACAGGACTAAAATTTCATTCGCTGTATAGTCCTCTGGCGTCTCTACTGATAACGAATGTCTTGTAAAGTACAACGAACTCAAGCTTCGTAAGACCTTCAAGTACATCATCTACAAGCTGTCTGGTAAAGTTTTTCCTCACAAAAATATTTAGTGCGTACTAATAATAAGAATAGATGATAATAAACAAATTGTCGTTGAAAAAGCTGTCGAAAGTGGCTCTTATGATGACTTTTTGAATGATCTCCCTGAAAACGTGCCTCGTTATGCTGTCTATGATTTTGACTATGTTAAGACTGACGAAGGTCAAAGAAACAAGATTACTTTCTTCTCTTGGTAAATTTTATTTTCATTTTATTTCTCGCGTGTTTTTTGACTAAACCAATCATATAGGAGTCCCGATTCTTCCAGAGTCCGTGATAAGATGTTGTATGCCTCTAGCAAGGACTCTCTCCGTAGACAGCTCCAAGGTATTGCTGTTGAAATTCAAGGAACTGATTCTTCTGAGGTAATAGCAAAAAAAACCTTTTTTATATATTGCTTGGCTGAAAATTTTATTTTTAAAATAGGTCGCTTATGAAAGTGTCCTCGAAAAGGCTCAACGTAGCTCTTAAGAATATCTCTATTGAATAACAATAAAAGCAAAGGAATATAATCTTTTTTCTTTTTCTTTTTCATATTCTCATTTTGTTGCTAAGCAAGGAAAGGGAGAGGAATATGTGACACGGTGATACAAGTACTATTGTCATGTAAACGAATTACTTTATTTAACATTTGTGTTGCTATTACTACTACTACTACTGCTGCTGCTGCTACAGTTACTACCACCAAGGTTATTCAAATGCATGGGATTCAATGAGGGCAATGAAGGCAATGCAGATGATTTATCAGTAGCATCTTTCTTAAAGTCTCTTTGATATTGCTTATCGGCCAGCGATGCCAGCATATCGATGGAAGGAGATGTTGGTGAGTATGCTTGACGGGGATCTCGAGCTGCCAAGACAAGGTCACGGTCAATTTCTTGTTCTGTCAAGCCCAGTGTGAGAGAACTTATGGTCGAAGGTCTTTCGGGTGGCATCCAATCGGCCAAACGATCATCATCTGAATAATCTGTTATACATTTAATATCACTATTATTAAAAGATAGGTTTACTTACTTTGATGACTTGTATAATACTCTTGTTCTAATTTGCTAATCTTGCGCTGTACATTCTCTATCATTACTCGTCGTAGTGTCAATTTATCCCACTAAAGAACGAATGTGTAAAGGGGATTAGCACATTCAAATAAAAAGGAGAATACTTACATAATATTGTGAATAAGCGCATTCCCTTTGAGAATTGAACAGGTTATAGACAACTCCCTCTGCTAAGGATCTACGCATTTTGGCAACAATCAACATTTTATTACGCTTATCTTCAATCTTGGCAAGTAGCTTGTGATATTCTGCATGCGATCCATCTCTGACTGCCTTTTCTATTTTATCCAACTCATTCAATCTATAAGCTAATGTTAATTTCCTTTTATTTGCATACTTCTTATTCATACTTTTCTTTAATCGTATTTTCCCTTTCTGCCTTTCTTGCTTCTTTTGCCTCCTTGGATACTCTTTGAGATGAATTTCTAAGCTCACGTTCGTTTTCTTCTTGCTTAAAAGATTCAAGCTTTGCGTTGGCTTGTCTCTTATTGCTTGCTTTACTTACTGCCTTTCTTTTCCTCTTTTTAGACTCTGCTGTCTCATATTCACTTGACTCTACAGAGTGTGATCGCGTATTGTTAGATTCTTCTTCAGATACTCCTCCTTCCATCGTTGTAGATGACGGTGAAACTGAACGAGTTGCTCGACCAGATCTTCTTGGCTGTATTCTATCCTCTCCTAAAGTATGTTCTTCTGTTCTACTATAAGTGCTATTGGTCGACATGATACTATATTGTATAATATATATGTATGTGTGTATGTATGAAAAAGAGGAAAGAAGGAAAATTGTTTGGTTTTTCGATCGGTCATTCAACATTTTAAGCTCAAAAGTCTCCGCTTTAATTATCGGTTCGTCTTTCAATTGAACTTGTTTTTTTCTCTTTTTCTTTTTTTTTGTTTGTTTTATTTCTTCAAGGGTAACAAAAAAGAGAAGAGCTACAATGGTAACCAACACAACCGATCGCCTCACTCGCCTTCGTGAGCAAATGAAAACACATGGAATTGATGTCTTGTAAGAGAAGTCGCATAAACAGTATACTATTCATGCTAAACGACGTGTCTCTTTTTTTTCTATAGCCTCGTGCCTTCGGAAGATGCACACCAGGTACATATACAGTGAAATCACACGATGCTGATGATTAATGATTATAAATAGAGCGAATATATAGCTGAATGTGACCAACGTCGTCATTGGATTAGTGGTTTTACTGGTTCTGCTGGTATATAATAAAAATGGGGGCATTGATGTTTGAGCTCTTATCATTCACTAGGATTCGCCATTGTTACTATGACAAATGCCTCGTTATTCACTGATGGTAGATATTTCTTGCAAGCATCTCAGCAGCTGGATGACAATTGGACTTTGATGAAACAAGGCCTCCCTGGTGTACCGACTTGGCAAGAATATTTAGTAAAGGTAAGTAAATAAAAGAGGGTAATTTATTGCAAAAGTGGAACGTAATGAATTCCATTTATGTAGAATATCAGCGCCGGTTCTCGCATTGGACTTGATCCCACACTTATAAGTGGAGGTAAACAGTTTTGTGTCCTTTCCTTATTTGATAATTTAGACTTACTCTTTAATGTGTCTATACATAGCTGATGCCCACCAAATCTCTGCTCAGTTAGAACCCACTGGTTCTACTCTCGTTCCTATCCAAGAGAACTTGGTTGACGTTGTCTGGGGTAAGGAAAGACCCGAAGCTCCAAAGGATAAGGTGTTTGTGCAACCAGTCAAGTATGCAGGTAAACAAAAGGGTCAAGTATTTCTTTATATGGAATGTAACACTACAAAGGTAAATCCGTTCAGGACAAGCTCAAAGAATTACGTGACCATATTGTGGATCAGAACGCATATGGCACCGTTGTATCGGCCTTGGATGAAATTGCTTGGTTGTACAACTTGAGAGGGTCAGATATTGAATGTAACCCTGTCTTTTTCTCATATTCGATTATCACCGAGCATGAAGCAATTCTATATATTGATCTTGACAAATTAACAGATGATGTCAAGGAGCACTTGAATGCAGCACAAGTCACAGTTGAACCTTACTCCAAATTTTTCGACAATCTTACTCAACTGAAGCCAAAGCTGGGTGAAAAGAAGTTACTAGTAAACAACAAGACAAGTTTAGCCGTCGAAGTGGCTGTTGGCGAAGTAAGCAAAGCATGAACGATCGAAATTTGGTACTGATTGAATGATAGGAAAACGTGATTGAAAAAAGATCGTTCATTACAGATGCCAAGGCTATCAAGACAAAGGAAGAATTAGACGGTATGCGTGCATGCCATCTTCGTGATGGTGCTGCCCTTGTACAATATTTTGCTTGGCTTGAACAAAAGCTCCATGCTGGGGAGCGTATTGATGAGGTCGAAGCTGCTGATCGCTTAGAGCAATTCCGTGCTGTTCAAGCACATTACGTGGGCTTATCATTCGATACCATTTCTTCTACTGGCCCCAACGGTGCCATCATTCATTACAAGCCAGAGAAGGAGACATGCAAAGTGATTGACCCAAACTTGATTTATCTTTGTGACTCTGGTGGACAATACCTGGATGGTACAACGGATGTCACTCGTACGTATCACTTTGGCGTACCGACTGATTACGAGAAGCGATGCTTCACCCGTGTTCTTCAGGGACATATTGCCATTGACCAGGCCGTATTCCCCAAGGGCACAACCGGATACCTATTAGATCCTTTTGCTCGTCAATTCCTTTGGCAGGATGGTTTGAACTTCTTACACGGCACCGGACACGGTGTTGGCTCATTCTTGAATGTTCACGAGGGCCCTCATGGCATTGGCATCCGTATTGCTTACAACGATACACCTCTTGCTGCTGGCATGACAGTAACAGATGAACCTGGTTATTATGAAGATGGCAAGTTTGGTATCCGTATTGAAAATGTGATCATTGTCAAGGATGTCGAGACACCTAACAACTTTGGCGGTCGTGGATACCTTGGCTTTGAACACGTCACCATTGTGCCTATTGGGCGTAACCTGATTGATGTTGATTTGTTATCTCCTTCAGAAAGAAAGTGGGTAAACGACTACCACCAAGAATGCTTGATCAAATTAAGCCCTCTTGTGACTCACGATGAACTAGCAATGGAATGGTTAAAGAAGGAAACCTTGCCTATTTAATCATTTTTTCAATAAAACATTTTTTGTTGCTGATGTTCAAAATCATTTTTTTTATGTAATGGAGCTAATCTTGACAGAAAGGATTCAGGCATGTGTAAAATCAGCTCTGAATAACTCCAGTTTTCCAGAAAAATACAAAAAGGAAGCAAAGAGCATTATAAATATTGAACTAGAGGATTCAAAAGAACATCCCATTTCACTTGATTTACTTAGACAGCTACCGAAATTAACTGGTAAATAAGACAACGAAAGAGAGAGAGAATCTTGAAGCTAAATACAGTCTAGATGTCTATTTACATGAACTTATGAAAGGAAGTGGGGTTTATATTCAGCCTAAACCTGTCAAAACAAAGGTAAAAGATGGCTACACTGTATCTCTTAACTAACCCTCCGACAAGAATCCAGAATTTGAAGCATACATGGAGAAACTACGACAAGAACAAAAAGAGAGAGAATATGCTCAAATGGTTGAATCTGCTATAACATCAAAGGATGAGAAATTCAATTTGGGCATCCAGTCTGATGATATTAAAGAGATCAAGACTCATATCATTTCAATATGTAACATCCTCTTTTCTATGGCTGCTGTCTTTGCTGCTTGTTATAAAGCTGCTCAATCAATGGTCAATGATTATGGCATGGTAAATATTCTTCTTTTTGTGCCCTTGATGACTAAATATCTTTTTTGTCTAGCAAATATTAATAGGATTATCTGGTGCAGTAATGATTGGCATTGTTGAAGGAATATTATATACAAAATATGCATTTGATGCAACAAAAGTGGATAAAAGGAAGAAAAAGAAGAAGCATAGAATCACTACTTTATAAATGAAATATACCGTATTCAGAGATTATTCGTACATCGATCAGTAATTACACTTTTGTTAACTATCAACCTTTTTTATACATAAAATGAGCTTGATATTTTTGAGATTTGGATGTGGTCAACACTTATAAGCAATACGTAACTGAAACACTAATCATTCTTTTGCTTCTTGTGGGCTCTCTTATTATTATCTGTTGTTTGAAATTATCATTTTTCTATAATTGTAATTTCTAAATAACACATAACACATCACTCTAATAACACACTATTATAACACATAACACACTTAACACACTATTATGTACTGGAATTAGAAAAAAAATACGCCGGAATATACGTCGGAAAATATGCAACACAAACTTTTACCGGAAATTAGCCGCACATTGAGTCTTTTTTTACAATTTGTTCGAACCGAGCCTTGGATTACAATCATATGAACCTTCCCCTTTCTCTCTCTCTCTCTCTCTCTTTCTCTCCTGATATTCATTTTTACAATAAAGTCCTTTTTAAAAGAATTAGGTATGGACATGCCTTAAAAAAGAGAATAAAAGGCCAATTCATATAGCCCCTGTTCACTAACATCGTGTTCCCATTTTGACGCTTATTAGAAAAAAAAATGGAAAACAACAACCAAAGTACAACCAACTGCTCTTCCTGCTATGCACCTTTACCCGTTGACTCACGTTATCGTACCTGCCAAATATTCAGAGAACGAGTAGCAGCATCTCGCCGCAGACGTCGTGCCGAAGACCAACAAGAAGAAGCTGGCGTTGCTACTAGACCTAGAGGCAGACCAAGAAGAACAGTCGAGTCCGTTGATGCTGAAGGTAGACCCAGAGGCAGACCAAGAAGAACAGTCGAGTCTGCTGATACTGAGAGTAGACCCAGAGGCAGGCCCAGACCTGACCATGCCAACAGTATGCCAGCCGCATGCATCTCACAGTTATCCCGCCTTCGTTCTTTGGACCTTGGACGTATGGACAAGGAATGCTCACACTGTCACGCCCTACACTGGATTGATGAAAGGCAAGAGACATCTTCGATGAGAAATCCTAGCTGGGAGTCATGCTGCAAGCAAGGATCAGTCCAGTTGCAACTATTACCTGATCCACCTGAATACTTGAAGGACTTGCTCGAACGCACGGACACCCAAGGCCGTCACTTTAAAGACAACCTTCGTCAATATAACGCTGCCTTTGCTTTTACTTCGTTGGGCTGCGATATTGTTTCGCCTGAGGATCGTGCCAACAACAACAACAACAACAGCAGCAGCAGCAGCAGCAACAACAATAACAATAGAGGTGGATTAAACGCCTTCCAGATCCATGGCGCACTTTGCCACCGTCAAGGCCCCCTTGACTCCAGTTGAAGGCAATGAGCCTTCCTACGTCCAGCTATATATACTTGATCCTTCCTATGCCGCTGAAAGAAGACAAGCACGAAACAGCAACCTTGATCCTGAGATCGTTAGGGAGCTTTCGGTCATGCTTGCTCAATGTAACCCC